AAGTTTTAAAAGCAACTGTGAAGCCGTTTTTCTTAAAGTTTGCAGACAAGGATTTTAGCATTTGACTTCAAAATGGCCGACAGGAAGTAGGTATCGAGTTAATTTTTTTTCATCCACATCTGCATGCACTCATAAATTATCCCTGAAAATTTGAAGGTGATATCTGCAGCGGTTTTGGAGAAAACTCCCGGACGTACGGACGGACAGACAGACGGACAGACAGACGGACGGACAGACGGACGGACGGACAGACGGACGCGCCTAGGCCGACAATATGGCCCCACACTATGTGGTGGGGACATAAAAAAATGGAATTTATCATAATTATGACAACACAGAAAGTGAACATTCTCCCACAAATTATGTTTTTATTGGAATGTGTTCTTGAATAATTACCCACAATGCAATACTCAACATCTTGATACCTCTTATTCTTATTGGTCTTTTTTGTTTACTTTTACATGAGATTCAATATATTTTATGCTTTAATCATATTGGAAATTGATTAAATATTCAAAATAATACTAAGACATATACAAATATCTAATACTTTTTGAAATATTACCATAAAAGCGAAGCATGGCATTGCTCATTTTGAAGGTCTCATGTTTATTACACAGAGTTGCATACCCTTCTAGAGTCCATTTCACTGCTTCATTTCGTTAGTAGAACGGCAAAAATAAGAAATTGGGAGACCATTGTGCAATAATATATGGAAAATAATATTCATAATGTACATGAATGACATTTGTATATCTTGGATTGCTTCTAGTTTGGCTGATAAAGTGTGTGGCCTCTAATATTTGGATGTTTCTCTGCCATGTTATTTTCAATAAGATTAACATGGCTGAAATTCTTCAAATTACAAGACGGCACAGGCTTATTGAACAAAAAACTAAAAAATCTGAAATATAGAAATGTCATTCATGTACATTATGAATATACTTTTCCATATATTATTGCACAATGGTCTCCCAATTTCTTATTTTTGCCGTTCTACTGACGAAATGAAGCAGTGAAATGTTATCCCGTTCCCGGACTATGGTCCTGTGAACATCTCAATCTTTTGCCTGTGCGATTACAACATGGGAGAATTTTTTACTCATCTTACACTTCTGATACCTACTTCAATAGATTCCTTGGTAATTTAGCATTCTTTTCGTGTAGTTGAATCCACAATTGTCTGGGTTTATCGGCAGAGCGAAGACATTTTCGTTTTTGATCGCAATATTTGCGTGTAACATTTAAGGTGACTGTTAACTTAATCGATTTTCAGAAAAAATTGAAAATTTCACAATCTTGAAATTTTCAAACTCTTCCTGAGAAGTCGTTTTTATTATTTCACATATGGTTGTGCACTGTAATCATTACAAAGACATCAAAGAACAACAAAAAACTTTAGTTTGAGAAAAAAAGTGCCGTTTAAAGAATTTGAGAAGATTTTTTTCTAGGAGTAGCCCGTGAAAAACCGCTGATTCAAAATATCTGAACATTTCAGAAAATATACTTCAAACATATATCAAAAACGAAGGAGCAACGGAAATTTGAAAAATTACCCGACAAAAAAATTGGGATCAAAATAAGGAAAAAAGTACACTTCTCAAATTGTTTTTTTCTATTTTTTTTAATTTGTATGAGAGATTTCAAAATTCTAAAGCTCCTTCCATTTTGGGCTATATTAAAGGGATGTTTCAGAGAAATTAGAAAAAAAAATGTTCAGGGACCTTTGCAGTGCTACTCTTTTTGTCAATTTTTCTGTCACATTTTCAGAGGACTCAAATTCCCATTCCAAAATGTTTACTGTTTCTATTTGCATTACATAGGAAAGCTCTATGAACATGTAGTTGGTAACAGATTCAATTGGGCAATGGAAGTAAAAAACATGTTTTCTACATTCCAGGACTCTTACAGAATCTTCCGCAGCTGTACTCATACAGTACTCAGATTGGTACAGGCAGTTCAACAAGGATGGAACAAGGGTGAAACCACTATCGCAGTAACCATAGATTATGACTCCTGCTTTGAACGGGTGTGGCGCAAGGGTCTGATTTATAAGCTGCACAGGGACGGTATAGATGGTAGACTTCTATGCTTCATAGACGAGTATCTCAGCAATCGTCAATATTCATTGACTGTGAATAATTTCACTTCTGAGCTCAGAACATCTAAGGTTGGGATCCCTCAGGGAGCTGTAGTTTCTCCGTCTCTCTGTAATGCCTATACGGCAGACTCCCTTACAAACGTAGTATCCAATCACGGGGAATACGCAGACGACGTTATACTTTGGAGTACTGACTATGATCCACACAATGCTACAAACACACTTAACAATGACATTTCAAACCTGTCAAAATGGTGCGACCAGTGGAACATGGGCGTTTCACAACATAAATGCAAGGTCATAGTGTTCTCACCGCCAGGCAAGGCTAGACCTAATGTAGACATCAAATTTAACAACATCTCTCTCAATGTTGTAGAACACACAAAGATACTTGGTGTCATAGTTGATCAGAATCTAAGCTTTGAGGAGCACATACAAGATAGACAGAAAAAAGGCTTTGGAGCATTAAAAACAATCTCCAATTTTACAAATTCCAATCAGGGATGCTCGCAGACAGTTTTCTGCAACTTATACAAAAGTCTAGTTCAACCAAATCTTGAATATGGATTTGGTGTAATTGCCACATCCACCGACAAAGCTATCTCTGCGTATAGAACAGTGCACAGACAGGCTCTCCTCAGAGCCACAGGTTGTATCCAATCCACAAGCACTGAAACATTAGAAATTCTAACGAACTGCACTCCTATTGACAAACTGTTCAAATCCAGACAGGCTCAGGAATTTGCCAGAATATGTCTGAAAACTGAATCAAGTCCAATCTACAAGGAGACAATACTGTGGAAAAACAGCACAGTCACTGAGAGGAGAACAACTGCCTTCAGCATACTACATTCACGACTGATAGAGTTCTGCAGGAAACTCCCATTAGAACATCTTGAGAAAGAGTACACCTATAGTTACAACTTTAACAACTTTGAATTTACTGGAGCATCTAGAGACTCCAATGAATTTACAAAATCTAAAACAGAACAACGAGAGAGAATTACAGACATCCTAGAGAACTGCCCTGCAGACGCAACCATTGTCTTTACAGACGGATCAGCATATGGCAATCCAGGACCTACTGGCTCTGCGGCAATTATATACCTACAAGGTCTTAGAGGGGAACCTATTTGTTTAGAACAAGCTATCTCCAACAGAAGCAATAACTTTGTAGGAGAAGTGAGGGCCATCAACCTTGCACTCACCTTTCTACAAGAAAGTCCACTTTGTAACAACATACTACTATTCTCTGACTGCCAGCCAGCGCTTATCACAGCCTTTGAAACAAACGTTCCAAAAAATGAGCTTAACACAGTCATAAATATTCGCAACTCATGCAAAACAATCAGACAAAAAGGTCTGTCAATCAAATACTATTGGGTTCCAGGACACGTTGATGTCAAAGGCAATGAACTGGCTGACAGTCACGCTAAACGGGCAGCATTAGTTGCAAAAAGCGGAAAATACGCTGAGGCTAAAATAAACAAACAGCATATATACAGCCTGATCAATAAATCTGTCCAGACAAAGTGGCAGAGACAATATAATAATTCCAAAAAAGTTAGCCACATACAGCGATCAATAGAAAAAGTTGGAACCAGAGCTATCCTGGGAGAGAAAAACATTCTGTATTACAAACCAAATGTTAAGTGGCCATACGAAGCTCAATAGCCACCTAAAGAAAATCAATCCCATACTCCCTTCAGACAAGTGCCACAACTGTGACAGGATAGAGACCATTGATCATTTCATACACCACTGCTCCAAATACAGCGAGATTCGTGAGAGACTATTTTATGAGGCTAATATAGTATTCTTCTAGAAAGTGAACATAACCCAGAATTGGACATCAAGACTCTGTCAGGGCTGAACAAAACTCTAAAACCAGACATCAACAAAAGGTTGAACTACGCTTTTACAACCTTCTTGATGAAAACAAAAAGATTTTAATTGTCTAACTCATATAAACTTTAAATGTAAATAAGTTACAAGCTAAGGAACTTTAGTGATTTTAAGAAAAAACAAAAATAAAAATAAAAAGAATCTACAAAAACACTAGAGACAGTCACAAGAGTAAAGCACCATTGAAAAAACAGCACCAGAGACTATTAGGTGACATGATAGCACCGTATATATGGACTTAACCAACCAACCATTACCATAGTGAGCCTGGTTATATAAATGATAAGTGGAACTAAAAAATTGAGAGAAAATCCAACCAAAAGACAGTTAATTTTGATGGTCAGATTATACTCAAATGCCATGTGCTTCCTGGTTTCGGCCATCTTGGATTTTTTGATTAAGTTATAAGTTACCTTAACTTATTTCAACCGTCAAATTCCTCCATATTGGTACTTCCGGGCTACATCCGGGACAGCCAAACGGGGGATTCCCCTTTTAAATCCAACCGCCATTTTGAAAAGTGATGGAAATGTTCCCGTTCTGCCGATATACCCAGACAATCGGCGGTTCCCAATATATTAGAAGTTACATCTTGAGTTCTATAATGCATTGAGGTAGGTATCTTAAGTGTAAGGGGCGTAGATAATTCTCCCAAGTTGTAATCGTGCAGGCAAATGAATGCGCTCAGTGCAGGACTATAGTCCGGGAACGGGATAAGTGAAATGGACTCTAATTGATGATTTGCGATCACAGTCACCTTAACTGTATTTAGAAAATAAGATTACAATTTTGAGCTTTACCTGTCCCGTGGTAATTTTCCAACACTAACTGATACTTATAAGAAACCATTGAATGACCATTATCTCTGAAGTAATGGCAAATCGATGAAACATTTGCAAAAATGAAAGTTTGCTCTTTTTATTTGTACGGATCCGGAAATGCAAACTGACGCATGCGTAGTGAGTCATATTTTAGTTTTGTCGAACTTCTACATTTCTATTCACCAGAATATTAGAGACAAATACACCATTATTCAGGTAAATATATTTTCTCATGTAATGCATAGTTAAAGAATAATTTGTCGATCTTTTGAATCGGCACAAATTAACATTGAAAATGGTATTTTGTTTGTAGAATTCGCTTCCAATTTTTAGGTGAAAATTCTGAATTTTTCATTTTTCAGTCATGTCATCATTCATAGACTAATGCAATGGTGAGATAATGATTCATCATCAGACACATGGACATTTTTATTGAAACATTGTTGAGAATCTATTAAGGGAATAGTTGAATAATAATTTCAGATAATCTACTGAAAGTGAACTTAGACTAGATATCACTACTAATCTGACAAAATGTTCGCTGGAGTTCCTAGCCCAGGCATAAATGACACGTCCACTAATCGACCTGAACTTTATGAGGAAGTAAAATTATATAGAAACGCAAGAGAACGAGAGAAATATGACAACATGGCTGACTTATTTGCTGTTATCAACACGTTACAATGTCTTGAGAAGGCATACATCAAAGACTCTGTCACGCCTAAAGAATACACAGCAGCTTGCTCTAAGTTATTAGTGCAATATAAATCAGCCTTCAAACAAGTCCAAGGCGATGATTATCCAACCATTGAGGTTTTCATGAAAAAGTTAAAAATGGACTGCCCTGCAGCATTGGAGCGAATTAAAGAGGATCGTCCAATCACAATCAAAGACGACAAAGGCAACACTAGCAAATGCATTGCAGATATTGTTTCTTTGTTCATCACCATTATGGATAAGTTACGTCTTGAAATACGAGCCATGGATGAGATACATCCAGATTTAAAGGAACTAGCAGAAACAATGAATAGACTTAGCCTACTGCCAGCGGAATTTGAAGGAAAAACAAAAGTGAACTCATGGTTAGGGACCTTGAATTCGATGCAGGCCTCGGATGAGTTAACAGATGCCCAAGTTAGACAGATGCTGTTTGATCTAGAATCGTCATACAATGCATTCAACAGAATCCTGCATAGTGGGGAATAAACAATTGATGGAGTGAAGAACATCTATGTTACACTTGGATAACTCAGAGACAACGTTTTATATGTCTCTGAATAACTGTATACAAAATGTGATAATTTGACACTGACTGTACAACTGTAGTTTATTATCATGCACTTTACTCTTCATTGAACAAATCAACCTGGAATGTACTGTAGATACACTTATTTTGACGCAACTTAATTTGACGGATTTGCTCAATTTCAAGTATTGGTGACTTTTCAAATTTGGTGGATTCAGGACTGAAGTTTAATTTTTATGTCACCACCAAAAGTGGTGACATATTGTTATGGTCTCCGTTTTTTTGCGACGGCGGTTGGTGGTTGGAGGTTGGCGTCCGGCGTCTGTAACAATTTCTTACAACTTCCTATAACTTAACAAATACTGTTTAGACTGACTTCAATTTTTTTCTAAATCATCTACATGTTCTCAGAAGTTCAAATCTGACTTTAGATTTGACATTTGACCTTCAATGACCTTCTCAAGGTCAAAAAGGTCTTTTTTCAACTTGCTTCACATTGACTAAATTTTTTTTCAAAATCATGTACATGTTCTCAGAAATTCAAATCTGACTTTAGATTTGACATTTGACCTTCAAATCTGACTTTAGATTTGACATTTGACCTTCAATGACCTTCTCAAGGTCAAAAAGGTCTGTTTTCAACTTGCTTCAAATTGACTAAAATTTTTTTTTCAAAATCATCTACGTGTTCTCAGAAATTCAAATCTGACTTAAGATTTGACTTCAGATTTGACATTTGACCTTCAATGACCTTCTCAAGGTCAAAAAAGGTCAAAAAGGTCTGTTTTCAACTTGCTTCAAATTGACTAAAAAAAATTTCAAAATCATCTACGTGTTCTCAGAAATTCAAATCTGACTTTAGATTTGACTTAAGATTTGAGATTTGACCTTCAATGACCTTCTCAAAGTCAAAAAAGGTCAAAAAGGTCTTTTTTCAACTTGCTTCAAATTGACTAAATTTTTTTTTCAAAATCATCTACATGTTCTCAGAAATTCAAATCTGACTTTAGATTTGACATTTGACCTTCAATGACCTTCTCAATGTCAAAAAAGGTCAAAAAGGTATTTTTTCATCTTGCTTCAAATTGACTAATTTTTTTTTTCAAAATCATCTACATGTTCTCAGAAATTCAAATATGACTTTCGATTTGACTTAAGATTTGACATTTGACCTTCAATGACCTTCTCAAGGTCAAAAAAGGTTAAAAAGGTCTTTTTTCAACTTGCTTCAAATTGACTAATTTTTTTTTTCAAAATCATCTACATGTTCTCAGAAATTCAAATCTGACTTTAGATTTGACATTTGACCTTTAATGACCTTCTCAAGGTCAAAAAAGGTCAAAAAGGTCTGTTTTCAACTTGCTTCAAATTGACCAATTTTTTTTTTCAAAATCATCTACATCTTTTCGGAAGTTCAAATTTGACTTTACAAGTTCTCAGAAGTTCAAATCTGACTTTAGATTTGACCTTTGACCTTCAATGACCTTCTCAAGGTCAAAAAGGTCTTTTTTCAACTTGCTTCAAATTGACTAATTTTTTTTTCAAAATCATCTACATGTTCCCAGAAGTTCAAATCTGACTTTAGATTTGACATTTGACCTTCAATGACCTTTTCAAAGTCAAAAAGGTCTTTTTTCAACTTGCTTCAAATTTACTTAATTTTTTTTTCAAAATCATCTACATGTTCTCAGAAGTTCAAATCTGACTTTACATTTGACATTTCACCTTCAATGACCTTCTCAATGTCAAAAAAAGTCAAAGAGGTATTTTTTCAACTTGCTTCAGATTGAACAATTTCTTTTTTCAAAATCATCTACAAGATCCCAGAAGCTCAAATCTTCAAAAACCTTCTTAAGGTCAAAATGTATTTTCCAACTTGCTTTAAATTGACCAAATTGTTTTAGGTGGTGACATTTTGTCATGTGAATGCCTTGTTGTAGATGTTTTAGTCATGAGGACATGTGTCTACTAAGATGTTTTCTGTATTTCTTTTGAAATAATGTAGAATTGATGATATGTTGACAGAAAAAGGGGCCCCGGAGTTTAATTTCTGAAGTGCATTAGACAAAAATTCCAAACTAAAATTTGACGGATTTTTGATTTGGCGGATTTTCTGAATCTGCCAATCCGTCAAATTAAAACGGGAGCCAAAATAAGTGTATCTACAGTATTTATATGACCTAGTGCCAATAATTAAAGTAGAGATAAGGAAACATCACAAGAAGTACAGCTATACTGTATTTAAATCAATAGAAGTTATGTATAGAAAATACATTGCTAAAAATGAAATAATTATTGAATTGAATTGCTGGGCTGTATTTATTGTTCTAACAACAAGTTAGTATTATTATACTTCCTGGTTAAATATGGTGGCTAAATAAAAACTATTTGTAATGTCCCACTAATCAGTTATCAAACAGTCTGATAATCACTTTTTATCAACAACCATACCCCTGGAATTAAAGCAAGTGGGCACAGCACCCACCTGAGATTTTAAAAACAGGCTTGCACCCTCCTGAAAAGCACCAACTGGAAAGTAAGAACAATAAAACCCTGCAGAGAACACTGTGCATGTACAAAATTATTATGAATATGAATTCATGACCATTTTTGATTGCTTCATTCAAATGTCTTCTACTTCATACCAGGATATTGTATACAGTAAAACCTATTTAAATCAGGACACCTCTCTAACCCAAACACCTCTCAAACTTAACACATTTTGTTATCTCCCATATTACTCACATAATTACAAAGCTTGAAAGGTGAACACCTGATTACCTGAACAATTTTGGTCAGTCCCAGTGGCATTTGAATTAGACAGGTTTTGCTGGACATGTATGTATGTCATTGGCAAATTACTAGTTGTTACATGAAAACATTTGAACTCTAATTTCCTTGTCTGATACACTATACATATCAACACAAAAACATTTTTGGAATTACACCAGTTCTGTGTTTTTATGCAACATTTATTTTGAAATCAGCATATTGATATACAAGTACTCCGTGAAAAAATGGCACCGGCTATCTTCTGTAACAAATTCTTTGTAAGGAAAATGTGTTTATCATGTTTAATAATATATTATACTGTATATATAATTTAAGAAACATTCTGTACATTTTGTGTTTTCAAACTTACTACTAGCTATATATGTACCAAGTACACCAGGACTTGATCTTTAGATCCGTAGCAGGGAATTTTTTGATAGCCCTATTTGGACAGCCCATATTTTCTGACAGGGTGAGCCAAAAATAAGTTAATCCAAATAAATCTTAATTACTCAGTCATCCAACGTTGGTTTGAAGTCATGGCTGGTTTGAGGATTCTCAAAATTAAATCATGTTCAATGTTCTTTCATTCTACTTAGTTTTATTGGTATATCTCTAATAGTCACAATTTTATAGCCATTTTACATACTTTAAAATGTCAGTGTAGAGTCTGATGACAAACTTGAGTCTTGTCCAGTGAGTGTGGGTTGTTTAGCCATTTGAAGCGTGCTTTGTAAATGGCCATCAAATTGTAACCATTGACGATAGACTAATGAAACTTGAACATTGAACAAGGCTTATTGTGCCAAATAAATAAATTAAAACCCATGATGAATGACCAAGTTATTAACATATATATTTGTTTTGACTACCTTTTTTTGGCTCACCCTGTATATATGTAGCTTATTGTTTTTGTTTACAAAATTGGTCTTTTAAAATGTTCAACAAGAACCCCATTCTCAACAAAATTTCAAGGGCTGATATTATAGCTTTTAGTTGGTGCATTTCTACACACATTTCCACTCTGTGTATGTTTGTGTTGAAGCACTCTAGATCTTATATTATACTCTCAGTGAAGAGATGATGTAAATATATCTTCAATAAATTGTTTATCTTATAGGCTGCATTAATTCAGTTCGTCTGTTGAGCTTCGGTTGTTTTCTGTCTGGTACATTGTAGCATTGAGGCATATGAACGTTTGTAAATTCAGACAATTTTAACCTTTATGCAATTTTAGAGTTTCAATATTTGAGAAGATCTTGTAATCAAATACCATTGGCAAATTGTACTCTAAAAGCAGAGATCAAAACATCATCCACTGAGTTTGGAAAGTACTGACTCGATGAAGAGGGGGGGGGGCATCCCAGAATGCATAGAAGAGCCCATCTCCATGTAAAGATGAACCTCTAGAGATATGTTCCTCTTAGAACTCTGGGGTATTTCCTCCTCTTGAGTAGATGATAACTGAACTCCTGTTTATGGAAAATGGGCAATTTCAATTAATTATTTGGTTGACTTCTTCCCTTACTAAATGCTAATTTACTGTTGAAATCATTCATGCCAACCAAACATTAGTGATTACTTCCACTCTCCCCCAAATGTCATTATTCACATATAGCTAGGCAAGGTGTGTCCAGTTCCAGCCAATCTGAACAGAGTATTCATATAATGAACAGTGTGTGAAATATCAATAACACATGCAAGGTCACTAGTTAAACAGTTGTCATGGTGATGAATGAATTTTTCACATTGGATTTGATGACTTGCCAACTTGACCCTTCATTGAAAATGTGTTCTTTTAGTGATTTCATTACTTTTAAATGATTTTATAGAAACAAATTGCAATGTGTGAAAAGAATTTAAGCCCAATACTCAATGCATTGTAGCTGCTTCATTCCATAGGCGTTGTTTCCTAAACTTTGCATTCATGCTGCACGGTCATGCAAAGGTTTGGAAACAACACCTTCATGGTATGATTCAGCAAACAGTGCATTGAGTCCACATGAGTCTTGGGCTTAAATCCTTTAATAATCATTTTATTAATTTCTTTATATTCAAGTTATTTCATTATTCAAATTTTATTTTAAATGATATGTAAGAGTTTTGCGGCAGGAGGAAAGAGGGGAGGCATATTTCTGAATCAGTCTAAGGAGCACATATTTATCTCTTATTGTTTAATATTAGCAGTAGGTGTATATCTGTATGAATGGAGGGAAGTTGTATTTTCAGTCCAGGACTTTTTAAACAAAATGGCGGGAAATGATGTCTTCTCCAAAGAGGTTGAGGAACATTTAACAGAAATTATACAGAAAACTCACCCCAAAGTTGATCCCAGTGTATGCTACCGAGAGTTCATTGAGACAATAACAACACCCCCTGCATATACTGTTGTGAGAGTGAACACGATGAAACAAAGTAGAGAGGACACAATGAAGCAATTGCAAAGAGAACTAGATAAACAATGCCGAGAGAGGGAAAGAGAGCTATCTATTGTAGAACCCCATCTGGTCCTGCCTGATGCTTTGGTTGTTAAGCATAGGAAACCAAACCATGAAATTCCAAAGGTGAGTGCAGTGTTATGTTTTTGTATTGTTACAAACAGCTGTTTTATTGATGTAGATGTATGTTGTTTTATAGTCTTATACAAGTGTTTTGAAAATGATTCTTTTGTAGAATCAAAAATAGACTGACAAAGTAATAGACATTTTGAATTTTTTTTTCATATTTTGTAAGATGCTTACATGTATTGTCTTTGATTCCAGCACCCCCTGGAAGTGATTGTTGATGTATTCTGTGGTATGTCTGTTATGAGAGGAGCTGACATCTATTGTCAAGGAATAATGGGAGCGCCACCTATTATGAAACCTGGAGATCTGGTATCTGTATTTGTCGACCTGGATGGAAAGTGCTTGAAAGGATTACCAAAGTCTTTTGATGGTGCTCGATATTTTCTTGGCAATGGAAAAGCAATAGTTAGTCGCCAGGATTTATTTTGCTTTGAAGATGAGGCTCCCGATGGGGTTGGCATCAAAATGATGGACACGATTTATGAGGCTCCATCATTGAACAACTTACTCCCACAGTTGATATTCGCTCAAAATTTACCATCCATTGTGTGTTCTCATGTGTTGGACCCAAAACCTGGTGAATACATCTTGGACATGTGTGCTAGCCCTGGAGGTAAAACAACTCACTTAGGAACGTTGATGAACAATACAGGAAAAGTCATTGCGTTTGACAAGGGACCATCAAAAATTGCTAAGATTGAGTCAAATGTGAAAATGTGGGATTTAACGATTATTGAGCCCTATGCATTTAATGCATGCAATGCATTTGACCCCACTGCTCCTCCCTCAGGACCCCCTCCCTACCCAGAGGCTACCTTCGACAAGGTCTTACTGGATGGACCATGTAGTGCTCTTGGGCAGCGACCTTTGCTCAAAAATAAATCATCTTTGAAACAAATCAAGTCCAATCCTCCATTACAGAAGAGGATATTTGACAATGCTGTGAAACTCCTTAAACCAGGTGGTACTCTAGTGTACAGTACATGTACTATCACACTTGAGGAGAATGAAGGGATTGTATGCTGGGCCCTGGATAAGTATCCATGTCTCAGTCTTGAGGATCAGTTTCCGCATATAGGTGGCTCTGGTCGCAAAGGGACCAATTTGAATGACACACAACTGGCGAAACTTCAAGTTTTTGACATGTTTTCAAAAGATGAGGGTTCCTATGATAATGACACAATTGGATTCTTTATTGCAAAGTTTAAGAAAATTGTTTAGCAGTAAATACATAAAGTGCTCCTAAAAATGAAATAAATAGTTTTTATGTCACAACCAGAAGTGGTGACGTATTGTTACAGTCTCCAACTTTTTGTGGATGGTGTTGCAGTTGGTGTTCCATGCTTGATATTCGGTGGTATGTGTTTGGCAGTTGGTGTTTTGCATTGAGCATCTGTAACAAATGGCAGGTGGTGACATTTTGCATGTTAATACCTTCTCATAACACTTGAATGATGAATGATCATATGTTTAATACTCCAGAAATAGTTCTTTGTAATATGTTTATTATCAATATTTTATAAAAATGCTTATGTCAGTGTAATTAAATTCAATGTTTAGCAGTAATTTCTATATGTTTAACCATTTAGCGCTAAAAAATAATGTGATGGCAGAGCCAGATAGCCATGGTTGTATGATATACAGTAAAACTTGTCTAAGTGAGCACCTCTCTGTAGGGAACAATTGCATCTCATGAACACCTCTTCTCAGCACATACTCCACTGACTTCTGTATAAATTCACCTCACTCTAGTGAGCACCTACCTTAAAGCGAACACATTTTTGTGGTGTCCAATGTACACAGGTTTTACTGTAATCAGAATTTGAAATTCAGTGAATAAGACAATTGTGTTGTTTAAGTTCTTGTGACCCCAAGGGTGATTCTTGAAGATATGCAAAATAAATGACATAACAACAACAAAGACCTTATTAGTTAACATTTATAAGAGGAATATCGACTATTTCAAATCTATGAATGAAAACAAAATTGATTGCAGTTGTTCAGATTCATCAAGACTGGTGTAAATAAAAAGGGATGGGTTAAAAATGTAACAATTTGAAACTGTTTATTCTATTTTACTTTGACTCTAATATAACAGGTCTTTGAATATACAGGGTGACACAAAAAATACCATCGATCCACTAATTGTGGAATAACTTAAGGAATCTTCATGATTTTTAAGTGTAGATGGAGTGGACAATGGAGATTGGTATGCTTGCCTGGCATCATCAACTTGGAAATTAACAGATATCTCATTTTCCATGTAGGTATGTTCTAACACAATGGAGATTGGTATGCTTGCCTGGCATCATCAACTTGGAAATTAACAGATATCTCATTTTCCGTGTAGGTATGTTCTAACACAAAATCACTTAAAACTGTAAATTAGAAAATCTGTCCTATAAGCAAGTCTGTTCATCAAATTTGATAAGAATATTGAAGAAAAATGGGTAATCCAGAAATGAATCAAATAATGGCAAAGACAGAAATCCCAATTTCAGAAAATTGTATTTTTGAATATTTTTTGATGATTTCTCAGAGAGCATGCCTGGACTGAAAACGTGATCTATCTCTAGATCTAAAAGTTGTTGATGCTATCCAAGTACAACAATCTTTTTCCATTGAACACTTATTTATGCTACACAAAAAAATCATGTAGACTCCTTAATTTTTGAGAAAAATATTCCAAAATTAGTGGGTGGTATTTTTGTGTCACCCTGTACAGAATGTAAGAATATCTAAAATGTCAGTTTTCAGTTGAAAATAGTCAATAATCCACAAAAAAATGTGTATATCTGAACACCTCTCGACCTTTTCTTGGTCCCAAATTTGTTTTCTCTCATGTTTATGGGAAACCTTGAAACGTGAACACCTGCTAATGTGAACACTTTTGGCCTGTTGCAGAGATACTCAAAACAACTCTCTGTCTAAAACAATTTTAATACAAAGGTTCTTTCCTGAAAAAAGTAATACTTAAAAAATACCTCTGTCACCTGGTCACTTATACAGTAAAACCTGTGTACAGTACACACCTACATGTATGGAGCTACAAAAACGTGTTCATTGTAGGTAGGTGCATTACATAAAAGCAGTTTTACACAAGTCAGTGGTGTATGTGCTGAGAAGGGGTGTTCACTAGACACAGGTGTTCTCTATAGAGAGGTGTTCACTAGACACAGGTGTTCTCTAGAGAGAGGTGTTCACTAAGACAGGTTTAACTGTAATTTGTAAAAGACAATAAGTTTAGAGAATTATTTACATTATAGAAACTAGCATCAAAGGTCATCAATCTCCACAGATTGAGAGTAGAGAAACTACAAGGTGTTGTGTAGTCTTGCTTAAGGTGCTATGGAAGTTAACAGGAAATGACAAAACAGGAAGTGACAGAAATGTTTGCATTTTTAGACATTTTTTGAACGAAGATAACAGAGTTCTGGTTTGACCTCCAGTCAATTTAACTATTTCCACATGTCATTTACATGACCAGGATCACATTGAGCATGGTCAGAATGACTCTAAACATGATGAAATAACCTTTTTAGCCCTTTGAAAGTGTGACTGAATAAAAGCTAAAAGTAGGAGCGTAGGGAAGGTCACTGAACAGAATCTTTTGAATTTTTCAGAAAATGTGCCCAATATATTGCTCTAAACGATACAATCTTTGAAAATTTGATATCATTCATAGAAAAAGAAAAAAAGGGAAAAAACTGATTTGAAAAGCGATCTATTTTCCTTTTTATGACCGCCATTTTTGTTTCAGACAATTTTCTAAAATTTCAAAGATTGTATCAGTTAAAGCATTATATTGGGCACATTTTCTGAAAAATTCAAAAGATTCTGTTCAGTGACTATCCCTACGCTCCTACTCTTAGCTTTTTTCAGTCACACTTTCAAAGGGCTAAAAAGGTTATTTCATCATGTTTAGGGTCATTCTGACCATGCACATTATGATCCTGGTCATATAAATGATATGTGGAAATAGTTAAATTGACTGGAGGTCAAACCAGAACTCTGTTATCTTTATTAAAAAAATATCTAAAAATGCAAAAAAAATTGTCACTTCCTGTTTTGTCATTTCCTGTTAACTTCCATAGCACCTTAAAAGACCCTGTGCTCCCCCCTTTATCCTTCTCTATATTGCCAGGTAAAGAGAGTGAAGGTGACGGGGGGGGGGTGGATACAGTCTTTGAGCAAGACTAGATGTTATGCTACCCAATCAATAACTCGCTTTAGCGAAACACTTTCTAGCCCGTTCGTGTGTTCTTTGTATGGCATGTGGAGACGTCAAAACAAAATTGTTTGTGCAAATACTGAAGTATTCTTGAAATTGTACACGTTTAACCAGTATGTGAATACAATAAACAAGTATATGTGAAGGAGGAATATCTAAGTTTGTCACGCAACACCTTGTTACTGACAAATGTACAATGTACTCCAGAGAAAACGTTTGATAATATTTTTATCAATTGAATTTTTATCTGTCAAAATCAAAGATGGAGGACAGGCAAAAAATACTGAAAGGAAACTTAGGGAATATCCCAAGAGCTTCTTCCAAGGTTATCAGGGTATTCACTAGTTCTACATTCTCAGGTGAGAGTTTTGCACGTTTTGCCACGCCCACTTTCTCTCTGTAGATAACTCCAAGAGTAGACTTAGACTTCGGTATCTTCACAGGAACTTGTAGCACTTATCATGTATACATATTGACTCAGATCTGACATAAGTAAATCATAGAGAAGTGCTACAAGTCACAGGAACTTGTAGCACTATGATATGAGATGCTTATGTCAGATATGAGTCATTTATATGTATAAATAAATGACTCAGGACATAAGCATCTCATATCAAAGTGCTACAAGTTCCTGTGAGTATTTTAGCTTGTAACAAATTATCGAAGTCACTATGATAGTAAATAAATGGCCCAATTCAACTCTAGATTCTTCCATGTCAAAAAGTTGTTGCATTATACAATGTATGAAATGAACACACCTGTCTAAATCCAGGTGACAGTGTTGTCTAACGCCATGTGTGTTGAGTAAGTTCACACATACATTTTACATGTATTCTATTTGTTTATATTACTTTTAGACATGATTCAAGAACGTAACAAGTTAATGTCTGATGCATACCCAAAGTTAAAGTCCTACTGTAGAGACAAATATGGTTTAGAGTTCCAGGTAGGTTCATATATCATCATCCTTGTTACACCAGTATTGCTTACCAGAATTTCAATGACCTGCAAATAGGCCATTTTCAAGAGAATCAAGATATAATGTTGACATGTACACCATCATGTGCAAGTCACTATATTGAATACTAGAAATGTAGTTAACTTTTAAAGTGCACAGTTGACAAATTTTATGTTAAATATAGGTCTGGAGTGATTGAATATTCTAAATTAAGTTTTATTGGCTCACCTTGTAAATTGTACATGTATCTTCATGTTTTATTTAAGTCCAAATTTTAAACAGCTTTGACATAGATGATGCACATGTTGATCCTTCAAAACTCAAGATTACCTCAATGATTCTCACTTCTTACACAAGAAGACTAGAGATTCTTACATTTTGTACAGGGTGACACAAAAATACCACCCACTAATTTTGGAATATTTTTCTCAAGTGGACAACAGAACTGGAAAAACTTGATGCTGAAGCAATGAGTTGACTGCTAATCTGACAAATTGTACCAACCATCTTTTGAAATTTATTGTAGAGCCCTGATGAGACTGGGAAAAATATGCATTGTAATGCTGCTTTTAGGTGGTTGATATGCGTTGGGGTGTGCGTGATGAGGCCCAAGATGATCATATGACCAGTGGACTTTGTATCAAGGAAATCAAAAACTGCCAGGACATTTCTATGGGTCCTCACTTTGTGGTAAGTACTTCAAGAATCATTGTGGAGATTATGAATTCATTCCTTGTAATATCCTTCACTGCCTCACTGGAAGGATTCCATTGCTGACAGTGTTTTCCATTGGATTTTTTTCTCAAGTGGTAGCAAAATTCTCATTTTTACAATTCACACCAAAATTGGTCAAAATACAATTCTACGTATGCCCATTTTTCATTATTTTTCTCATTTTCAAGTACAGTGTATGTGCAAATGAACTCTCAGGTGGGTGTAAGTCTGTTTTTAAAATCTCAGTTGGCTGCTGCGCCCACTTGCTTTAATGCAAGGGAGATCTCTGTTTATATTTATTATTAGCATAGAATAGCCAGGCAACTAACCGGGATAGGCAAAGAAATCACTTACTACCTTTAGACAGTTTAAGTTTAAAAATGCTTGAATAGAATATATTTCTGTAAAGTTTTGTTGAGGTAGTTATCTGGCCTTTCTCATGCCTGTCTATCCATGATATCATTAGAAAGGAAAACCATTGTTCCAGTCCAGACTTTAGATGGTCTTTATCCCATCAAAGCCCTATGTACACAAGAGTAATTGTGTCTACAAGAGTCATTCCAATTCCACTCTCACTTGTACATTGGATAGAGTCAATGCAACCTATGGACTGTCTATTTGTTAAATTATCCCAAGATAGTCATGTGGAATTGCTTAAAAAAATATAACATAATTTAATTGACAGTATACATTATATTTCAGATGTTGATAGGCCAGAAATATGGTTACAGACCATTCCCACCTAAGATAGATGCTGTAGAGTTTGAGACTCTCCTGGCTAGTCTGCATACAACAGAGGGCACTGACACATCTCTACTTGAGGAGTGGTTTGTCAGAGATGACAACATTGTACCCCCTGTGTATAATCTGAGGCCTATTAGTTCTATACTTACAAACTATCACAATATGGTGAGAGGATATTTATTGACTTTTTAGGCATAGCCAGACACTTTATTCATTGTTTATTCAAGTGAAATATTTCTGAAAGTTTTCAAAGTACTAGAAAAGGTAATTTCTAAGCTTTTAATAAGGCCTATATCTTTGACATTTATATGTAAAATTGATATTCAAAGGGTAATATTTGAAATACTTTCATTTCTTTTATTTTGGTTGAATGAAATTCACATAGAGCTACATGTACCTCATAAATTCCTTAATGAACTGTGATTTTCTTATCTTCTTTAGGTTTACATCATTTAACATTTTTCTCAGACTAAACTAAGGGTACTATGTTATATAAAACCATAATAATCGCTTAATACACATATATAATATGTGTGTTTCAGGAGGACTCTACACTACGTCAGGCTGACAGGAACAAATGGTGGCAGGTGTTTGATGGTCTACAGAGTCTTCTTCAACAAGCTTCTGATACATGTGTCAAACAGGGGACCATTGAACCACAACAAAGGGACAAGTACTTCATATCAGGTAGTTAAGGGGCGAATACTCCAAGGGATTATTATGTTCTTACATTGTGTCAAACAGGGGACCATTGAACCACAACAAAGGGACAAGTACTTCATATCAGGTAGTTAGGGGTGAATCCTCTGAGGGATTATTATGTTCTTACATTTGTACGTCACTTGTATTTACTCATTTATAGGAGTAAGAAATGCCATGTCACATGAAACCTAAAACACATTTTTGTTTCTTGTTCTGGTAAAATTTAAATTCACAATTGAAGTTTTGTGTTTTCATTTTCAGTTACTGAAGATGAAGTGAGAAATGGGCTCTTCCAATCTCCAGACCCACCCTCCGAGTGTATTTGTTTCATTCGTGACATCACAGATATTGAAGAGCATCTCGAGCACAAACGTGCACAGAAATTTGTCGATCTTGATCCAAGTGCAGTAAAATTAGACTTTGAAGCTCAGAACATGCTTAGTGAAATGAGAGACCACAAAATCAATGAGCTAATGAAATCGGAGAATATTAAAACGTTTAAAGTAAAATGGTCAAATTCAGGTGGGATATGCCCCGATGAACACAAAGAGTATCTGGAATATTTAAATCAGTCATATTATGAGAAGATGTGTGCTTTAATTGACAACAACATGTCACAGTCGTCAGATACTATAACTAAAGACCCCTTAGTTGTTGAAGTCCTTCAACATTTACGTTCCTGTAAAAGCAGATGTGAAGTTTTCCATGGGAGGGGAGAGATTATTGAGAAAGTCGAGAGTTATGTTAAGGGCACATCTGATACGCTGTTGATTGTGCATGGTTACTCTGGTGCGGGGAAAACATCTATCTTGGCTAGATCTGCAAGTTTCATTACATCTTGGCTGTCTGAGGCTTCACCTGTAACAGTTCTGAGATTTCTGGGTAAATACAATCATGTGCCTATACTTAAGGTTTAGTCTGAGAAAATATTTGAAAGGCTAATTCTCAACTTAGATAACTGTAAGAATTACAAAAATATTTCTAACTTTACAGTGGAGCCAATTAAGCAGGCTGTTTAAATTTTGACATCAAAACTCCATCAGTAACAGAAGAGGCCACAAGCATTCAAATGAATATCTTGAATTAATTTTAACCTATAACTTTTAAGTAGAACCTTTGGCCCCTCTAAAATGTGTTCCACTTCATTCAACATTAAGTCAGTTTGCCTTTGGGGACATGTGTTCCACTAACAGAGGTTTTCCACTTCTAGAGCTGTTCCACTTTACAGGTTTCTCTGTATTATAATTGAAATTTTATTGTAGGAACCACCCCCCAGAGCAGTTCCGTTAGACAGACCCTGTCGTCCATATGTAGACAGATCTCTGAAGTTTATGAGAGAGACATATCTGCTATTCCTGATGACTACTCACTCCTTGTCTCCTACTTTCAGGAGTTACTTAACGTAAGTATTTTCATTTTTTGTGTTCTGCTGTTACCTATGTTCCAGAATATTTGCAAACCTGATATTAGTCACTCTGGCAAAAGCTGAAACAGCCCTGTATAATGTTGCAAAATCAAGTGATTTTGTCAGCAGTGTCTATCAAATGTGATACATGTAATACAGAAATACTTTGATTTTTGTTGTTCAAGAGTTGAAAGATTTTCAGTCACCTTTGTCAGGATTTAATTTATAGATGGTTTTGCTTTAGGTGGCAACCAAAGAAAACCCATTAGTTCTAGTCCTGGATTCTCTTGATCAACTCTCATCTTCCCATCATGCACATGGGCTGTCATGGCTACCGAAGCAACTTCCTGTGAATGTTCGTGTCATCATATCTACTCTCCCTGAAATGTACAACATTCTATCCACAATCCAAAAACATATCATGGACCCCCAGGCTTATGTAGAGGTCACCCCATTGGGTCAAGCCCTTAGTATGGATATCATAAACTTATGGCTTGAAGCAGCCAACCATAAAATAACTGAAGATCAATCTAAAGTCTTGAGAGATGTCTTCAAGAAATGTAGTCTTCCACTTTACATGAAGTTGGTGTTTGATGAAGTATGTAAATGGAAGTCATACAGGTGAGTTTGTTATTTATTCGTAGAATCTCATCTTGTAATACATCTTATTTTCATCCCAACTAAATTTTAAATAGGCTAATACATACAGTAGGGTAATGCAGTATTTATACAACAAGCACTATCAGACTATTACTATCTATTAGCTGTTTTTATCGTACCTAACAAGAGGTACGATATTGAAGTCAGCTTGACGGGCGGCGGGTGGCGTCTCACTTTTCAGCTTGTCTACAGGTTTCCAGCCAAACCATTTGAGGGATTCATCTGAAATTTTCAGGGATGTTTCTACATATCAAAGTCAAAACTGATTAGTTTTTGGGCATTCTGGGTAAATTTTTAGGTGGCCATTTTGGATTTTCCATCCTAAAATCTTCACTTTCAAGACTTGTCTACAGGTTTTCAGCCAAACCATTTGAGGGATTCATCTGAAATTTTCAGGGATGTTTCTACATATCAACGTCAAGAACTGATTAGTTTTTGGGCATTCTGGGTAAATTTTAAGGTGGCCATTTTGGATTTTCCGTCCTAAAATCTTTACTTTCAAGACTTGTCTACAGGTTTCCAGCCAAACCATTTGAGGGATTCATCTGAAATTTTCAGGGATGTTTCTACATATCAACGTCAAGAACTGATTGGTTTTTGGGCATTCTGGGTAAATTTTAAGGTGGCCATTTTAGATTTTCCGTCCTAAAATCTTGTCTATCGAGGCTTGTCTACAGGTTTCCAGCCAAACCATTCAAATTTTTACATATGTTACACAGTGATAAGTTCTAGAGCTGATTAACTTTTCTGCGGCCATCTTGCTTTCTTGGTCAACAAGACCAAAATGCTGTGTTTTAGGTACGATATTGTTCACGTCTGTGCCTTGTTGTATTCTCATTAATTTGAGGATCATCTTAAATTAACTGTGATACAATATTCATTATTTATTTGAGAATCACAATCTCTCATTAAACCTCCTGATTCATGAATACTAAAACTGAGTTTTCTTCCACAGCCCTTTAGATACTTTAAGGCTGGCAGACTCAGTGCAGGGGATCATTCACACATTATTTGACAGACTAGAGCTACAACATGGAAGGACGTTGGTGTCTCATTCACTTGGCTATATTACAGCATCTACCACTGGTCTCAGTGTTGCTGAACTAGAGGACTTGCTCTCATTAGGTAAATACACATCAGCACTATTGGTGAAATATGAATGTATTATCACTTACTAGCCAATCAGAACACAGAATGGCAATGCAATATCAGACAGCTAAGTTAGAAGAAAACATGACCTTCATTTGTTAAACTTCATTTGTTAAAATTATAAATTTTATCATTCATGGTTTCATCTGCACCAAATACAAACATCGGTCGAGTGCAGAGTGGAGTCATAGTGTGTGTGTGTGCGTGCGAGAGTGAGAGTGCATGCGTGCGTGCGTGCTATTCAACATTCATTATCATATTTTATTTGAATATTATGATTTCAGATGACGATGTGCTAGATGAAGTGTTTGTTTACTGGTTACCTCCTATTAGACGAATTCCCCCTCTGCTCTGGGCCCGCATCCACAATGACCTAGATAGTTATATGGTCCTTAGAAAATCTGGAGGTATGCATTTATTTAGAAGAGGAATTCCCCCATGCTTCAGTATTTCTTACTTATGTTCAAAATTTTTATCAACAAAATATGTTACAGTATTCCCTTTAGGAAAAAAAATATATTGAATATATTTTACTCCAATTACAGGTAGCTCTGTGATGTACTGGTACCACAGACAGTTTATTGCAGTAGCCACTGAGCGTTATCTCTCAGATGATACAACTCGCAAAAATCTCCATTCCAAGATGGCTGATTACTATATGGGTCTATGGGGTGGAGGGAAAAAGAAACCATTCACATATACAAAACATCAGATGTCTCGAATGGCTTTAAAAGACTCACAAAGCGAAGCTGACAGAATTGTACCTGTCCAGCCCCTGGTGTTCAGTCAGGAAGCTGACAACACTCAACCAACAGGAAACATTATGTATAATTTACGGAAAATGAGTGAGTTGCCACATCATTTATATAACAGTGGACGTTTTGAGGAGCTTCAGAAACTGGTCTTGTTTAACTACGAGTGGTTGTTCCTAAAACTCAAAGCAAAGTCACTCCAGGATGTGTTGTCTGATTTTAGACTTGCTCAGAATGAGCAGGGCATACTCGAAGGTGATGTACGTCTTTTACATGATGCCCTTCGTGTATCAGCAACAACACTTAACGCAAATACAGATACTCTCCCGAATGAATTGTTTGGTAGTTTGTGCATTCACCAGATGGAATATGACAACATTAGGGATGTGTTAGAACAACACAACCAGTGTGACGTTAACAATGGAATGAGGAGTTCCTTGATGCCTGTCTATCAATGTTTTGATCCCCCAGGTGGTGCTCTGTTGTATAGTCTCGAGGGGCACAAGAAATCTCCAGCTAAGGTGCTATTCTGTGAAACAACCAATGAGCTGATATCAGCAGGAGTTGATTCGACAATCATATTCTGGGATTTACGAACCGCTGAGCAGACAAGGCGGATTACAATTCGAAAAGATATAACAACCACCCGCTTTGCTGAACTACAGATCATCAGCCCAGATGGCATGACAAAATACCTCTTTTACATGACGTTTGATCGGAGCCAGTCTGTGAATTATATCTTGATATATGAACTCATCTCTGGTGTTCTCTTGTCAACAGTCCGGCTGGAACATCGCCAATTTTCTAATAACAGGGTATCGACCAATAACATTGTTGCATGTCAGAATGCTCTCTATGCGATTCCAAGTGGTGATTTGGTGCATGATTTTAGTGAATTGCGACCCATCAAGAACTATGCCAATGTGGCCATGACTCCGGATAATTGTCTATACATTGTAGGAGATGATAAAGGAATTGATATCATTAACGTTACAGAAGAGAAGATTGTCGAATCCATTCCTTGTGAAAATAGTCCAAGTAAATTGACAGTGACAACAGATGGGAAGTGGCTTTATGTTGGTTACATCATAGACTGTTTACTAAAGGTATGTATTATATGCATTAATTGATATCAATATCTTGGTTTTTCACCTTTAACCTTTTTCACCTTCTCGTATATGAAAGATTGGCTGCTTGGGTTCTGGTATCTTGTCAATAAATAATAAGTAATGAATACAAAATAATTATCTACTCACATGACCCATCAGAAGAGTTGTTTCACTTGTGAAATGTTGCATATTTCTAATTTGAGGACACAAAACAGTTAATGTTTATGAACCTTAATTTTGTGAGACCCTTGATTGTGTAAACTTTAATTAAATTATCTCAATATAATATTCAACCTGGATCATTCCCTTATAACAGGTTTTGAGAGGGATTTCCTGGTGTTACTTTCTTAGGAAGCAATACAGGCCCGTAGCCAGGGGGTTTTGCAGGGTTCGAGTGGCCAAAAATTCTTTCAAAATCATGCAGTTTTTCACCATTTTGAGCACTTCTCAAGTGATTTTAGCCATATTTGGGCCTAAATTGTCAGATGTGAACCCCCCCTGGAAATTTTTGAAAACTTTTTTTGGCAAGAATCTGTGACTCAAATATTGGGGAAAATTTAAACAATGCCCATGTGTCTGTTATTCTCCAGGTGTTCAACATAGATCCTACCAGTGACACCTTTGGGTGTCTTCAGCACATTTTCAACTACCAGGAAAGGTTTCCAGATGTAACATTCTTAGAGGGAGAGACTTATTCCAAAGAGATCTCTTGGCTTTGTCTATCAAAGGACAACAAGTAAGACTTGTGTATAATGTTTTCTGTCATATTATGATATCACTTGCATTCTAGAAAATACAATAAAATTAAGTAAATAATTATGAAAGTTTATTAAATGTAGTCATACTTGATATTTAAGTGAAAACATGTACCATGTGCGTTAGTTAGGGCAAGGCGTTAGTCTTCTAAAACTGAAATAAACATGTAGGACATTTGATATAAGGTTTGTATGTATGGTCATTTTTCTGAGTAACCTGTCGTATACAAGTGAAACACAAGTAAAGCTATTTGAAATGCACATTGGGAAATGTTTGTGGGAAATTTTATGACGTGAAATTTTGTTATTTTCTAGGCTTTGTTTGATCAACTTGCGCAGATGCCATCTGATAGTCTGGAACACTGAGCAAGACACCGCGATAATCCTTGACGATCCAGGCCCAACTGATGATGTTGCATCTAGGAGCAAGGAAACACATGGCATATACTTCTCAGAATTCACCTCAGATGGGAATATTGCAGCAGCAGTGGGTACCGACCTTGTTTTATGGGATTGTGATACAGGATCAGTGTTAGCAAAATTCAAACCCCATGATTCACTAATGGCATCAATAACTGGCGGAACCAGTCCCGATGGATCACCTCTAGCAGTTACTCTCTCCTTTACAGAGCAGGCCATCAAAATGTGGGATTTGAATAAAGCTTTGGATAGCAAGGAAACCAGTGTGAAGTTTCACTCTATGCCTATTGATGTGATTGCTGCTGCTAAGGACACTGGAGAAATCTACATAGGAGCATATAAAAGACTAGATGCACCATTAGGGCATGGCTATACTTATCTCAACTATTTTTCTCTATACATTTACAACATCCACACTAACACCCAACTATCCCTGCTGCCCTTTGGTAATTATGGGCGACTGGAGAAGTTATCAACATCTACAGATGGGGAGCTTTTGCTGATGTTAGTGAAGAGGGTGAAGAATGACCAATATGTCATAGCAGTTAATGTTCCCCAAAATAAACTCATTGGTGTGTATTCACATGAGAATTGTGAGGCCATGGTTCTGAGTGGGGATGCCCAGTGGCTATGTACTCATGCTCCGGGTTCTAGTACATGTGCACTTAAGCTGTGGAGACTAGGGAACGATACAACAGTAAATACATGGAAGGAGGCTAGAAGCGCTTTATTTTCTAATGATTCAAGCCACCTTATAGTTGCAACAAGAAGATCACTCATTGAGGTGTTCTCTTTGGAACAGTTACAAATAAAGAAAACTGTCAAAATAGATGGTGCCATAGCTGTTCAATCTTTAGCGCCTATTCCTCATAGCAACGATGATATTATCATAGAAACTAACATCAAGAAAGTGATAAATAGCAAGAAGACGAATGTCATCTCTATTTCTAAACTAAACACTGTGACACAAGAAAGATCCACAGAAATATTAAACGGTGAAGACCATATTATCCAAGATGTAACCGATGATGGCTTGATTGCTGTTGATAACTCTCTGAGACTGATTGACTTCACTCATGGTAAAATTGATGAACACCCACATGTTGCAAAGCCCCATACGGTGTCCCATATTAGACTCACCAAAGATGGGGACCATATAATCTGGTTTGACAAACCTACAGAGACACTACGTATGATGAACACAAAAACACATAAACTCAAAGCCAATTTTAGTACCCATTCCCCAGTAACATCACTTGAAATGTTGCCCAATGGACTCTTGTTCTGTGGTACAAACAATGGTAATGTATTAACTTTGAAAGTATGTACTGATGAGGACAAGGACTCTTCTAAGGACAATACAACTCAGGCACGTGAAGTTGAAAAGCCTAATGCTTCTAGTGATACAATGTTGAGTGAAGACATTCAGGATGTTCTGAAAAAATTAGCATTTGTTGTAAGAAATGTTATCGAAACCAACGATGAAGAGACCAAAACAAAGAGTAGTACATGTTCTTTGATATAAGTAAGAATTAAAAAATTACCAAATGTTGTATGTAGGGTTCTTTACAATTTTTTTTAAAACGAGTGGTGGAAAAACTGTGATTGAATCTGAGCATAAAATCCTTGTTTTATAAGATTTCCAATATTTCAGGGAATTTCCCATACAAACAAAACATTGAAGTTGAAGTCAACTTGATGAAGTACTTAGATTAAGGCATTATATAGACAATGAAACCTGTAAACCATTCATGTATGACAGCCGTTTCCAAACTCAGGTTTGCATGTGACCAAGCAATACTTTTTCAAGCAATATGCAAGAAACTAGACAAGTTAAAGTCAGTCTTGTAAGTTCAAGTAATGTTTAATTGCATGTTTAAACGTAGAAAATACAAACAATACGTAAAAGTAAAATGTGAGGACTGAAATGCATATGCTGTATGTATGACAACTTCTTAATTAAACTCAGGCTTCATGTGACCAAGCAATACTTTTTCAAGCAAGCAATATCCAGAGACTATTAAGACAAAGTAAAGTCTACCTTGTAAGTTCAACTAATGCTTTATTGCACGCTGTAAAGTAGAAAATACTACTTACATGTAAAATTGAAATTGAGGACTGTAATGTAAATCTGTATTGATGCCAAATGCTTTCAAAATAATAAACTCAGGCTTGCATGTGACCACGCAATACTCCTTCAAGCAATATGCAGAGATTAGACAAAAGTCAGTCTTTTATTAAGTTCAAGTAATGTTTTTATTGCACGTTGTAAAAGTAGAAAATACGTAAAATTGAAAGTGAGGACTGCATGATATGGCACTTGTACTGATGTCAAACATACATCCAACAATAAAAAATATTACAATTTTACAATTATAATAGTAATTAAGAAAATGTAAGTGTAATGTGCATGTATATGCTGTATTTTGACAACTGCTTTTAGAATAAAATCAGGTTATTTTACTTTTTAATATTATTACTGATATAAGTGTATAAATATTTTATCATTTATTCAATAACCCAGTGTACGATAATATACAAACAGAGACTGCCATTGAGGGAAATAATGCAAAATATTTTTCCCGAGGGAATATCCCGACCACTGACATGTTCCTGAGGCTGCAGGCCGAGGGAAAATGTCATTGGACAGGATATTTTTCATAGCTAAATTACAAAACCTGTTTTAAAATGCTGGCGTCGTGTCTGGGGGAAAACATGAACGTTTTAGGCCAGATATGTTGCTCTCATCTTCTTATCTCTTGTTTCAAGGGTTGTTTTAATGTAGACATTAAACCGATACTTGTCTCAACCCATACTAAATGATTGAGTTTATTAACATATATTTGTTTCGGTTGCCTTTTTGGCTCACTCTGTACCTCAATGCAATATGAGAAGCGCAGACAATCATTTAACTGTAAAATGTATCCTCCAACCACTACAATTAACAAAATTAACAATGTGCTCCATTATTTTATAGACCAAGGTGGTCGCGATTTCTGTCATAATGCACCAGTGGTGGAAATAATTAAACCGTTATCCTTTGCATTCGCTCTCGACCAAGTAACGACGATAGCTACAAGTCACCAGGTCAAACCACCCCTACTTGTGGTGCATTATGTGAGGCGAAAGCACTAGGGGCAAAACACCACAAATTTTGAGCAGACTTTGAGCCCTCTTTTTGAATGTGAACGATGCACAATTATGGATACTATGATTTTCTCATTTTCATCTACATTTCAACATTGTATATATTTCTAGAAAGCTCATGATTACAACTGTAATCTGTGATGATGAAAAAGTACTAACTTTGAATACTTCTAGTCGAGGTTGGTTCATTGATTGAAGTATTTCCAAGTTTTCGTTGATTCGATGGTTCGAAATACCCTTCAATTTCCTCAAGAGATTTCCCTTTGGTTTCCGGAAGTACTAATGCTACAAATATCACACCAAGAAGGCTCACCCCTGTAAAGCACCAAATTGCACCGTATTTATGAATCAGATTTTCTAATGTAGAGAACTCTTTTGTGACAATAAATGCTGACAGCCAATTCACAATAACTGATATTGAACTTGCAGCACTCCGAACCTTTAATGGGAAAAGCTCTCCGAGAAGTAGCCATGGTATAGCACCCCACCCTATAGAAAACCCAATAATGTAGCCTATAATGCTCACTAGGGACAACCAAGGAAAATCCATGTTGGGCTGAAGCTTAAGGTAGTAATAAGCCCCTAGTGCCCCGGAACTCAGCGTAAGAAAGCTCCCTGATATAAGCAAAAGCACCCTTCTTCCTGCTTTATCCATAAACAATGCGCAAAATACCGTCGCGATTATCTGCACGCCACCTATTATCACTGGGGGTAGGTTGGGATCGCTGCTAAAGTTCGTTGACGCGAAGATATCTCCAGCATAAAATATGATTGCGTTTATACCACAAAACTGTTGGAACAACATCAAAACTATCGAAATCACAAGCGGCTTGTAGACCGAAGGTTTACTCAGATAGCTCAGTTTGAATTTGTCTTTGGAATGCGCCTGTAGATTGGCCTCCATTTCTAATAGCTCGCCTTCAATATCATATTTATCCCCACGAAGTTTATTCAAAGATGAAACAGCTTCGCCATGGTATTTATGCTTGAGTAACCATCTTGGTGAGTCGGGTACAAAAATTATTCCAAGTAACATACATGTCGCCAACGATGCACATACAAAAGCCATCCATCGCCAATGTACAATAAATGCCAATGCGTACACAATCTGGACTCCGATTACCACTCCAAGCTGATTCAACGCTCCAAGCACACCCCTGTATTCCTTAGATGCAACCTCTCCTATATAGACTGGCACGCTTAGTGATACCATTCCCATGCCTATTCCAGTGAGTATACGCCCAGCGTACAGCCAGAGATAACCCTGGGAATACACAATCAGCAACCAGCCTGCAACTAGAGGGACCGACGCGAATGCTATCCCCGTGCGCCTCCCAACTAAATCAAGCATAAATCCTCCAATCGGTCCACCAGCTAAAGCACCAAGCGTAGGCAAAGACCCAAACCAAGAGGCCTGATCCGCGGTCAATTCTGTCTTCAATTCAATCAGTGCCGGAGAGGAATAGCCAAGCACCAACCCTACAGACACTGAGCCAATGCATGCAACCAACACGGAACTTAGCTGTATGCATAAGGCTGGTTTCTTGGGCCGTGTTGAAAATAGCAATGGAGTGGATTCTCCTTCAATGGAACCTGTTCTAGCATCCATGATCTGAAAAACAATAATTCGTAAAATTGTACCTTTTTATCCTTCATTTATAGGAGAGACAATATCATGAGTCAATTAATGCATTATACTTGAGCAAAATAGAGCCTCCAAGTGCGCTCCTAAGTGATTTTTAAATTACCTCTTCTGCACTAAGGTTCCACACTTTTTCCACGCTATTGGAACTATACACTATTTTCGAATATCAAATCTCATTTCGACCGAAAACAAAAATTCTGACGCATTTTGTAGCCTAATGGGGCCACTGCACTTAATGACCTCTATCTTTGTTCAAACTCTTAAATGTTCTCCAAAGTATAATTTGACATTGAATTAGTTATTGATAACCTAAAAATAATCCATTCAGGTGTATTAATTATTTTGAAATTGATTTTCATAAAATTAATAAATGACCCCCTGGGGATGAAATGGTTAATATCTAATTTTGCATTCACTAAAAATTCAAATGGAGGTCAGATTCTTATAGCTCACCCTTTCAGCTTTCCAACGGTACACTGGAACCTTAGTTCAGAGGTGGTCATATAAAACCCTAGTTTGCTACTAGTATGTACAGAATGCATTTTTGCACAATGCTCCATAGATTTCTTATTTTTTAAGTTTTACTGAGTTAGTAGACTAGTGAAATGAACTTTACAACTGTTTTATCAGACAATTCAGCAGCATTTGAAAGAGGTACTTGAGGGTCATTTCCGTATTTTGCATTGTGAGCTTAGATCTAACAACCGACTTACCTTTTCGCAATTGTCAGGATTAAGAAATTCGAACTTCTAAAGGGTCCCTGCTGTTTATAACCATGTCATCCTAGCTCTGAACAAAGTAACTTTTATAATGAATAGTTGTTTCAGCACTATTTCATGTTTACTCGCACGTCATGTATTCATATACTTCAATGAAACCTGCCAAATTATTCATCACATTTGTTATGCATGAGTTTAAACTTTTTTAAAGATACAGCGTTCAAAACTATTTTGTCCCAAACAGAAAATTACAAATGCTCAAAGTAGATGTTACACCGCAAAAGAACACAGAGAACTCCCACTAATAATGGAATATCTAAGCGTTTGATAACCTCGACTTTTGTGATCCTACATAACACTTGGATATACTTTCTGTCATTTGTGTTATCATCTACCTTTCATAAGGAATCAAAATACTATATTTGTATTATTTCTAACTGAAATTATGAGTATTTTGCTTATCGGATGCTTATGTGATAGTTGGGTTTGTGTGTACTTGATTTAGATATGAAGATCAGAATTCTATTGTCTTCGTTTATTCCAGTAAATTTCGGATCGTGTTGTCATTTCTGTCTTTCATATACTGCAATATGCAATAAGGCTGTAGTTCATTATTACGTAATATGTTATAAAATGTAACCAGGAAAGTAAAGATGATCATTTTTAACTCGAATATTCTCATACAAAAGCGGTCTGATTACATGTAAATTGCAATATTATTTGATTACCAACTTTTGATCCTGTCTTTTAATTTTAATTGGGCATTGTTGAAGAAAAACAAAGAAGGCTTAATGGACAGATTGATTTTATCTAAATTGAAAATAGGCAAAGATCGAAGGTCGGGGGAAAATGTTTTACTGCTCATGACACTAGAAGAGGTGATAAAAGTAAAAATACAAAATATTGATATTCTATTTATTGTTTGTGAACATTATTGAACAAAAGAGTGTGCGTTTAAGCTGTTGTATTCTGGGTCCCTATAATGCAATAATAGTAAAAATGATCACTCTAGCGAATAGTAATAATCTCGTGAGTCTCTCTCATGAATGATTTCTTAATTAAGGTCTTACACAGTTTAATAACTCCTTCCATTTGTAGTTCAAGTAGCTAAGTTGTTTGAATACTTGTAGGGGTTTGTTCATTGGTGACTTTATTGTCAAGCCTTGCGAGTGGTTTATTCGATTGCTCAAAATATTCTTCAATTTCTTCAAGAGATTTTCCTTTTGTCTCAGGCAGCACTACGGCAATGAATATCACGCCAAGAAGACTTATCCCTGAAAAGCACCACATGGCACCATATTTATGAGCAAAACCCTCTAACGTAGAATACTCTTTTGTTAGTATAAACGCAGACACCCAATTTACAAATACGGATAATGCACTTGCAGCACTGCGTACCTTTAATGGGAAAAGCTCTCCGAGGAGTATCCAAGGTATACCACCCCACCCTGTAGAAAACCCAATGAAGAAACCTATAATACCTACTAAAGATAACCATGTTAGGTCCATGTCGTGGTTGTCATGGAGATAATAATAAACTCCTAACGCCCCTGAACTTAAGGTAAGAATGCTCCCTGATGTTATCAAAAGTATTCTCCTCCCTGCTTTATCAATAATCATTGCAGAAAATATTGTCCCAACGACATTCACACCGCCTATTATCATTGCCGGGTGAAGCTTACTGAAGTTTGTCGAATCAAAAATTTCTAGAGCATAATATGTTAAGGCACCCATGCCACAGAGCTGCTTGAATGCCATTAAAATCACTAATATCACTAGAGGTTTGTAGACCGAGGGTTTGCGTAAGTAACTCAGTTTAAATTTCTCTTTGGATTGCGTCATTATATTGGCCTCCATTTCCAACAGCTCTGGCTCAATGTCATATTTATCTCCACGAAGTTTATGCAATGCTGACACGGCCTCCTCTCTATACTTGTGCATGAGTAACCATCTTGGTGAATCTGGCACAAATACTATTCCCAGTAGAAGCTAGAACTGTTGCTATGGATGCACAAACTAAAGCCATCCATCTCCAATGTAAAAGAAATGGCAAGGCGTACACAAGGAGGAGCCCTATGGAAACGCCCAGCTGATTCAACGTTCCAAGCACGCCTCTACATTCCTTCGATGCTACCTCTCCTATATAAACTGACACGTTTAATCTAGACATCCCAATCGCTATCCCAGTGAGGAAACGTCCAGCGTATAGCCATAGATAACCCTGGGAATATACAATCAGCAACCAGCCAGCCACAAAGGGCACAACCATAAATGCCAAACCTGTACGCCGCCCAACCAGATCGAGAAATAAGCCTCCGAGTGGGTTCCCAATTAATGTACCAATGGTCGGCAAAGACCCAAACCACGAGGCCTGATCCGCAGTCTTAAAACTAAGGTAAAGCAAACTCAAAGCAAAACTCCAATTATATTTGTTTTTTTACAAATACACTTGTAGTTATAAAAGAGCTTGCGATATCTCACCAGTGTTACTTTACCATATTTAAAGCTTCTTTATTAGAAAATCCAACACCTCCGCTAAACGTTTGAAATAAAAATATTAATACAGGGTGAGCCAAAAAAGGTAACCCAAACAAATGTTATTAGCTAAGTCATTCAGTATGGGTTTATGATCATACTTAGCTAAATAAAACCGTGTTCAATGTTCTTACACTCTACTAAGTATCATTAGTTTATCCCCAATGGTCAATATTGTATGGCCATTTTACAAAACCTGCTTTAAAATGCTGGCATCGTGTCTGGAGGCAAACTACGTTTCAGGCAAAGTTGTTCACTATACGAGCACAGACTGAGATGTCTCGTGTAATTGCTCTCATCTTCTTTCTTGTTTCAAGTGCTGTAAGTGTAGACATTTTTCGCAGATAAAAATCTGGGGGCGGGATTTATGTTCGGAGAGTGTGGCACATTTCGGCATTTGGGGCGTGTTTTGTAAATGGCTATAAAATTGTTACCATTAGGTATAGACCGATGGAATTTGATATAAAGAAAGAGCACCGAACAAGGTTTAAATGTGCCATATCTGATTTTAAACCCATACTGAATGATTGAGTTATTAACATACATTTGTTTCGGTTACCTTTTTGGCTCACTCTGAGCGGATTTTGAGCCCTCTTTTAGAAGAGTGAACGATGCACAATACGAATATTATGATTTTCTCAATTCATCTACATTTCAGCATTGTATTTCTTAAAAGCTAATGATTAGAACTGTAATGTGTGATGATGAAAAAAACTAACTTTGAATACTTCTAGTCGAGGTTGGTTCATTGATTGAAGTATTGCCAAGTTTTCGTTGATTCGATGGTTCGAAATACTCTTCAATTTCCTCAAGGGATTTCCCTTTAGTTTCAGGTAATACTAATGCAACAAATATCACACCAAGAAGGCTCACCCCCGTGAAGCACCAAATTGCACCGTATTTATGAATAAGATTTTCTAATGTAGAGAACTCTTTTGTGACAATAAATGCTGACAGCCAATTCACAATAACTGATATTGAACTTGCAGCACTCCGTACCTTTAATGGGAAAAGCTCTCCGAGAAGTAGCCATGGTATAGCGCCCCACCCTATAGAAAACCCAATAATGTAGCCTATAATGCTCACTAAGGACAACCAAGAAAGATCCATGTTGGGCTGAAGCTTAAGGTAGTAATAAGCCCCTAGTGCCCCGGAACTCAGCGTAAGAAAGCTCCCTGATATAAGCAAAAGTACCCTTCTTCCTGCTTTATCCATAAACAATGCGCAAAATACCGTCGCGACTATCTGCACGCCACCTATTATCACTGGGGGTAGGTTGGGATCGCTGCTAAAGTTCGTTGACGCGAAGATATCTCCAGCATAAAATATGATTGCGTTTATACCACAAAACTGTTGGAACAACATCAAAACTATCGAAATCACAAGCGGCTTGTAGACCGAAGGTTTACTCAGATAGCTCAGTTTGAATTTCTCTTTGGAATGCGCCTGTAGATTGGCCTCCATTTCTAATAGCTCGCCTTCAATATCATATTTATCTCCACGAAGTTTATTCAAAGATGAAACAGCTTCGCCATGGTATTTATGCTTGAGTAACCATCTTGGTGAGTCGGGTACAAAGATTATTCCAAGTAACATACATGTCGCCAACGATGCACATACAAAAGCCATCCATCGCCAATGTACAATAAAAGCCAATGCGTACACAATCTGGATTCCGATTACCCCTCCAAGCTGATTCAACGCTCCAAGCACACCCCTGTATTCCTTAGATGCAACCTCTCCTATATAGACTGGCACGCTAAGTGATACCATTCCCATGCCTATTCCAGTGAGTATACGCCCAGCGTACAGCCAGAGATAACCCTGAGAATACACAATCAGCAACCAGCCTGCAACTAGAGGGACCGACGTGAATGCTATCCCCGTGCGCCTCCCAACGAAATCAAGCATAAATCCTCCAATCGGTCCACCAGCTAAAGCACCAAGCGTAGGCAAAGACCCAAACCACGAGGCCTGATCCGCAGTCAATTCTGTCTTCAATTCAATCAGTGCCGGAGAGGAATAGCCAAGCACCAATCCCACAGACACTGAGCCAATGCATGCAACCAACACGGAACTTAGCTGTATGCATAAGGCTGGTTTCTTGGGACGAGTTGAAAATAGCAATGGAGTGGATTCTCCTTCAATGGAACCTGTTCTAGCATCCATGATCTGAAAAACAACAAAACGCGTAAAATTGTACTTTGATCCTTCATTTATAGGAAAGACAATATCCTATGCCAATGCATTACCCCCAGAAAAAGTACTCATGGAGATGATAAAATAATTTTGACTTTGACAGGGAATGTCCAAACACCCCACCAACAAATGTTTTTGAAATGTTGTTCTCTTTTGCTCACCTATTTTTCCCACCTTTCCCCCACCTATTTTTCAATGTTTGTTGCTCCAATATGTTCCGTTTTGAGACCCGAGGAAAAAATGTATTCATTTAGGGGTTTTAAAGATGTCAATTATGGGTGACGAAAATTAAGCTGAAAACGATGGATCGCATGAGATTTCCCTATGGGAAATATTGTTTTCCTCTTCATCAAATGAATGCATTTTTCCTTTTAAGAGGTTAACTTTGTCTTAAAACGCAACATATCCATGTATCAAACATTGAAAGAACAGATGTGGAAAGGGTTGAAAATCAGGACAACATTTCAGGAAAACATGTCGGTGGGGTGTTTGGTCCTTCCCTGTCTCAAAGTCCAAATCATTTTATCATATCTATGAGTGCTTGTCCTGGAATTAATGCATTGACCAAACATATATGCACCAGTTCAAATCCTCAGAAAACAGCCAAATTTCAACATTTTCGACTGTCTGAAAATCTGTAGCTATACCTTTCGCGTTCCTTTATACTTCACGACTTAAAAATAACTTCCAAAACCAATGACTATCGTTGCAACTTGTATTTAACAATCTTTTCCTGAAAATGTCAATCGCTCGAAACTTTCTCTATATATCACTGAACCTATAATCAGTTGATTTACTTTTTAGGATATCCAATGTATGTAGGATGAAGAATGTATCTAGAACAACTACAACGAACTGTTCTATCAGCCTTTGAAAGAGGTAATCCCGGGAGGTAATCGAGCACAGGCAATGGAACATAGAAATAATCCCCCCCCCACTCTCTGTACATAAGTAAATAAAAATTATAAAGGGGGGGATTATTTCTATGTTCCATTGCCTGTGTAATCGAGGGCCATTTCTGCATTTTACATTGGGGGCTTAGATCTGACATCGAGACTTACCTTTTCGTAATTGTCAGGAATCAAGAAACTCGAACTTCTGAAGGATCCCTGTTGTTTATAACCGTCTCATCCTAGCACTGAACAAAGTAACTTGTATAATGAATAGTTGTTTCAGCTCTATTCCATGTGTTTTATGTCCCTGCTTCATTAAACCTTGCCAAATTATTCATCACATTCGTTATGCATGATTTTTCTGGTTTTTTAAGATATAGCGTCCAAAAAAGTTTTGCCCAAAACAGAAAATTACTAATACTCCATGTAAATGTTACACAGCAAAAGAACATAGAACTCCCACATATAATGGAATATCTAAGCGTTTGATAACCTCGACTTTTGTGATCCTACATAACACTACATAAGACTTTCTGTCATATGTGTTATCATCTACCTATCATAAGAAATCAAAATACTATTTTTGTATTATTTCTAACTGAAATTACGAGTATTTTGCTTATCAGATGCTTATGTGATAGTTGGGTTTGTGTGTACTTGATTTAGATTTGAAGATCAGAATTCTATTGTCTTCGTTTAATCCAGTACATTTCGGATCTTGTTGTCTCATTTCTGTCCTTATTTTTCATATACTGCAATATGGAAAATCATTATTAATCGTCAGATGTTATCTCCAGGGAATCGAACCCGTGGGGGCCTATAAAAGGGCAAGTGGAAGGCTGTATAGTTCATTATTACGTATGTCATAAAATGTAACCAGGAAAGTAAAGCTGATCATTTTAACTCGAATATTTGTTCTGTAAAAAAGCGGTCTGATGATTACATACGTATATGTAAATTGCAATATTATTTAATTACCAACTTTTGATACGTCTTTTAATTTTAATTGGACATTTTAGAAGAAAAACAAAAAAGGTTTAATGAACAGATTGGTTTTAACTAAATTGAAAAAAAGGCAAAGATCGAAGGTCAAGGGAAAAATATTTTACTGCTCATACACTAGAAGAGGTGATAAAAGTAAAAATACAAAATATTGATATTCTATTTATTGTTTGTGAACATAATTGAACAAAAGAGTTAAGCTGTTGTATTCTGGGTCCCTATTATGCAATAATAGTAAAAATGATCACTCTAGTGAATAATAATAATCTCAGGATCCCTCTCATATGATTTCTTGAAGGTCTTACACAGTTTAATAACTCCTCCCTCCTCTAGTTCAAGTAGCTAAGTTGTTTGAATACTTGTAGGGGTTTGTTCATTGGTGACTTTATTGTCAAGTCTTGCAAGTGGTTTATTCGATTGCTCAAAATATTCTTCAATTTCTTCAAGAGATTTTCCTTTCGTCTCAGGTAGCACTACAACAATGAATATCACGCCAAGAAGACTTATCCCTGAAAAGCACCACATGGCACCATACTTATGAGCAAAACCCTCTAACGTAGAATACTCTTTTGTTAGTATAAACGCAGACACCCAATTGACAAATACGGATAATGCACTTGCAGCACTGCGTACCTTTAATGGGAAAAGCTCTCCGAGGAGTATCCAAGGTATACCACCCCACCCTGTAGAAAACCCAATGAAGAAACCTATAATACCTACTAATGATAACCATGTTAGGTCCATGTCGTGGTTGTCATGGAGATAATAATAAACTCCTAACGCCCCTGAACTTAAGGTAAGAATGCTCCCTGATGTTATCAAAAGTATCCTTCTCCCTGCTTTATCAATAATCATTGCAGAAAATATTGTCCCAACGACATTCACACCACCTATTATCATTGCCGGGTGAAGGTTACTGAAGTTTGTGGAATCAAAAATTTCTAGAGCATAATATGTTAAGGCACCCATGCCACAGAGCTGCTTGAATGCCATTAAAATCACTAATATCACTAGAGGTTTGTAGACCGAGGGTTTGCGTAAGTAACTCAGTTTGAATTTCTCTTTGGATTGCGCCATTATATTGGCCTCCATTTCCAACAGCTCTGGCTCAATGTCATATTTATCTCCACGAAGTTTATGCAATGCTGACACGGCCTCCTCTCTATACTTGTGCATTAGTAACCATCTTGGTGAATCTGGCACAAATACTATTCCAAGTAGAAGAACTGTTGCTATGGATGCACACACTAAAGCCATCCATCTCCAATGTAAAAGAAATGGCAAGGCGTACACAAGGAGGAGCCCTATGGAAACGCCCAGCTGATTCAACGTTCCAAGCACGCCTCTATATTCCTTCGAGGCTACCTCTCCTATATAAACTGACACGTTTAATCTAGACATCCCAATCGCTATTCCAGTGAGGAAACGTCCAGCGTATAGCCATAGATAACCCTGGGAATATACAATCAGCAACCAGCCAGCCACAAAAGGCACAACCATAAATGCTAAACCTGTACGCCGCCCAACCAGATCGAGGAATAACCCTCCGAGTGGGCTCCCAATTAATGCACCAATGGTCGGCAAAGACCCAAACCACGAAGCTTGATCCGCAGTCAATTCTGTCTTCAATTCAATCAGTGCCGGAGAGGAATAGCCAAGTACCATACCTACAGACACTGAGCCTATGCACGCAACCAACACAGAACTAAGCTGTACGCACAAGGCTGGTTTCTTTGGTCGTAAAGAAAATAACAGAGGAGTCGACTCCCCTGTAATAGACCCAGTTCGAGCATCCATGACCTGAAAATTTTTTAATCGTTTTAATAAAATATATCTATAAATATACTCATCATTTTTGAGTGGTGTTCGTACACACGTTTCGTTCAGTGTATCTGTGGTATATCAATGTAAGGGATACTTATTCTTGTAAATGTGCTTCATATTAGAGCTTGCAATGCTTATATTCAATATTTCATTTGGTTGTCTTACCTTGTCATTAGTTTAACTGCTCATTTCAGTAGTGTCTGCTCGGGTCCATGTAGGTGTTTACCGTTGATAGTTTTTAAATAATCGATTAAACCACATACTGGTTAGATTGACTTGACATACAGACATAAAATGCAAATGTTCACAACTCTCACTGGCTTGAATATACTACGTATATGAGACTTGATAACCTAACTAAACTTAAGAAAACTGATATATGTTATCACGTCTTTGTATAAGTATATTGAAATCACGATTGTACATTATTTGTTTGACCCAAGTGACAGTTGAGTCTCTTTGCGTTTTAGAGTATGATATGAATAGCGAATTCCCATTGTCGTTCTATCGTACGCCGATTCAAGTAATTTTGAGACTAGGTCCATGGTGATGTGAACTTTGTGCTTCATGTGCTATGTAAATTGTAAATACACAGGCTTGGTATGCATCTTCACTCAAGTTATGTTTTCGCACAATCGGGCGAGTTTGGAGAGGTTTAGCTAACGATGTTTTTCACAACGTAACCGTGAACGCAAAGTACAAAAATTAACAAAGGAATGTATCGAGCGCTCATAGTTTTATGCGCGCTTAGTCTACTTCAGATACTCTTTCAGCTTCAGAGTTTCGGGTTTAGAACGGGAGATTTTGAAATTTGACGTTGGGTCAACGGGAACCATTTTACTCGTGTCTATTGAACACTATGCTGTCAATTTTGATTTCGATGCACAGTTGAATTCTTGCTGAACACGATGATGTATGTCATGCATGATTTAGCGCCAAAAATATTACGAAACGAGCTCGTTTAAAATATGTATTAGAAAACCAGCTATAAAACCGCATCAATGACATACTATAGAATCATTACACGCTATGTAGTCCCTGATCTGGACCCTCTGAAAAAAAGTTTTGTTGTCCGGTACTTTCCCACATAAAATGATTGTACCGTTTGAAAGAACAGACTTCCCTTTTAAAGAAAACACCTCTTCTATTGATGTAAACAGGGGCAAAAGGCACCAAAACGGGGTTAGACAAGGTGGCATTCTGAAGTCTCACTTTCTTGTCATCACGATTCCAGGTAAACCATCAGACCGATTTACTTCAAGTTTTCACACATGTTACATGGTAAGAACTTCTTGAGCTGATTAACTTTGCGGCGGCCATCTTGCATTCTGGCGGCCATCTTGGAATTTTTTTCAGATAAATATTGTCATCGCGATTCCACAAAAACCACATAACAGATGTACTTCAAATGTTCACACATGTTACATGGTAAAAAGTCCTAGACCTCATTATTTTTTTGGTGGCCATCTTGCATTCTGGCAGCCATCTTGGAAGTTTTAAGATAAATCTTGTCATTACTTCATGGATTTACTTCAAATTTCCACACATGTTACATTGTAAGAAAATATAGAGGTGAATAACTTTTCGGCAGCCATCTTGCATTCTGGCGGCCATCTTGGAAATTTTGGGATAAATCTTGTCATCGTGATTCCAGGAAAACAACCTAACAGATTAACTTCAAATGTTCACACATGTTACATGGTATGAAGTTCTAGAGCTGATTAACTTTTCAGTGGCCATCTTGCATTCTGGCGGCCATTTTGGAAGGTTTATAGATAAATCTTGTAATAACGATTCCAGAAAAACCACTTCACAGTTTTGCTTCGAATTTTCACACATGTTACAATGTATGAAGTTCTAGAGCTGACTAACTTTTCGGTGGCCATGTTGCATTCCGTCGGCCATCTTGGTAGTTTTTAGATAAATCTTGTCATCACGATTCCATAAAAACCACGTAACAGTTTTACTTCAAATTTTCACACATGTTACATGGTAAGAAGTTATAGAGCTGATTAACTTTCCGATAGCCATCTTGCATTCTGGCGGCCATCTTGGAAGTTTGTAGATAAATATAAAATACAGTCAAAGCATTTACCACCAACAAAGGATGCTCTCATTCTCCATATAAATAGAGCCAACTATCAGGCCTATATTTGGCAAAACGCAGGCAAATCAATGATTGATTATCAATCCCCCACATTACATGGTTGGACATTCAAAGGGAATAATCTACAAATTAAGTGGATGGAAAATGGTCCTGCCCCACAAGAAATAATGGAGCTTGTTGCTTGTAGTTGTAAAGGAGCGTGTGACTCAATGAGATGTAGTAAGAAACAGGATCTCATTTGTGGAAGTTCATGTAAGTGCCGCAAAGGTGTGTGTGAGAACTGTCCAACCCATCAGCACGATGATGTTGATGAGAGCGACAATGAATATGAACCAGTTGATGACACCATTACACCAAACGTTGAAGATCAGGAAGAAAATGAATTACCTGAAAATCTCTTACCTGACAACTGGATGAACCAACTTGTCAAAGTTGATGCCATAATATGAATTATCTCACCCTGTATATACACTGGTGATCCGCGCGATTACAGGTACGATTTGTCCTTATTCCTTATTTCATGCGTTGTAGGCAGAATCCTCTCGACGTTTTTTCTCACAAACGTGAATCAGTATCATATGTCTTAAAATTGTACATGTTTACGAAAAATAGCTCAGAAGACGACAGAATCGTTGATTTAATTCCTAACTTAAGTTACATAAAGGTTCAGGTTAAAAGTGCAGATCTGAACTGTTTTTTCGAAATACCGTTTATGTAACTTAAGTGAGGAATTAAATGTACGATTATGTTGTCTTCTGAACTATTTGTTTGCAAATATGCACATTTTCTTAAACATATGATACTGATACACGTTTGTGAGAAAAAATGTCGTGGGAATTCTGCCTACAAAGTGTGAAAGGAAAAGGAAAAATCATACCTTCGATGTTCCCACATTTTGTTACCGAAACAAACCGTTTAGGTAACCAGCATAATCGAGTGGATCACTATAATATACTTTAGCAGTCTTTAATAATGTTAGGGAGGATGAGTTGTGTGAAGGCATACTATGTCATGTTAGATCATGATCTATACTATTTTTATTACAATTTACCAGTTACACTTTCTCCATGCTAGGTTCTGTTAAAACTTTTGTTCCGTTTCCTATGGCATCCGTGCTTTATACATTTACATTCACAATGGTCCCTTCCTGGTATATTTTTTAGGTTTCATGACTGTTAAATTCTATAGTCTTGTTAAGACCACTTTATAAACAGGTTTATTATTACTGGTGTAACTAACACAACGAAAAAAAATATAATTAATTTATTTGATTTCATATAACATGAAATTATTTTTTCTTTTCGATAAAACATTGCTTATTAGAAATATATTTAGTTGAAAACTTAGAGTAAACAATCAGTTCTTCTATCACAAAGTTGATTTTGGTTCAGTAGATTTTTCTATACATTATTTTTATGTCACCACCACTAGTGATTGGGTGACATATTGTAATAGCTTCGAAAGTTTATCTTGGCACTGTTCAGTAGTTAATGTGTACTGTATACTTAACAAGGTGTGGTGACATCGTCACTACTATTGAAAGCTTATGTTGATATTGTAGCAGTGTTTTTTAAGTTCTTTTTGTTGGTACAATTAGTTTCCAAACCCTATACTTATATCGATCTGACACACAGTATTAGTGCAGGTTTAAGTGATTTTTGTTGATTATTAAACGCAAAGAGCACATGTGTCTCGAACTCGCAACATTGTGGATAGTTTGACATGCTGGTGCTCTGAACCAGCTCGTTAGTTAATATCTGACTAAGAGACAGCTTGCTTTCCCGATGAAGAAACGTTATCTGCAGCTTTTATGAGAACTATAGTATCTACAACTATTTTTGATCTTATGAGTATTGGATATCATTATTTTCAATTTTTCTTCAACATGTATTTTAATGACTTTAGTATGAATGGAATGTCCCTCGAAGTTGTGGTCGTTGATGAGGAATTGGTCATTGAACGGTGTGGATGCTGTTTATTCCCATATTAGATTATTGTCTTGAGATATTCAGGTTTGTTTTTTGTTTGCCAGTTTTACACTTTACAGTTTGCTTTTCCCACTAGGTTGCTTTACACTTTTTTCCTTTCTCATTTGTCATTTTTGTTTATATTTAGTAAGGATATGATAAGCAGGTCTCTCCTTCTGTGTGATCACCTGTCCAAAAGATAATTCAACTGCATGAAGAACATTTCGTTGACATGATGCACAGTGAAAGGTTTTCCACACATTTAATTTTTGTTTAAAAGAGCTTTAATTCCGTTATATACTCAGATCAAGGCCAATTTAGCATACATTTCGCTCTCAAAAATCACTGTGCAATAATGGATTTCAAAGAAATCTTTGACGTTTTCAATAATCTTTTTTCTTTTTGATGAAATGTAGTTATTTATTCTTAAAATCAATCGATGTCATACACAAAATGCATTTAAGTGGTATAAAGTACAGAAGCAGAGAAAAAATATTATTTTAGAATATCACCATGTGTTACTCCATTGTAGCGCCTCTTGCCCATGTTTCTATCAATATAAAACATGATATCATACACCAAATATGCATTTATGTCAAATTATGTGGTTTAAAATACAGAAAAATAGACAACATTCTCCTTAGAATACCACCTTGTGTAACCCCACTTTACTGCCTTTTGCCCCTGTTTATATCAATATAAAAGGTAGCATGTAACCTTCCTTGTAACATGTGTAAAAGTTTCAAGAAAATCAGTAAAGTGGTTTTCCTGGATCACAATGACAAGATTTATCCAAAAAACATCCAAGATGGCCGCCAGAATGCAAGATGGCCACCGAAAGGTTAATTAGCTCTAGAACTTCTTACCATGTAATATGTGTGAAAATTTGAAGTAAATCCGTTTGGTTTTCCTGAAATCGTGATGACAAGATTTATCTTTAACTTCCAAGATGGCTGCCAGAATGCAAGATGGCCACCGAAAAAATAATGAGGTCTAGGACTTTTTACCACGTTACATGTGTGAACATTTGAAGTACATCTGTTATGTGGTTTTTGTGGAATCACGATGACAATATTTATCTGAAAAAAATTCCAAGATGGCCGCAAGAATGCAAGATGGCCGCCGCAGAGTTAATCAGCTCTAGAACTTCTTACCATGTAACATGTGTGAAAATTTGAAGTAAATCCGTCTAATGGTTTACCTGGAATCGTGATGACAAGAAAGTGAGACTTCAGAATGCCACCTTGTCTAACCCCGTTTTGGTGCCTTTTGCCCCTGTTTACATCAATAGAAGAGGTGTTTTCTTTAAGAGGGAAGTCTGTTCTTTCAAACGGTACAATCATTTTATGTGGGAAAGGACCGGACAACAAAACCCCTTTTCTAGAGCCCTTTTGGAAATCAGATCGGGGACTAATTGTGTAGTCTAAACAAACACTGGATTTGAACGGCTATTTATATGAGAAGGCTACATGAATTTGTATATGGTCGAGTGATACGTACAGGTTCAGTTTCGATTATATATGGCTGACGCCCGAGAGCTGACACTGTCTTTCACAAGCAATGACAAGGCTATAGGTGGACGTGAACGGCAGGATTTTAAAGTTGATATGGGAAAGTGTGGCGCGCGTACTATATACTTTAATACCAATTTAATTCCCGTTTTGCATCAGTGCTTCATGTTTATGACGGGAAATGTTAAGTTTCACGTGTGTATTTAAAGAAATAATGTCTAACAATTAACCATTTTTTCTTTTCACGTTAGATCATGGTTTGGGATTTATGGTTTTTTTTCTTTTGACTGGTATACATTTAGAATTTACTTTTTCTTGACAGGTTCCATTACAACATTTGGTCCTTTCCCTTTTGGACTTGTGCTCAGATACGTCTATGGGAATGATTTTACTCACTTAATTGAAAAAAAACTTAAGAACAATGTTAAATAAAGTGATGGAATATACTTTTAAAGAGATCCAGTCGTCCAGATTTCTATTCTGGACAATCAGTAATGTCCCAATAAAATTGCTGATAAAACATAATATATACCTTAGATATATCTTGAGTCCAAATCATAAGCACAATTTCATCAATATATTGGGAAATCAACAGGACAACCAATAGAACAACCAACTGTCAGAATTGAACGCAATAAGTCAAAAACAATATACAATGTTTTTTGGGATTTATTTATAGTTTAACCCCTTAGAAGTAGTTTATTTAAATATGGCTTCTCTGATCGCCAAACCAATCTGTTGAAACTGAAGGAAAAAGCCTATCAGACTGGAACAAATTTGAGCGGGCTTTTTATATTTTATTTTGAATTTCAACTGATGAAAGTGGAAATTCATGGCTAGGAACAATCATCGAATTGATACTGTTAAAGAATTAATTTAAGCCTCAGAATTGGTAAGTTGATAAACAAACTTGTTTTACATCAAATAACACAAAAAATCGGGGGTTACTCTAATTGTGTTTTAGGAGACCCGATCTCTTTAAGAATTCTAGTAGTAGAACAAAAAGCGCAGAAATTATCTTTCGAAACCTTTTTTCCTTTATTTTAGGGACGGTTGGAGATGTAATGCGTTTTGCAACAATTCTTCACGATTCTAATAATTTTGACAATTAGTTTCAACAAGATATTCTAATGTAGAGAACTCTTCTATAACAATGAATGCAGACAACCAACTGCAGCACTCCGTACCTTTAATGGAAAAAGCTCTCCGATGAGCAACCATGGAACAGCGCCCCACCCTGTAGAGAATCCAATGAAGTACAAATTTAGCCTATAGCGCTTACTTAAGATAACCACGGCAGGTCCATATAGTGGTTGTCATGGAGATAATAATAGACTCCAAGCGCCTCTGAAATAGAACTTAAGCCCTGTGTACACTATAAATAAATTTTCAATCATTTCAATCGTTTCAATGCTTGCATCATTTCGAGCATTTCAATCGTTTTAATCGATTCGCTTTTGAAATGAATTGAAAGTTTCGCTGTTTGCGCCTGTTTCGCCGTTTCAAGCATTTCAATTATGCGGCCAATTCATAGACTATCATGAAGAAACGGGCGAAACGATTGAAACGAAAAACAAACATGCACGTTTTTCGTTTCAAGCATTTCGCCGTATTTTTCAACCGTTTCAATCAATTCAATTCGCCTAAAGGGGTGTATACACTGGCAGGCGAAAAGGTTGAAACGGGGGCGAAAAGGCCGAAATGCTTTAAGCTGTTCTCACATTCTCTTTCATTTCAACCATTTCCTATAATACAATGTACTATTATTAATGGATTATGAAAAGCACCCTTTTCTTCTAACAGGTGAGACGTTGTAATATATTCATCTTAAACCATAAACAATATTCGACTCGCTCAGCATTCCTTCTTTATAACACATATGCAAAGTATTAAAATATGATTATTAAGGATTGTACTCGTACTTAGAGTAACATCAACGATCACCTTCACTCAAAATAAATTGTACAATAGACACGGTGATAGAACACATTAGAAAACAGCAAACAATTCTCATGTGTTATCTTTCAACTGTCATAAGTAATAAAATCACTTTTTATGTACTATTTGCAATTGGGTTTTAAAGAATTGTGGATATGGTAAATTATTATTTTTTAGTGACAAGAGAATGCAGAAAAGCATTTGAAATATAAACTGGAGTTGACACATATTCATCCCAGGCAAAACTAAATAAACCTAAGTTCTGGAGTATCCTGTTTTTCAAAGAATAATTTGAGAAAAATTGGTGAAAATCAAAATGATTCTCGAACAATTAGAAGTAAGTTGTCATTTAATTCAGCAAAATTAGACATACATAATAAAGTTTTTTTAAAGATTTTTTGTTGTACTGAATTTGACTTTGTATATTTGGTAATTACAATTTTCAGAATATTGACAATGTTTTTTTGGCTTTTGAAATTTTTCTAGAAATCAAAAATTTGAGTTGGCATCTTCACTCAGATCCAATGACTTCAGGTTTTCTTTGAAATGTTTCATACTGCCAAATTAAAGCAAATGCAAAAGTAGAAGTACAATATGAACTTTATATGAACATTTAAACTGATAAAAGTAACTGATGTTAGTTTAAATATTGAAGTATGTATTTATTTATTAAAAACATTTGTAATTAGGAACAAGATAGGATTATAAGAAACGTATCACAAATAAATATTCGAGTCTATTGACATAAACGATATGTCATCTTATTTGAAAAAGTGGTATCTAGTTACATATTTTTCAGCATCATTTTGGCATTTATGTGATGCAGATTATATATAGCTTTTTAAATACAATTTATATTTTTGCTATATAGCGTACATGACATGCGCATAATTGACATACAAGTAGCCGACATGTACTTGGATTTGCAAATCGTCGCATGAGAATAACTTTGTACTAACTGCCATTTTCAAAAAAATTGAGATAGACATGGAATTTTACTATTTGAAACACAGGCTTTCATCTCAGATACATGCCCCATCTCAATTCCCTCCCATTAAGCTAGAATTCAGTGTGAAATTGTACCATCTCCAGACAAACAGCTTATTTCTAATTTCAAATTGTCATATCTGATTTCAACTGTTTCAACCAATCAACTCTCTAAGAATTGGTCATGTGACTTGCAAAACTTGGAGTTATAACAATCTTATATTAAAACGAAGTATGCCAATATGCATGTTATTGTATCTAGAATGAAATAATGTTTTGTAACAAAATACCATGTCAGTTTGCATGCCTGGCCTTTCATGTTTTAGTTTTAGAACTATTACAAGTAGATCAAAAAAATAAAATGATACAGTATGTGTAATCCCATGCATATTCAAATTATATGCCCTCAATTACTCTTTGTATTATGGATGCTCATTGGATTATTCATGGCCACATGATATGAAATAGAATTACTAATTTCCTCGAAAACCTAAATCCTTGCTACCAGGGAAGATGAAAAGTACAAATGACCAGTTAATATCCCAGATGCGAGTAGAAATAATCTTGATTTACGTCATTAAAAATTCACAACTCAGTCAAACTGATGTCATATTTGGAATCTACATGTAAAATTACATCTAGACATGTGGTTTTGAAGAGAGTTTATCAACTTTGAAAATTTAATTTTCTTTGAAAATGTGACTTCTAGGTCGGGGAGATTCCCCATAGACCCCATTTTGTAAAACCACAAAAAGTGAAATATCTTTTCTTTTGTTGGGCAGATAATATTTTCTTTTACTGGATATATTTTAATTTGTATATCTATCACATACATAAGGGTAATATGAAAAGTGAACCACTAAAACTGATGAATATTCAGGTTTAAGGGAATTTTGTAATACATGTTATTTCCCCCGAATCAGCCACCTGGTGGCGAAACTGGTAACTACCTACTCGCATCTGAGTAATTAGATCATGTGAGCAGTCAAAAGTACCCTTTATCTTCCCTGCTACCAGGTCTTATGGGGGTTTGAATGGCCAAATGCAATAGAAATGCATATACGAAGCTGTCATCATTAAATGTTGAAAATGAAAGACTACTTATTTGTTTCTTCAAATAGAGTACATAATAATAGGTTATATACTAGATATAGTAATCAAAACAAATAGTAACTGTCATATTTTGCACTACATTGCTCAAAGGCAATCACTGTCTGTATACTATTAAAATCTCTTTCAAAATGATGTTTTATAGTTTGTGGAAAAAAGCTAAATCTATTTAAACTAGCTTTAACTTTTACTGACCATACACTATATCAATAAGGAGTTATCTTTATGTTAGTATAGTCCCTTAAAACACTTATTTTATTTTCTCTTCATCTATGATTTACTTTGCGCTTTTCTGGGATCTTTTTAGTTATTTTATTACAAGTATGTTTTTCAGATTTGTCCTTTCTTTTGCATTTTTGGGATCATTGTTTTTGGATCATCTACATTTTATTTTGGAAAAGTAACAAATTGGTTCAATTTCTTTACAAAGAGCCACTCTTAGTCTCCACTTCTACAATTGCTTCAATTCCCAATTGTACTCCACAGAATGGATAATGATAGCTGCATCCCAATGAACAAAATGTGATTACCTAAATCGAGGTTTCATCACTTTCATTAATCTAAAATGAATTAGAAATTATTTTTCTATTTTCAAATTTCTTCCATGTGCATGTAATAAAAATTGGTTATGTCTTAGGCCCTAAGGATCTGAAACCTGCTGGTCAAAATGGAATTACGGACCAGTTGCAATGTTATTCTCCTATACCCAGTGAAAAAATCAACTGGTCTGTATCAAAAATAACCTGATAATGACCAGCGGACCGGCCCTTAGGGGCTACATTGTAATGTGCTGGGAGGTTTAGGCTACAGGGTTTATACCGAGGGAAATATGTGGGGGACCGTATTGGCATCATTGGTTTCAATGCATTGTACTTCTGCCTTAGTTTCAAAGGCAATAGATTCTTTTTGAAGGGTGTCCTGAGATTCCAAAATTAAGAAATAATTGTACTTATTTGAGAAATTGATTTTTAAGTTTTATAAATTGAATTTTCTTTATTTTATTAAATAATATTCTTTGGTTTTTGAAGATTTTTTTACAAAGCAAAACATTATTTTTCATTCTAGATACAATAACATGCATATTGGCATACTTCGTTTTAATATAAGATTGTTATAACTCCAAGTTTTGCAAGTCACATGACCAATTCTTAGAGAGTTGATTGGTTGAAACAGTTGATATCAGATATGACAATTTGAAATTAGAAATAAGCTGATATTCCGGTGGGAAATTGTATCAACTCCATTTCCATAGTTTTAAAAAAGGATCTTGTAAATTGTTTCAAGGTATGATATTTCATATAAGATATCTCTAGGGTGAGACCAGGTGACATACAAAAAATCAAGTTTCACATAGCAATACTAAGTAAGATACAGACCTCTAAACTTTCAAACCTTGATTTCTCAGTTCCGTAAAAATGTGAGATAGTACAAAGTTATTCTCATGCGACGAAATTACAAATGCATCTCACCAGTCACCATGATACATTCAGTAGGAATTGACCATGATCTCATATATTTTCCTATTATTTTCTTCATTGAAACAAAATCCAAGGGAACTGTCACTTCTGCAATGTCCTTATCATGTTTATGCTTCTGTAGTTCCATATTTTCTGATGGTTATCTTTACGACGTTTTGTAATCCTCTTTAATACTGTTGGCTATCATCTATTTCCTACACTTTTTTCTCTGGGTCATCCAAGAGAGATGAACGTATTCCAATGTTTTGTAATTCCTCAATAAGTTCTCCATTTTTGTGCATGTCTATCATAATGTCACAGCCTCCAACAAACTCACCATTCATGTAGACTTGGGGGATAGTTGGCCAGTTACTGTACTCTTTTATACCTGAAATCAATATCAAATCATATGAAGAATCGACATGTTCCATGGTGGTATTAATATAAAATATATCTAGCTAGATGTACATTATTATCTTTGAAGTATATCTACATTTTCAGTTTGAATGGCTTCTTACACTGAAATCGTGGCATTTATCATTGAATCAAGTTTTGTAAGTTCATGTCAATACACACTCTCAGGTGGTGAACGCTTAATCATTTAGTCTTCAATCACCACTAGTGGGTCTAGTGAGTGTAATTCTTCTTCTTCTTAGTCCTTTTCAGTGTTCCTTATAAGGTGTTCCGGGATCACTTTGGCATTATTATGCTGCCTTTGATCACTTGTTGCTGTTTTTAAAACTCATGTACTAAAAATATCACTTGTACTTTTCACTTGTGCTTATTTTACTTCTGTTGGGAGAGAGAGCGCTAAAACTTGTTATCTAACGTAGTCTAAAATGCAAGTGTTTTTCCATTAAAATGAGATGTTAAAATAGAGTCACTATCTCACTCGAGTTAAAAATAAGTTATTAAAATCTCTTGGATTTCTGTATAAATGCCTGCAGGCATTTCATAATTTCTTTATTTAACTTATGGTCCAGGCTTGTGTTGAGTCCTGTGATTGTTTGTAGGTCTAGAGCTGGATTGTATTTAGCTCCTAGTAGTATCTGTTGTACTTTGGCCAATAGAATCTGTGTAATTTTTGTGTATGTGAATGTACTTGAGTTGACCTTGTCCCTGGCACACATGTATTTATGAATAGTAAAAACTCAATACAATTAAACTTATATGACAGAGAAATACATACCTTGCCGAGTATCCTCGTCTTCTAATATATTATATGTCACAAATTTATTCTGGTCGACACCATGAAACCTCAGTATTTCCATGACAGCCCTACTGAAACCACACCTTGGCTCTTCAGGCGTCCCTTTCATGAAAACAACTAATTTCTCTTTATTGACCATTGAATCAAGCCTTGTTTTTTGTTCAGCTGATAGAGCATAACTTGCAGAAAGTATCCTGTGTATATTAGGCCTGGTCAATGACGCGGCTACTCGAAAAAGGCTAATCATTTCGTAATTTTGTAATATTTTCTTCTTTTACGAAAGTGCTCGTGGAACTCCTTTTCCGGTTTATGTATGGCTCCGCGAGTACTTGTTGAGAAATAGTTTTGAGGATTTTTATTCGAAATCAATAGGAACGCATTACAAATTAGACTTAATCAATCTTAAATATGTCAAAGCGAATGTATTTTGAGCTTTAATTGTATTGTATGGTACACAAGACGGAATAAATAGTTATTTGGAAGAGCGGATTAATTGCCAATTTAAACGCGCATGCGCTAAGTTTGTTGACTTCCGGGTTCTACACGTTTACAGAAAAATATAATCTCTACACAATTCGGTCTAAATGAAGCTATCAAATTAATTTGATTTGGTCAACACGACTTCACTATGATGCATGAGGCAGTAGAGAGTCTACAGACTGCAATTAAAAGTAACAGAACAGACATAGTTCGCTCAATTCTGTCTGCTTATGAGAGAGGTACATGTAAGAATTTCCCTGATTTTCAGATTGTTTACAATTTGTTGACTTTGCAGTTCCACTATTCATTTACAGATCTATTATTCTATCCTAATAAGAAGAGGATTAGAGCAAGCATGCATTGTACATGTAAACTGGCCTTATCGACATTCGTAAATTGTCTTATCATACATGTACACATGTATGTACTTATTCCCTTTAGTATTTTACTGAAGTTCTCATGCCTCTCATCTACTCATCTTATGTGCCACACCCACTTTCTATATAGACTACATTAACATTTTTATTTGTGATGACAGGCATTCTGTACATGTATCAGAGAATAGAAGGATAATCCCTTCAGCAATAATCATAGACTATTGCTAAATATTTTTCTGTAATCCAACTTTTTTGTGGATGACGGCTGGCGTTCAGTGATTGTAATGGTTTCTTACAACTTCCAATAAGGGGCTGGGTCAATGTCCGTTAAAAAACGTAATTAATTACGTTAGGGTGTGGGCAAAGCTCCATTTAATTAGGTGATGGACATTGATTCTGCAATGGTATGGTCATTAATATGCAAAAGCTATGCAAGAGAATTTGATATATGTTGTTTATAGCAGTACCAGATATTGTATGCTGGGCTTGTACTTGTACACTACATCCAAATCATCATTTTGACTTGTTTATACTGCGCGTGAAGTTTATACTGCACATGAATCAACAATCAACATTCTGACTTTTGTTAGAAGGGGAAGGGGGGTTTGGACTTAAAGTAAATTAATTACTTTTTTGACAGACATTGAAATATTGACCTGACCGTTAACTTAAATTCTGTTTAGACTGGCTTCAAATTTGTTACTACATCAACATGATTAATGGGTTCCAACACATTCTGCCAATATCTGTTACCATAGCAACAAATAAGTGGACTTGTAACATTTTGTAAACATTTGCAATAATTTAAGAAGTACATGTACATTGTAGTGTTCACATGGACATTGACATTCTGACATATTTTGGCAGTTTTATCTATCATGGCAATGAATATATGTTGCTATGGAAATAGATTTTTTTAACTGTTGGGGATGCTCAATATATTTGGTTCTGTAACTAATGTTTTTATACTTTTGTAACCATTTAAAGGTGCAACAATTAGTGCAGAGGGGCCATTCAACAATCATGGACCAGTATATTTAAGTTTGGATATTTCAATAAGACTTAAATCTATTTTTATTATCTACAAAGAAACCCCCTAGATGAACATTATTTCAGCTGATATTCCTCTTGAAACATGGTTGATCTTAAAAATATAAAAGTGGATTTACCCTTTTTGAAGTTTTGAACTGAATTACACTTCTTATGCTGAAATTGATAGTTTATCCATACATGTCAAAGAAGATGTTAAGCCAACTGTTGCCTTGATAGCTCAGACAAACTAAAAATTTTCCTGGTTTCAAATGCCTTGTCTGACTTTAATTCTTTTTCTGTTTTAAGGTGAGATTGAGGAAGCAGAAGGTGTTACCTTGCATCATGTTTTAAACTTTGTTGATGAGGAAGAAGGGACTCTCTTGCACTTAGCAACAAAGGTTGGTTCAATTACTCATAGATGATTTTGCTCTAAATTATAATCTGGCTACAAACCTCTGTACCTAACTACAGACCTGGGGTGTTACAAGGGCGTGTAGCTAGACTACACGTAGTGATAAAAGAATTGAAAGATCCTGTTTTAGTGCAAGAGTTTGGATACTTCTGTGACATAGATGAAATGAAACTTGTTCGAAAATACATGGGTTATTTCAAAACACCAATACAACTCCCATTAAAATATCAGGTTACATCCACACTTCAACATGGTACAGAAAGTCAGAATAAGTAAGTTTAATTAACAGCATTGCTTAATACTTGATTTTGATTGGCTAAGCTTAAGGGCTTTTAAATTTGAAAAATGTTATTTCCGTTTTTAAATGTCTTATCACAACCTAACAAAAGGATGAAGTTAAAATCTAACTGCAGAATAGGAACATCAAAACATTGAAAGATACACATAACATTTTCTTAATCAATATGAAATTTGAGAAAATTGACAAGCTTTGTGAAAATATCAAAAATCCAGTTATATTGGCTGCTCCATTAGTCTGCCTCCTATTTATACCCCATTTCTTGGATTGAGAATCATCTCCTTCTAAGGGCTGTGTGAAGGTTGAAATTTTATAATCCCAATGCAACAATATCTCAAGTATAACTGAAAAGACTAATTGATCACTTTGTATCTTCAGTTGGACCAGCCTGATACAATTCGAACTTTGCTGTCATCAGGCTCTGATCCTGGGATCCATGACGAGGCTGGAAAGACCCCTTTTGATTGTGCAACAAGTGCCAAGGTACAAGGGGTCTTCAATGAGGAGCTGCTTCAGTCAATTGCTACATCTAAGTAAGTTGTCATGTTGCAATTCAATTACATGTACAGGGTGTCAAAAAACAACGGCACCCCCCTCTACAGCAAAATGTACTTAATGTTACATAGTGTGTCATATCCCATTTTAAAGACAATTTAATTCTGGATCTGAGAAATTTCAGCTTTGTACGATATAATTTTACAGATTTACAGCCGATTGTTAGGAGGTGATACGGCCACCACTTGCTGCTCGAAAAGCATTGCGTAATCCTTGAAGCATTTTCCGCATATTCTTCAGAAGTACATCCTTACTGTGTCCATTTTCAAGAGGCCTCCTATCCATCAGTTTTCCTACCCTGTCTTTCACAATTGAACATATATGCTCAGGGTAGTTGAGATCTGGGCTATTTTCTACATATTAATATTTTCCAAGATTTGACCTTAAACCAGGAACAAAGTAGCAAACAAAGTACTGAAGTAGCAAACTTCGAAACAATGTAACTTTTTTAGTTTAAAGTTTTATCAAATGAAATTTGATGAGTAACTCCAGAATTAAATTATCTTTCAAATGAGATATGACACGCCATGTAACATTAAGGAGTTTTTGCTGTGGAGGGGGGTGCCATTGTTTTTTGACACCCTGTATATGTTGGAAAAGCACCATTAGAAATCCCCATTTGGTTTGATGGAGAACTATTACTTACATGTATACTATAACTAATTTAGCACCTATTTTATTTTTACCAACTTGGCAAATATGGCCAAAATGTTGAATAAATAGCTGAGAATTTGTTCTTTACCTACCATGTATACACCTTTTCTTCCAGTGTAGGGCGTGTTTGTCAACTGGTAGCAGCAGGTGTTGATGTTAACCTCTGCGACACACCCAAGAGTAGGAATACGCCACTTCACTGGGCAGCGTCATATGGCAACAAAGAAGTAGTCCAATGCTTATGTGGTATGATATAAATAAAAGATCGTGTTATCCAATTCTTACATTATGTGTCACAATAATACACACTTACATGATTTCAAATTAGAAAATCAATTTATTATGAGTCATCTTAACACACACTACTATACCTTGCATTAGGTGTTCATGAGCAACCCATTTGGCTTATTCGTAATGATTATGTATTTGTTTTTATTTGTCTGTTCCTTATGAATGGTTTATCGGTTGAAAATTAGATGCTAGTAAGGCACTTTCAAAAATATATTAAACAATTCAATTAGACAAACAAAGTATCTTATGCATTTCTAGGTGTTAGGTATAGTAGTGTGTAACACTATCAAGGGTTGGATCATTGAAAACATATATCAATGGGGGAGGGGTCAATACATTGTATGTTTGTTGGACTTGCAGGCATCTAATTTCTTATATACTCTACCAGTTTTGTTTTCTTTTAGCCAGGAATGCAGATCCAAATGCTGTGAACTCTTACGGAGCCACACCCCTACATGATGCCATAATGCGAGGGGACGTGGACATAGTGGAGGAAATCCTACTCTCAGGTGCAGATATACATAAAAAGGCTACATCAGGGTAAGACCTCTGGAATAACTGCAGCTGTCAAAATTCTTTTATGAAAATCTAATTTCTTTTAAAAGTTGTTGGAAATTAGAAGCATATTGAAAGGAATAAATCTATTTCGGAAAATAATTTATTGTTTAGTTTATGTTATATTTTGATTCCAAAAATTGAAAAAATATGAATAAATTTACAGGAAATTCTCAAATAAAAGTCCTTCAGACTTGGCATTTGGTAACTCAGAACTGGTAAAGGTGCTTGAAAAGGTGCAGCCCACAAAGGCAGCATCAAGTCAACAAGTAAACGGTGCAAATGGTGACTCTGAAACATCTGGAGCTGATTTTGGTAAGTAGAATATGATAACCCTAACGCCTGGTTTGGATTTGAATCTCTATTATAAATACCAACTCTTCCTGAAGAAATCTGACTAATGTGTGTGTAAATTTTTTTTATTGCACTTGAGAAGTGCTTTTTGTTGTATGTGAGGACTGAGGACAGATATGAATATCATCCAGAATCAATATAAATATGAGGTTAAAAATTCTATCACTCATAGATTATAGGTTCTGCCATTTATGAGTAATATTACATTGATTTTAAGGTTGAACCACCACATTGAATGCTCTTTGCAGCTGGTGCCAATGGACTATTTCCTGTTAATATTTTTGCACAATCATGTATTTTTTTCAATACAGAAATAGTACACATTTCTTTTGTATATTGACTTGGTCTGTTTTATTTACAGACCTCAGGACTCCAATCAGACGGCAAAGTAGCAGGGCTTCTATAGAATCAGGCAAAGATCTCAACAATGGGCATCTGGGCTCATCATTTATAGCACAGTCATCTTCTGAAAAGGTAAAAGTTTCAACAATATTAACTCATATGAGCCTGGACTGTATTCAGTGGAATAGCACTTATGTCTTCTATTTTACCAATTTGACTTCATCTGACTGACTGCTTACTAAGGCTAATAATGGCTAACATTATCCAAGAAGTATGTTGGGGATTGTTTAGTTGAAAATATAGAATATGAAATTTTTTATGAAATCAAACAGCAAATGAATTGTACAGGTTCATGATACACACATATGGAATATTGGATATTGTTTCGAATAAGCTGGGCACACCCGAACATGTATAATACATGTACTACTGTACACCTACAGGAGATAAGCCTGATCATTTTATTCCTATCTGCCTACCTAGATGACCCACATTTTTATCCATTTATCACCACAATCCCATATCTTTTACAACTCTGAAAAGCAAATCCTCAGATTTTATAATTATTGATAAAAAATTTTGTTTACATTAAGGGTATCTATGTTACAAAGGTAACTTGTATTTCAGTTGGATGTCTTGATGTCTAATAGTTGCATCTCTACCCCTCCGTCACCCCTAGTAACAGACAGCAGGCTCCACCTGGTGTGGCCCCGGCCTAAGAAAATAATCCAAATTGAAGCGCCATGTTTCAAATGCCTCAAAGTCCTTAATGTTTCTGTACTCAGCAGTGAAAATAAAGGTATGGTTATTTGAGGGTTCAGTGTTATAACATATTGTAGCAAATCGACTGAATGAAGAATGTTTTCATTCAAAAGGACTGTTTTATCTGTCTCTTTAAACATGCATGGGGAAAAGATTTATCTATCTTGTTTATTTCAGAACACTATCATCAAATATGTGACCTTTGGGAGGTTCATAAAAATTATCTAGTGACTAAAGGCCTCACATTGAATGTTGAATTCACTTCGGGACTACAATCCATGAATCAAGAGCTATCTATAACTTGCCAAGTGAACCAAAGATTGTTTAAATCATCTGAAAGCTATACTGTATCAGTCAGACAAAATATGGTAAGTTTTTAACAGTAAAAGTTAAAAAACAGTATTAACTATCAACGTTTTTACCCTTAAGCCAGCTAGAGATATCCATGATTTACCCCCAAATCTTGCTTATCTTTAAATATCAACAGTACATACCTGTAACCCATTTCAGGTGCGACTGCTGGCCAGTGATATGTCTTGTATGCTATATGCCATCAATACAAACATTACATACCATTAACCCATTTCAGGTGCGACTGCTGGCCAGTGATATGTCTGGTATGTTATATGCCATCAATACAAACATTGCATACCATTAACCCATTTCAGGTGCGACTGCTGGCCAGTGATATGTCTGGTATGTTATATGCCATCAATACAAACATAGCATACCATTAACCCATTTCAGGTGCGACTGCTGGCCAGTGATATGTCTGGTATGCTATATGCCATCAATACAAACATTACATACCATTAACCCATTTCAGGTGCGACTGCTGGCCAGTGATATGTCTGGTATGTAATATGCCATCAATACAAACATTACATACCATTAACCCATTTCAGGTGCGACTGCTGGCCAGTGATATGTCTGGTATGTTATATGCCATCAATACATTCATTACATACCATTAACCCATTTCAGATGCGACTGCTGGCCAATGATATGTCTGGTATGTTATATGCCATCAATACAAACATTACATACCATTAACCCATTTCAGGTGCGACTGCTGGCCTGTGATATGTCTGGTATGCTATATGCCATCAATACAAACATTACATACCATTAACCCATTTCAGGTGCGACTGCTGGCCAGTGATATGTCTGGTATGTTATATGTCATCAATACAAACATAGCATACCATTAACCCATTTCAGGTGCGACTGCTGGCCAGTGATATGTCTGGTATGTTATATGCCATCAATACAAACATTACATACCATTAACCCATTTCAGGTGCGACTGCTGGCCAGTGATATGTCTGGTATGTTATATGCCATCAATACAAACATTACATACCATTAACCCATTTCAGGTGCGACTGCTGGCCAGTGATATGTCTGGTATGTTATATGCCATCAATACAAACATTACATACCATTAACCCATTTCAAGTGCGACTGCTGGCCAGTGATATGTCTGGTATGTTATATGCCATCAATACAAACATTACATACCATTAACCCATTTCAGGTGCGACTGCTGGCCAGTGATATGTCTGGTATGTTATATGCCATCAATACAAACATTACATACCATTAACCCATTTCAGGTGCGACTGCTGGCCAGTGATATGTCTGGTATGTTATATGCCATCAATACAAACATAGCATACCATTAACCCATTTCAGGTGCGACTGCTGGCCAGTGATATGTCTGGTAATGTTATATGCCATCAATACAAACATTACATACCATTAACCCATTTCAAGTGCGACTGCTGGCCAGTGATATGTCTGGTATGTTATATGCCATCAATACAAACATTACATACCATTAACCCATTTCAGGTGCGACTGCTGGCCAGTGATATGTCTGGTATGTTATATGCCATCAATACAAACATTACATACCATTAACCCATTTCAAGTGCGACTGCTGGCCAGTGATATGTCTGGTATGCTATATGCCATCAATACAAACATAGCATACCATTAACCCATTTCAGGTGCGACTGCTGGCCAGTGATATGTCTGGTATGTTATATGCCATCAATACAAACATTACATACCATTAACCCATTTCAGGTGCGACTGCTGGCCAGTGATATGTCTGGTATGTTATATGCCATCAATACAAACATTACATACCATTAACCTATTTCAGGTGCGACTGCTGGCCAGTGATATGTCTGGTATGTTATATGCCATCAATACAAACATTACATACCATTAACCCATTTCAGGTGCAACTGCTGGCCAGTGATATGTCTGGTATGTTATATGCCATCAATACATTCATTACATACCATAAACCCATTTCAGGTGCGACTGCTGGCCAGTGATATGTCTGGTATGTTATATGCAATCAATACATTCATAGCATACCATTAACCCATTTCAGGTGCGACTGCTGGCCAGTGATATGTCTGGTATGTTATATGCCATCAATACAAACATTACATACCATAAACCCATTTCAGGTGCGACTGCTGGCCAGTGATATGTCTGGTATGTTATATGCCATCAATACAAACATTACATACCATTAACCCATTTCAGGTGCGACTGCTGGCCAGTGATATGTCTGGTATGCTATATGCCATCAATACAAACATTACATACCATTAACCCATTTCAGGTGCGACTGCTGGCCAGTGATATGTCTGGTATGTTATATGCCATCAATACAAACATTGCATACCATTAACCCATTTCAGGTGCGACTGCTGGCCAGTGATATGTCTGGTATGTTATATGCCATCAATACAAACATTGCATACCATTAACCCATTTCAGGTGCGACTGCTGGCCAGTGATATGTCTTGTATGCTATATGCCATCAATACAAACATTACATACCATTAACCCATTTCAGGTGCGACTGCTGGCCAGTGATATGTCTGGTATGTTATATGCCATCAATACAAACATTGCATACCATTAACCCATTTCAGGTGCGACTGCTGGCCAGTGATATGTCTGGTATGTTATATGCCATCAATACAAACATAGCATACCATTAACCCATTTCAGGTGCGACTGCTGGCCAGTGATATGTCTGGTATGCTATATGCCATCAATACAAACATTACATACCATTAACCCATTTCAGGTGCAACTGCTGGCCAGTGATATGTCTGGTATGTTATATGCCATCAATACAAACATTACATACTATTAACCCATTTTAGGTGCGACTGCTGGCCAGTGATATGTCTGGTATGTTATATGCCATCAATACAAACATTACATACCATTAACCCATTTCAGGTGCGACTGCTGGCCAGTGATATGTCTGGTATGCTATATGCCATCAATACAAACATTACATACCATTAACCCATTTCAGGTGCGACTGCTGGCCTGTGATATGTCTGGTATGTTATATGTCATCAATACAAACATTACATACCATTAACCCATTTCAGGTATGACTGCTGGCCAGTGATATGTCTGGTATGTTATATGCCATCAATACAAACATTACATACCATTAACCCATTTCAGGTGCGACTGCTGGCCAGTGATATGTCTGGTATGTTATATGCCATCAATACAAACATTACATACCATTAACCCATTTCAGGTGCAACTGCTGGCCAGTGATATGTCTGGTATGTTATATGCCATCAATACAAACATTACAAACCATTAACCCATTTCAGGTGCGACTGCTGGCCAGTGATATGTCTGGTATGCTATATGCCATCAATACAAACATTACATACCATTAACCCATTTCAGGTGCGACTGCTGGCCAGTGATATGTCTGGTATGTTATATGCCATCAATACAAACATTACATACCATTAACCCATTTCAGGTGCAACTGCTGGCCAGTGATATGTCTTGTATGCTATATGCCATCAATACAAACATTACATACCATTAACCCATTTCAGGTGCGACTGCTGGCCAGTGATATGTCTGGTATGTTATATGTCATCAATACAAACATAACATACCATTAACCCATTTCAGGTGCGACTGCTGGCCAGTGATATGCCTGGTATGTTATATGCCATCAATACAAACATTACATACCATTAACCCATTTCAGGTGCGACTGCTGGCCAGTGATATGTCTGGTATGTTATATGCCATCAATACAAACATTACATACCATTAACCCATTTCAGGTGCGACTGCTGGCCAGTGATATGTCTGGTATGCTATATGCCATCAATACAAACATTACATACCATTAACCCATTTCAGGTGCGACTGCTGGCCAGTGATATGTCTGGTATGTTATATGCCATCAATACAAACATTACATACCATTAACCCATTTCAGGTGCGACTGCTGGCCAGTGATATGTCTGGTATGTTATATGCCATCAATACAAACATTACATACCATTAACCCATTTCAGGTGCGACTGCTGGCCAGTGATATGTCTGGTATGCTATATGCCATCAATACAAACATTACATACCATTAACCCATTTCAGGTGCGACTGCTGGCCAGTGATATGTCTGGTATGTTATATGCCATCAATACATTCATTACATACCATTAACCCATTTCAGGTGCGACTGCTGGCCAGTGATATGTCTGGTATGTTATATGCCATCAATACAAACATTACATACCATTAACCTATTTCAGGTGCGACTGCTGGCCAGTGATATGTCTGGTATGTTATATGCCATCAATACAAACATTACATACCATTAACCCATTTCAGGTGCGACTGCTGGCCAGTGATATGTCTGGTATGTTATATGCCATCAATACAAACATTACATACCATTAACCCATTTCAGGTGCGACTGCTGGCCAGTGATATGTCTGGTATGCTATATGCCATCAATACAAACATTACATACCATTAACCCATTTCAGGTGCGATTGCTGGCCAGTGATATGACTGGTATGTTATATGCCATCAATACATTTATACAGCTGATTTCTCTCTGTGATGATGGGGCTTCTGTACCTGCTTTACAGGTGAGAAAAACTTTATAAAGGGACATTTAATGCCTCTGTACCTGCCTTACAGATAAGATTATATACTCAAAGATGATTTGCCCTGATCCTGTGTACTTACTCTATTAGTGCTGTCCCTAGGTCTGATTTCAGTGACTGGCTGGGAAAAAAGGTTTGTTATGTGAAATATGTTTGTACTTGAATGTGAAATTCAAAAAGAATATTTCTGCTTACATGTAGATTATTTTTTCCAGATTAAGGACTGGCCCTGTTTAAAGGAGCGTAGTGTAAGTTTAGATATGTCAAGGGGCAGGATACCAAAGTTAGATGTGTTGTACAGCTGGGTGGACAGTCTGTCCTATCTCAAAGTAAACCACATTCATCTCTATACAAGGTTCAAGAAGCCTGTATCCGGACCTAATACCTGGCAGTTCTGTTATAGTAAAAAGTGAGTTTCTAAATGGGAAACTCATGAGCCAAGGATTTTAAGTAAAAAGTACAAAATCACCAGAGGTGTAATGAGCAGTTTTCATTCAAAAGAGCAGAATGGATTAGCATTGGGTGAAACCATTCCATTTTCAGTTTTAAAAGAGGAAAATTGAAGTCACAACTTAATGAAATGACAGAAAGTATTGTTTGGTATTCAGGATAAAAAGAGATCAGAGACAGTATCACTAAAGAACTAGCTCTAGTATGTCTCTATAAATTTATGATTTCAGGGAATTATTGGAACTCTCTCGCTATTGCGCTGTACGCTGTGTCTGCCTGACCCCTGTGCTGGACATAGACAGTAAGGTGGACTTTCTAGACCTTGGCTCACTTTATGGAACTTTTCAGGAATTTCTCATGTGTTTTGCAAACTCAGGGTGAGTTTAGTTCTAACATATTATTTTAGAGTACAGTTAAACATCTCTTAATGAACACCTCTCTCCAGTGAACACCTTAGTCTTTTGAACAACTCTTCTTAACACATACTCCACTGGACCGCTGACATCTGTATAAAATCACCTCTGTAGTATCCAATGTATGCATTTTATGTAAGTTTAATGTATTTCTGAGCAAATATTATATTTTGACATTCATGAAAGTTCAATCTCTGGAATTCAAATTGGCTTTGTATGTAAACATACTTTTACGTTTATTGTTCATTGTGATTTGCTACTCTGTGGAGTTGCCATTTTTTAGCCTACATGTAGTTCCATTAATAGTTACATCTACAGATTTGTGGAGTGAGTCAATCAAATGCGCACTTACTATTTCAAATATCATTCAGACATTATTCATATTCTTATGCAGATACTTAAATATAGGACCACGGCTGAGTAGTTTCCTCCTAGATACTTTAGAAGAAGGCACTTTGTGTTTAGAAGATGGCCTTAGATTGCTCCCTATATCCAGTACAGATACAGTGAGACTATGTGCCCATGTCTTTCACGACAACCTAGATCTGTTAGAGCTCCTGCCTTCAAATGTTGTCCTTATGGAATATGGATTCCAGGTAAATATTGTTATCCATTATGATGGGTTGATAAAGCATCACACGATTGTTATTCTCAATGGCCATGGATTGAATATATGTTCAAATCTAACCATTTGTTTGTTTGCAAATTCATAGTGATTTGATCTCTTATTTTTAATGAGCAGGCAAGAATTGGTCATACTTAAATGTTTTACTGTTATAATTGCAAAGTTGAAAGGAATAGTATGTTTCAGTGTGCATTTATCTGTAATAGTTCAATACCATTAGTGTGAACTTCTTTAACTTCATGATTTGTGTCCTATTTCAGGCTTACTATGACTTCCAAAAGTTTGCTAAAGTTTACTCAGAATCAAAGTAAGTGGATGACCAATTTATATTTCAATATTCTTATTTTAATTTGATGTAGATTCTCTGTGTTCTGGTTGAAATAAGAAACAGCCCTCTTATTCTCAAATAATTGAATATACTAATACAAGTGGATTAAAACTGACTGATGGGTAATATCATTTAAAGTGGGAGTGAAAACAACTGAGTTTAATAAGTAAGCGCCAATATTATTTAACCAAAAGATCACTTTATTCTAGGATGAAATCCATAATGTAATCCTAACCATATCATAAGTAAAGATTTAAACAAACAAAAGTCTGAATTTTCAAGAAACTGATGTATAACTACAGCTTTTTCATGTATAGTAAAATTCATTTTGTATATTCCTGACCAGATGATTTGTTTATTTCATAAATAATTCCCAGGGACCCATTAAATATGACTAAAAATATTGTTCTTTGACCATTATAATATGCTATTGTATTATACATTAGTAATATTTGTTAATTTCAGTGTCTCATTTTGCACATGCCCTGGTACTGCTGCATGGAACAGGTGAGAGCTTGCAATAAAATACATGTAACTATGTAAAAGCTGGGCTTCAATTTAATTCATTATGCTACACATTATACTTTATGAAAGGAGGTATAATTTCAGAGTGTACTTTTGTTATGATAATTGTACTTTAAAGGAGGGGTGGGTATGGTGATATCAGAATTTGCTTGTGAATTATGTAGAGTCTGCAAAATAATGAAGTGTAATCGAAGAATTCCACACTGTAAATAATGAATTATATAATAGTCTACCATAGTATTAGATGCCACTTTCTCTACTTTTGTCCACAACAAGGTCTTTATTTATCAGATACAATCAGTTAAGGTCTATGCTCCTTTGGAGGTGGTATATATTTCAGTCTGGCTTTCTATAGAAGGAATATAAAATTCACAAATATTGTGTTTCAGTGTTCATATGAAACATGGTTCACATATTTTACTTTATAATTGTGTTGCTCTGTGTATAAAACTGAGGCTGAGGATTTAATGCATTGTTTACAGTATTGGAGGTTGTCCAGAGGCTGCAGTGGCTAACATTTCCAATTCAATTCAAAGTGCAATATCCCATGAAGCTCTGGGAATACTAATCTGTGATTGGTCAGGAATAGGTCACATGACACATCAACCAATCAGCTGGCCTGGATTCCTGGTGGCTGCAGGACTCTCCTGGAATTCTGATATAAATATTGTAAGATTTGGATGCTTTTATTTTGCATGATATAATATTATTAACTATACTACTACAGTGATTTTTTTTTGATAACTTTCGACCCTATTCTAATATACTTTTGATTTTTGCAGTTCTTTAATTTCAATATTGCATTTGTAAACAGTGACCTCCCCTGAATTTCTATCAACTCAAATTAAAAAAGTACCACAATTGATCAACATATCCTAATCTTCATAATTTTGTATTGAGTGAATGTGAATTTTCAACTGGATTCAAGGTAACTTTCAAATTGTCAGCTATTGCTGAACAGTTTCACAATGCTAGAAAGGGATACTACAAGTATGTACCATACCATATTAAACAAATTCCTTTAATTTTTCAGGATTTCATGCATGCTAATCTCGTGGAGCTGGTGAACAATCATGTGTTCTTTGATCGGGGATGTGTCAGCGGTCAGGTGGTCATAGAACTAGGAAGAGCAGAGACGTATCTACTGAGGTGCTCTCGTAATCAACCAGGTATGTAAAACATCACAAATATATGATAACAACATTCTTATTAATTTATTATTAGTAATATTTGTCCCTTGTTTTTTTTGCATTATACAAGGCATGACAGTTCATTATAATTTCAGATAAAAATACTTAAATACTCGTAGAGTTGCGTCCCGGAAAGTACATAATTCTGTTTTTGGTTAACCTTGCTAACTTAAGGCTTTATCTGCAATTATTACCGTCCTCTCAATTGGCCAGTTGAGTTCAATTTCAACCGCAACTTTTTTCTAGATAATGATAGTAGTAATCTACCAGCAGAACAGGGATCAATTTTACACCAACTTCTAACCCAGCCAGACATGGTGACTCTTGAACATCTTACACCAGAGACATTCCAGGTACGTGAAAAATAAATAATCAATTTATGCTCATACTTAAAGGTGTTTAACATGAAATGTTTGTTTAATTTCCCTGACTTAATCAATATCATTTAGCACATAGCTTGCTTTCAATTCAATATTGTAATCAGGGATCAGGGATCTTGTCCCTGGTCTCCCCCATCAATGTTATATCATGTGTATTCAATAATTAGAATTTTTATTGTTTGTTGTACGTGTGTAAATGTAATTTCAGAAAACTATGCGTCACATCAGGAAGTGTCAAAGTGAACTCAACAAAGCTGACCTACAACATGTACATGATAAACACATTGTGTCTGAATTGCAACTTACTGCTGATCTTATGCTCTTGGCATGCAGGTACATCTACGATGCTATAGTATTTAGTTAGGTCAGTTACCACATTAAGAGAGCTTGTGGCATGCAGGTACAGCTATGATGCTATAATATTTAGTTAGGTCAATTATCTCATAAAGAGAGCTCTTGGTGTGCAGGTACAGCTATGATGCTATAGTATTTAGTTAGGTCAATTATCTCATAAAGAGAGCTCTTGGTGTGCAAGTACAGCTATGATGCTAAAGTATTTAGTTAGGTCAATTATCTCATTAAGAGAGCTCTTGGCATTCAGGTAAATCTATGATGCTATAGTATTTAGTTAGGTCAATTATCTCATAAAGAGAGCTCTTGGTGTGCAGGTACAACTATTATGCTATAGTATTTAGTTAGGTCAATTATCTCATAAAGAGAGCTCTTGGTGTGCAGGTACAGCTATGATGCTAAAGTATTTAGTTAGGTCAATTATCACATTAAGAGAGCTCTTGGTGTGCAGGTACAGCTATGATGCTAAAGTATTTAGTTAGGTCAATTATCACATTAAGAGAGCTCTTGGTGTGCAGGTACAGCTTAATGCTAAAGTATTTAGTTAGGTCAATTATCTCATAAAGAGAGCTCTTGGTGTGCAGGTACAGCTATGATGCTTTAGTATTTAATTAGGTCAATTATCACATTAAGAGAGCTCTTGGCATGATGGTACATCTATGATGCTATAGTATTTAGTTAGGTCAATTATCTCATAAAGAGAGCTCTTGGCATTCAGGTAAATCTATGATGCTATAGTATTTAGTTAGGTCAAATATCTCATTAAGAGAGCTCTTGGCATTCAGGTAAATCCATGATGCTATAGTATTTAGTTAGGTCAATTATCTCATAAAGAGAGCTCTTGGTGTGCAGGTACAGCTATGATGCTATAGTATTTAGTTAGGTCAATTATCTCATAAAGAGAGCTCTTGGTGTGCAGGTACAGCTATGATGCTATGGTATTTAATTAGGTCAATTACCACATTAAGAGAGCTCTTGGCATGATGGTACATCTATGATGCTATTGTATTTAGTTAGGTCAATTATCTCATTAAGAGAGCTCTTGGCATTCAGGTAAATCTATGATGCTATACAGGGCGTCCACAAAAAAAGTATACCCAACTTCAAAACCAAATTACAAGAATCCTGAGCAATATTTTTGAAATCCAAAGGCAACAGCAAAAAGCCTTACTTGTCCTCCATCAAATGGTACCTAGATCATTATGTAACTGTCACGTATGACTGAGCAATCATGACCATTCTGATAGGTGGTAAATTTAGCACTGTGCCAAGTTATCTTCCTATGTGGCAATCGATTAGTAATTGGCTTAGTATTCTTTTTCTGTTACATTATGTTAGATGAAAGGACTTTCATAATGAACTGGACTGGGGGCTGAGTAGCTGTCTTATGAAAAAAAGATTTGGCAAAAAGCTTACTTACTCTAAAATAGGCCTGCAAACATGGTTCGACTGACACCTGAGCAGTAGAGCCAACAAAAAGCAAGTCCAGTGTACTGTTAAAGAACCCCTATTCTTACTATTGAAAATGGATTCTAGCAATACTGTCCAACATGAATCTACTTGTTGAGACTCAATCAACTTGAGTTCTTCTGGGAAAATGAGGATTTCAGCAAGGGTGTATTGACTCCAATGGGGGATATTATTGACTTCAAGGCTGCATATCATCAAGTAGAAGTTTCATTGCTGTTCAAGGGCCTCTTGGGATCAAATTCCCGCGAGGGAGGTAGCAATAAAAAGTTATGGAAAATTATGCAAAAAGGTTGAAGAACATGGAACAAGTTTGAATTTGAACATTAATAATGTTTTGAACATAAAAAATTGAATGCTAATTTGGCACAGTGCTGATTTTACCACCTTTCATAAAAGTATTGATTGCTCAGTCATCCATGGCAGCTACATAATGATCTAGGTACCATTTGATGGAGAATAAACTAGGCCATATACTGCAGCCTTTAGATTGTTAAAAAAATTGCTCAGAATTCTGGTATTCTGGCTTTGAAGTTGGTATACTTTTTTTGTGGACACCCTGTAGTATTTAGTTAGGTCAATTATCTCATAAAGAGAGCTCTTGGTGTGCAGGTACAGCTATGATGCTATAGTATTTAGTTAGGTCAATTATCTCATAAAGAGAGCTCTTGGTGTGCAGGTACAGCTATGATGCTATGGTATTTAATTAGGTCAATTACCACATTAAGAGAGCTCTTGGCATGCAGGTGCATCTATGATGCTATAGTATTTAGGTAGGTCAATTATATCATTAAGAGAGCTCTTGGCATTCAGGTAAATCTATGATGCTATAGTATTTAGTTAGGTCAATTATCTCATAAAGAGAGCTCTTGGTGTGCAGGTACAGCTATGATGCTATATTATTTAGTTAGGTCAATTATCTCATAAAGAGAGCTCTTGGTGTGCAGGTACAGCTATGATGCTATGGTATTTAATTAGGTCAATTACCACATTAAGAGAGCTTTTGGCATGATGGTACATCTATGATGCTATAGTATTTAATTGGGCTAATGACCAATTATGAGATGGATTTGCCATGACTAAACATAGATGATAGATATAGGCAGAACTCTCCCTTAGCAAGTATTCATTTGAGATTTTTTATGACAACACAAGAAATAGTGACGTAAAAATGTCAGGTGTTTCGATTTAAAACTGATTTGTTCAAATTATTGTGAATTTTGTACCAATCATAATGATATAAATTGTTATTGTCTAATCTGTTATAGAATTGGGAGATCACTGGTGCACATAGGAAAACGTCCATCTGGAGATGCAGGCTGTGCTGTCATAAACCTAGGAGTAGCTAACCTACCAGCAACTACTAAAACAGATCTTGCTAATAGGTGTGTACATGTATTATGGACAGTTTCTGTGTAATTCCTTTTCAGATTCATCCTTATTTTTTGAAAAATTGTGATGACCTCAATGATGTTAAACCTGATATAAGAATGATAAGAACAAACAAAACACATCCTTCTCCTCTCCCATATTTGCTCTTGTCTCCCTTATTTGCAGGACAATGATGGTTTGAGTAGCCTATCTGAGTGAAATGATTAGAATGGAAAGGATGAAATATTTGTATTTTCGAAAATGAAGGAAGATTGTAAATACCGTATTTCAAGTCATTATAAAATTATGAATATTATAAAAGCAATTATCAAATCTATAAATCAAATGTTTTGTCACATTTCCTTGCAGATTATTGGGCCTTATAGAGCAGTACAAAACACTGTGGACAGAACACTACTTAGATATTGGCCTCAAGGAATCCCTAGTTTTATTATCTGCCATATTAAAACAGTGCATACCCAACCAGGCAGACATGCCAGCAGCACATACTAAACACTAACCAGAAATAACCATTCTGAAATCTGAAGGCTTTTTTAGTTCATAGATGGGATAACCAAGGATTACATGTAATGGATAACTTGTATTTTCAATTTGTGCCAAATTTTATATTTGAATGGCTTGGAATGTGTTTTTGAATCATTTGGAGCATTTTCTATCTTGAGGATGACTGGAACTATACCTTCATTTTACAGTTAATGTTTGACCAATCACAGAGCTGACTGCATAGCTCCTCTTGCGATATCTTTAAAACATTTAGATATTAATGATCGACTTCGATTTGCTTAGTGAATCAAGAGTTTTATCATTAATTTAAAAAGTGTGGGACATTAGGTAGCTCAGTCTTGCCAGGGGTTGTTATCCTCTTTGGTATTTCCTCCTATGTTGGCACAGGAACATCAGATTAAAAATCTAGAGGGTGTAGAAATTTTAGTAAAAGTGGGACTTTGTAAAAGCTGGGCTTTCATTTTTATGTCACCACCATAATAAGTGGTGGCATATTGTAACCTGTATAGTCTCCAACTTTTTACAGACTGTGTTCGGCGGTCAGTGTCTGTGACAAATGGGAGGTGGTGACATTTTGCATGTTAATGCCTTGTATTCATTATGTTACATATAGGGAGATGTAATCTCGGAGGATGTTTTGTAATATAATAATTTATTCATATTGTTAAGGAGGGTAGAGTATGATGATATTGGGAAATGCTCGTGAATAATGTCATGTGTGATTCTAATTCTACATTTAACTGTGCTTATAAAGTAAATACTCATTCAATTGGTCAATGAAAATACAGAACGAAATCCTGTGCTAGTTTGAGCATGTGTCTATTACTCGTAGACACAGTACACAAAATTATCATCAAAACCAATTAAATTTTAACTTTTGCTCCATTCCACAATCTGGGAATTAGACTCAATTGAAAATTGAAAATATGACTAAATGTTTCTGCCATTATTATTACTTAGTTGTTAATTTATTTATAGCATTTTTATCCAACTTAATACAATTCACAAATGGTATCTAATGCTATATGTTATGTTATTTTATTAAAACATCATATTGGTTATAAGAGATACAATACGGAAAACCAGGAAATGGTTTTGAGAACACATAAAGATGGCAGATCACTACACATTTGAGAATTGCTCTTCAATTTTGAGGTTTTTGAGGCAACATCATAATTGCTTTATATACAATTTCACTCTTCAAACTTGTATCGTTACCATCATTGGACTGCTCTCTGTCCCAATACGGTCGACTTAAACCACTCTGATTACCATAAAAGGGTCTGCAGTAAAAAAGAGTAAGTGCCTTGAATCTGGATGAACACCTATATAAAAATGAGCTAACTAGACAATTTACTTCACTTGCATCAATTGCAAATTAACGAAACAACACGATATATTTGCCATTATAGACATTTACGATGTTGCCTTTATAGATATATTTGGACATTTTATAGGTAATAGCGTCCGAGTCAAATGCTTATATGCGATCGCCTTGAAACACGCTCAACTTTTCCTTTGTGGCATGGATTACATATTGAATATAAAAGATACGCTTGGCATTTTACTTTTTCTAAGAGTTTGGGTTTTCTACTTCACTCACTATAAAAAGCTGGCTTGAATATATTTTTTATTTTTCTGGCGTCATTATTGTTTCCAACAATTAATACTTTCTCTCCCTTCCAATTCGTTACCAGATCTTGTGAAATAAGGAAAACAGAAATTCATCTAAAGTTTATCGCCAAGCAACTTTGTGCTTAGGAAACTAAATACCACACTTTTCTGCCGCCATCATCTTAAGGCTAATTTTATCCGGTTTGCCATTCGGCAATTTCGGAAAGTCATCCATTATGATGACAAACTTTGGCGTTAGTGACAGTCCATCAAGAGTTTGTTCAGTGAATCTTTCGTTACAATAGTCAATTATATCCCTTTCTGTTCTAGATTCACCAGGGTGAAGTACGACACATGCGCATAACTCCTCATAAAGTCTAGGATCAGGGACCCCCACAACAATGACCTTGCTGACGACTGGATGATCCAGAATAACGTTTTCTATGCTCCCGGGAGCTATGAGGACGGTTCCACGTTTTATCATGTCACACTTTTTACTTGTGAAGACAAGATATCCCTTTTCGGTGATATACCCAAAGTCCTCCATATTAAACCACCCATCTTTTATTTTTTCATTTGTTTTCTTTTCGTCGTTGAAATAACCAATAAACATTTGTTGGCTTTTCGTTTTAATGTTACCCGGGGTTCCTATGGGTACCACCTGGTCGTTCTCATCAGTTATCTTAACTTCGAAACCAGGAAAAGGATAGCCAATAGTTTCCATTTGGTCCTCTACTATATCTGGAGTAGCATCATGAAATTGGCTGGAAACCCACCACATTTCGGTTGATCCATACGCAACAACCATACTGGCTTTGGGCAAATTCTTGAAGATCTTTTCAACCAAAACCCTCGGTATGCGCTGCCCTGCGGTCAAGAATTTCGTAAATGCTTCCAGATTGTACTTTTCAACTGATGGTAGTTCGAGCATATCATACAACATATAGGGCATCATTAGACCCTTGGTGCACTTTTCCCGAGAAATTATTTTTAAGATCGAGTTGACATCTCTTTTAGCGACCGATATCGTTGTATCTATGGTAACGGCAGTCGTTCCGACAATACAAGCAACGATTATTCCAGTGAAACCTCCAGCCCACGTCAATGGCCGATCACAAAAATAGCGATCATTTTTTGACAAGTGATATCGAGCTGCTACAAAAAGGAAACCGTTGCTACTGAAATGGCGATGTACGACGAGTTTGGGACGACCTGATGATCCTGATGTTTGTAAAATCACACAAGGGCTATCAGCAGTAACTGTGGCGACTCGTTTTTGCAACGCTTCACGTCCTAGTTCAGTTGTTCTACGGATCATGTCGTCGTATGGTATCGCTCCATCGAAAGGTCGACTCCCTAAGGCGATCAGAAACTTTAGATTTGGGATATCTGGGTCATGTTTGGAGTTCAGAAATTTGCCAAATACGCTTTTGATGATTCCATAGTATTCATCCGCTACCCCCGTGTGAAGGATTATACCGACAGCCTTTAGTTCATTTAAGACGTATTTCAAATCATCGCCGTTTGTCATGTTGAACGACACAAATGCGGGGTAAACGTGACACTTCAGCAATGCCATCCAGCTCACAATAAACTCCGTACAATTAGGAATCAATACGGCAACTGCATCTTTGATGCCTACGCCTTCTTTGATCAAACGTGCGGCAAGGTTATCAGACAGATCGTCACAGTCCTTGAAGGTCACTGCTTGGCGTTTTGCAGGGTCTACATCAGCAATAACCAATGCCTCTTTGTCTGGTGATGACTTTACACATCGTTTGAATCTGTCAAATATTGTTTCGTTAGTAGGTTCAATACTGAACTCTGTCTTGAGGTAGCTTGTTGTAAGAGGTTTCGATATTGGTGTGATATCCTTTCCAATTGTAGAATTTTTATTCTGAACCGCGGCGTTTTGAAAATCCATCGTTAACACTTCGAATCACAAGCGGGATCAAGAAATAACTTCTGCCGTAGTAAAAGCGAATATTATTGGACTGAGTAACCTTGACTCAAGGGTGATCATTATAGTTCCTTGAGCTTAACCTATTCCTGATCTATATTTTTCTTTTATCAAAGCTTTCAATGTATCCTATATTACTGATTTTGTTTGGGCTATGAAAACATGAACAATCCTGCACTGGATATTTTTTGAAACCAAACCCACATAACTTATCTGTTACGTCTCATTGTAAATTTTATAAATGAAGAATCGTCCCACTTATATCAGTCCAATGGTAGACCCCTAACAGCCTACCTGACATGAAGATAAAAATGAACTTTTCGAATAATGTAAGGTTATATTGACCTCGAGTTTTATATTGTATATAAAAATTATACAGAGAGGAGAATATAAAAGACTAGTTAAACAACATTTACATCTCTTACTAAAAGCTTTCCATAAAGGCTTTAGTGAATTCCTGGGCCTTGGCCCTTCAACAGTGCGGTTGGGTTATAGTATCTATAAATAGGACTGTTTCTCATTCGAGCTACATTCTCTGTTTTCTACGAAAAAACAGTTATACCGAGTCAAAACAGTTAATGTTCTGTTAGGTAATTTTATTTAAACATTTTTTTATCGTTTTCTTTGACAGCCGAAATATGCCACTCCGAAGTGCCCACAAACCACCATGAGGCAACATATTCGTATTGCATCAAACTACAGGTGGCTCAAAATTACACTAGCCTAACAGTAGCACACTTAAAAATCTGAAATATCCGAGAAAGTTAAGGCAACAGTTGATTGGTCGAACTTTAAGAATTTCATATCGTTACCGTTTCATGCGTACTTTCATTAAAATTGCACTTATCATTTTAAAATTTTCGCAGAATGCAGACTTGAAATTCAAAGTTTAAAATGTTTGTTATCAGTATTGAATGAACATCCTATATGTTTGACTAGCCTCTGATTCATAATATCTTTTGCATGTGTACGATGAAGAAAAGCTATGTGATCCATAAATAAACGCCATACATGAATGATATCAACCAAAATAAGCATAAACCTTATTTGGATGAGTTTTACACAAAGGTAACTCATCAGAGGGGCAGATGTCACTCATGTTAGGAAACTGGAAAAAATTTTACGGCGATTTGACAATATAATCTTATCTAAGAAAACAAGGTTTTTAAAGCGTGTGCAATATATTATAAAAAAACGTACATCTTGAACAGCTCAGTTCTCAGTAAAAGATTCCAGGTTCTAACTTACACCAATAAATACAAGCTTGTACGTGCAAATGTCTTACCTGTAGTAAATCATTTTGGAATTTTTAGTTGTGAGCTACTATATCTGCATACATGAATATGCTGAAAGCAGATTTATTTTCCGTGGCCTAAAACAGTTCAAATAGCTTTTCACAGCTGTATCACTAGGACTACCTGGCTGAAAAGATCCATGGACTTAGATTGGAAGTAACATATCCCTTGTCTGGTAGTTTCTGGTCGCATAGAATATATTCCAGTTGGTCTCGTGGAAAATACGTTCGTCTGTGTTCAAATTTATATACATTCTCTAAAAGCCTTACCGACGGTGTAACCATAACCGATAAGTCTCTCTGAAAGTCGAAATTTCTAAGTGCTTGCATTGATACTCCTGCTGAAGGCTTAAATGGATTTCTCCAACGCCGGAGTTCAGCTCAAAAATGCATCTATTGGAAAGGATATCACACCAATATCGAAACCTCTCAAAACAAGCTATCTTAAGACTGTGTTCAGTACTGAAGCTACCAATGAAACAATATTGGACAGATTCAAACTATGTGTGAAGTCATCGCCAGACAAAGAGGCCTTGGTTATTGCTGATGTAGACCCTGCAAAACGCCAAGCAGTGAGCTTTAAGGACTGTGACGATCTATCTGATAACCTTGCCGCAAGTTTGATCAAAGAAGGCGTAAGCATCAAAGATGTGGTGGCCATATTAATGCCCAATTGTACGGAGTTTCTTGTGAGCTGGATGGCTATGTTGAAGTGTCACGTTTACCCCGCATTTGTGTCGTTCAACATGACAAACGGCGGTGATAAAGGCGTATTTGGCAAATTTCTGAAGTCCAAACATGACCCAGATATCCCAAATCTAAAGTTTCTGATCGCTTTAGGGAGTCGAACTTTCGATGGAGCGATATCATACGACGACATGGTTCGTAGAATAACTGAACTAGGACGTAAAGCGTTGCAAAAACGAGTCGCCACAGTTACCGCTGATAGCCCTTGTGTGGTTTATAAACATCAGGTTCATCAGGTCGTCCCAAACTCGTTGTACATCGCCATTTTAGCATTGTCAACGGGATAATTTTTGTGACAACTCGACTTCATTCTTCGGAGGGTGATCGGTATTTTTGTGATCGACCATTGACGTGGGCGGCTGGATTTATCGGACCGTTCGCTGCCTGTATTGTCGGGTTAACAGCCGTTACAATTGATACAACAACATCGGTGGCTAGGAGAGACGTCCATTCAATCTTAAAGATGATATCCCAGGAGAATTGCAACAGGGGTCTAATTATGCCATATATGCTGTATGATATCCTCGAGTTTCCATCCGTTACGGAGTACAAGCTGGATGCATTCACGATATTCTTGACGAGTGGACAGCCTATACCCGATGTTATATTTGACGGAATCCTAAAAGCACTGCCGAAATCAAGTATGGTTGCATCTTATGGAACAACTGAAACATATGTAATATCTTGTCAATTTCATGATGTTACCCCAGATGTAAAGGCAGACCAAATGGGAACGATTGGCTACCCTTTCCCTGGTTTTGAAGTCAGGATAACTGATGATAACGACCAGTTGGTACCAGTAGGTAAACCAGGTACTATTAAACTTAAAACGATCCAAATGTTTACTGGCTATTTCAACGACGATAAGAAAACAAATGAAAAAATAAAAGATGGTTGGTTTGACACATCTAGGACTTTGGATACCTCACCGAAAAGGGCTACCTTGTCTTCACAAGTAAATCGTGCGGCATGATAAAACGTGGAACCGTCCTCATAGCTCCAGGAAGCATAGAAAACGTTATTCTGGATCATCCAGTGATCAGCAAGGTCATTGTTGTGGGGGTCCCTGATCCTAGACTTTATGAGGAGTTATGCGCATGCGTCGTACTTCACCCTGGTGAATCTACAACAGAAAGGGATATTATCGATTATTGTAACGAAAAATTCACTGAACAAACTCTTGATGGACTGTCATCAACGCCAAAGTTTGTGATCATAATGGAAGACTTTCCGAAGTTGCCGAATGGTAAACCAGATAAAATTAGCCTCGGGAAGTTGGCGGCAAACAAGTGTTTTACTTAATCTAAAGATACGTTCGGTGTTCAGGTTCAAGTCAATGAGGTTTGACAATTTCTTTTTTATTTCTATAGTTTCTAAACAAGCTTACTAAAGAGTGAGCCTCCGTTCATTTGGTGTAAATATTGAAGACTGCAAAATGTCAGTTAAATCATTTGCAGATAACTTGTCTTATTGGTAGAAACAAAAGCAAATGGCGTAATAAGGTAAATATAGTGGTAAATGTTTTCATTGGTAAAATCATCTTCGGATAATATTTCAGTAAACATTTGAAGAGGCTTCTAAAATATTAGGTTCATAAACCCGGATGTACTACATTGATTTATCACTGGTCAGTATCAGGAGAAGGCGTCACATTTTTTCAAAATGGCAGATAGTAAGTGTCGATTTTCATATTTTAGTTCTTATTAGTTCAATGAATGTGCCCTGGAAAAACATAATTAGCGTATTCTCAGTGGTAGAATATAACGTTGATTTCACTGCAGAATATACCATACTCACATGCAGAATATGCCATATATCGCAGATGAGTGTGGCATATTCACTCGTATATTACACGCATAACTAAAAAGACGGATTTGAATTTAACACATTTTACTCTTAATATTGCGCACATATTTGGCTCTTTATCACAATTTCAATTTTTGTGATAAGACCGGTTTCTATGTTAAGGGTCAACATGATGTTAAATCATTATAAATGCCACTGAAAAATAAAATCAAAAAAGACAACTTGTACCCCCTTACTTTACAAGTAAAGTAACTATACCAATCAATGACATAATAGTAAATATAGAAGTAACAATATTATTTGAGATTTCCCATTAGCTGGTAACCCGAGCGTCAAACACGAATATGTTATATATACTTCTGTCTACACTTGTATATTATTTATCGTTTGGTATGGTATGGGTAGGGTAGGTATGATTTATTAAACACGACATACAAGCTAAAACAAACTAGGAAGTCATGCTCTTGTCATTTTTATTGTTATCATGCATTACTGATTCAACATTAGACTGAGGCTATGACATGCAATAAATAAATTGAATACAAATATATATAGGCCTATTGTAACTATTACATTATTGCATTGTATTTGCCCGATTTACAAAATGTTTTCACTGCGTCAGTGAACGAGCAGCCTGGACGTCCATGCACAATTTGATGGTCTTAGATCTAATATTAACATAAAACGCTAAAAACTAGTATTTTAGAATCAAGAAATCAGCACTGAGTAGATCAGGTAAACATAATATTATTTATTTATGGTTAATTATTTTTTAAAGCTACGATCAAATGTATTCCATCAAACAAATATAATTTTTATTTGTCTCTGATTTCATACAAATGGAGGCTTTATAATTGTCATAATTTTGAAAATCGGATTTATATGCGTGCATATCTAGAATCTAACACGAATATAATCCTCATACCTTTTCTTTACTTCCGTTTTAGAGTTGCGAATCTGCATTTACAAAACACCATGGCTGGACTAATTACGCTTGTGAGTTTTGCCCTGATTTTTGTCGCAGTCTCAGGTGAAGAAGGTGAGAAAGAGATATGTACACGTGTACTGTATGTACACGATATATCTTGGCCTGGAATATGCTATACACCGCTGCACTGGGAATAATATCACACGAAATTAAAATTGAATACATTAAGTCAGTGAAGATAAACTTTTGACAGAAGGGAATAAAGGGAACGGTTCCGTGCGTGCACATAATGCAAACAATGCAAATACCGTTGGTCCAATATCATTTATATTTCATGCGTATACTAGTATGCCCCATCCAAGAACAACACACCGGAATAGGCTGAGTGACTACGGTAAAGTCAGATACTGACAAATGGCGGACATAACCGTCGCTTCAACTGTTTAATCACTTGGTCCTCATTTCATGGAATTTTATCGTCGCTAATTCCGGTGCATGCCTTAAGCTATTGTGACAATGTATCATATGAAATCCCATTTTTCGAGCAAATTGGGGCGTGAATCGCCACAATATAGCGTCTTCGATATCGTCAATGACAACGGAATCTGAATTTGAGTAATTTAGAAAGACAACGGCATATGGTAATTACACTGTCCGTTGTCCCGTATCTCATTTTGATCGGTTAAATTAGAGTCTTTATTTCGATTGTAGAACGTTATTAACTGTCCAATGAGTATTAAGACACTTTGATTGATTGTTGTTCCGAAGGTCTAGGTATATATATATATCCATATCCACCTTATGGTCTAGTCTAGGTGCTCTATTAAACATACAGTTCATGAAAATCTAATTGAAGCGACGGTTATGTCGGACTCCGCCATATGTGACAACGGTATCCGACTTAACCGTTGTCAGGCTAAGTCCGGGGTGAACAAGTTGAGCTCAGAAGTTCAAAATGGCTACGCCTAGGCGTTGCTGTTATCCAGTGTTAAATACAATTGAAAACAGTGTTTAAAAGCAGTTGTTATGAAACCATACCTCGGGTCTGTTAGATGCAACAAACATATACATATATTTATTGTTTTTTAATTTGTGGGAAAGGAGATTGGTTAGCCCTATTTACAAAGGATCCAACTACAGAACGCATTTCGCATCCAGTTTTCAACACCACATTTTGCAACGTTCAAGTCAAAGGATGCGGCAGTGTTTCTATTACATTTGAAAGTAACAAATCCTGGAGCTTCCTATCCTTATACATCTTCAAAATAGTTATTGGTGGTTATGGAAAAAAGAAAAAAAGAAAGACTGGCGTTGCGTTCTACAGTAGAGGTTCCAAATTTCCATGGGCCGAAGCTTATGGGGATTTTTTAAGCTGTACTGAATTCCGTAACTTTTGGATAAGCTGGACTAATGGTCACTTAAAGCTTGGAACAGGACTGAATGAAGAAACGGGGAATGTGGTTCTTCGTAGTATGCTCGATGTACCCTTCTTTAATTATATTCGTGTTGATTCGTTATTTGGTGGAAAAGCAGAATGGAAACTGAATTGTCACTCAAGTGAGTATGAATTCAGAAATTTTAATAACCACACCTTTGTTCATGTTGCTTTTGATTATTTTTATTTTGTTTTGATATGTGCCAAAGAGAAATGACAAAAAGTGTTACAGAACATATAAAGAAAAATAAATATCTGAGACGACACCAGTCATAAGAAAACAAACCCCAACTATCCCAAACCATGATCTAACATGAAACATTGTCTTATACCCCCTTCCCACCATTATATAACGTAGTTATATACCCTCCCCATAATTAAAGTACCTTACAATAGTATTTATTTCAGTTGTTGTGCAGTACATTGTTAACAAAAAATAATATTACATAAATGATTTTGCAATATTCATTACATTGCTTTTAATATGTTAGTTTTCAACAATACCACACTGGGACCCCCTGAAAACGGTAAGTCAGATACCGTTGTCACAAATTGCGGACGGTAACCGTCGCATCAACTCTTGAATCACTTGATTCTAATTTCATAGGATCTTATCGTCGTTAATTCTGTGCTTGTATTATTAAGGTCTTAATTGTGATGGTGTATCCCCCCCTATTTAAAACATACTTTGGTGTTGATGTATGCACTTGTCCCATCATCAGCAATGTGCCTGCTTTCATTGTTATTTCGGGTCTTTCAACATTGTATAACTCTACCAGGTGACCCCACCACAGTGGTGTGGGACAAGTGTGTGCTACTCAAGCTAAATACTTCTTGGTAGCTTCTTGAATATTTTCCTCCCAAGGCACTGTCAGTTCAATTAATACTTTATGTTTTGATGTTTTTGACAACAATACAATATCTGGTCTGAGAGAAGTTTCTACTAATTTTTCTGGAAATTCCAGCTGTTTTTTCTGAGTCTACCATCAGGTTCATCCAGTCATTTGCTGTGTGCAATATTCAAGTTGGCTTCTTTACTTCCATTGCTGTGTCCTCTCCGGCTTTAACGAAGTTAATATAACGAGTTTCCTGTTTCTTGTGCTTTTTCCTCATTTCTGTGTCAATTACTTGTGATATTTCTTTCAGTACTTGGTCGTGTCTCCATCTGAATCTTCCATCTGATAACCCTTTGCTACAAGCTGCCATAATGTGTTTTAAGTTTGACATCCCTCCGCATAATGGCCACTGTGCGCTATCTGATATCCCAAATTCGATCAAACGAAGTTGTGATTTGCCGAAATATACCGTCTTCCATATCGTCAATTACAACGGAATCTGAATTTCAAACAGAGACCACTATATACAACACATTTTGAGATGTGACAATAGACTATGGTGAATGTAATTGCATTGGACACAGGGGAAATGACAATGTGAAATACACGCATTGACGTTGTCTTTCTTGGTAACATCATCGTTGTCATAGATGTTACAGCACATTTGATCAGCATTTACCGATGTCACTTATACAGTAGAGAGTTTAAACTTGCAATATTTTTCACAACGTAACCGTGAACGGAAAGTACATGAATCAATATAGTAATTTATCGTATGATCTGTAAAATGAAGCCCTCTGATTGGTCAGTTCTTGTGCTGTACCACATTCTGTCTCGATATTCTGTATTGCACTCGACTTCGTCTCGTTCCAATACAGAATTTCTCGAGCAGAATATATCCTGTATTGCACTTCAAATCATTCAATAACTTACAGTGTATAGCGCGCATACAAAACACGCGCTAATTAGTCTACTTCCGATTCCCGTTCAGCTTCAGAATTTCGTGTTTAGAACGAGAAAGGATGGGTATCGATATGGCGAACTTTTTGAACACACGTTTCTCTAAAACCAGTCATAAAAAATTCTGAAAATTTTACACAGTGTCAATTTAATGGTCATCTTTTGAATGGTAACACTATAATTTGAAATATATATATATACTTTCATCTATATTGTTTTAGAAAACACATCAAACACTTGTTTTGTTCTTGGTATCATATTTCCAGAGTGAAATGAAACATCTTTCCGGACCTCATTAGAACAAAACGACATTAACATAACATTTTTAGGTCTCTCAATATTGTAATTGTACAAAGGAAATTTTGGTTGATTTTAAAAAAGTATCTTGTTAATGAAATAAAAGGTTTATCTTGATTTTTATCTACTTTGGGGGATTTTGTTTTAATTTTTTGAACTTTTTTAAAATCAACCAAAAATTCTTTTGTATAACTATTATATTGAGAGGTCTAAAACATGTTGTATATGCTATTTTGTTCCAACAAGGTTCGTAAAGACATTTTATTTCATTCTCAAGAATTTGTAGAAAGGGCAAAAACAATTGCACTAAAAAAATGTTAACAAAAACAGTTATATAAAATATTTCTAAATAATTTTCGCATTAAATTGTTGTCAATCAGTCAACATCACATAAGATACCGAGTATTTTACAGAATGTTTTCAATAATTGGTTTAAGAGAAAAACATTGTTGAATTCAGTTCTCCATATCGATACCAATCCTTTGCAATTTCACGTTGGTGTCAACGGGAATCTTTATACTCGTGTCATTGAATAGAAAGCTGGTAATTCTGAATTCGATGCACAGTGTTATACTTTCTGAAGAAAATGATGTATGTCATATATGTTTTAGCTCCAAATATCTTACGAAACGAGCTTGTTTAAAATATGTATGATAGAAAACCAGCTATAGAACTATCAAAGGCATATTACACGCGGTGGTGTAAACTCTGTAACTGAACGATTAAAATTATTTGGGAACATATGTACAGTATGTAGGTATGTCAATAAAGGTCAAATATCGCTGCGCTATTAGACGTCCTGAGATTTCATACCATGGACTAATAAACCAATCTATAATGCCTATGGTTCACTGATGTTTCACCCAAGGATTTTGGGGTTATCCTGGGCATTTACGCACTACTTCTAACGAGAAGAGAAAATTATTGTACCAACTTATTTATTTCTGAATTCATATGAAAGAAGTATGCACTGGCAGAATACATTGTTTGTAAATAATCATTTGTTTGTACGTTTGCTTTGCATGTTGATAAACAAATAAGAACATGTAGTTTTTATTACTCGTTTGAGTGTTTATTACTAAGTCAAAAAATACCCAAAATGGCGCATATTTTCCATTACCGTATTCACAACAGTCCGTACTTCTGAATGAACATTTGTTCTCACATTGACTATCGTGTACTCTATTTCCTCGTACCTTAGAAAAAACACAGAAAACAACGAACAAATACGATTAAAAGAAGGTTAATAAGTGTATTATTACAAAGGAGTGGTATCGATATGGTGAACTTTGACATAAACAAAACATGTTTAGATCTCTTAATATTGTAATTGTACAAAGGAAATTTTGGTTGATTTTAAAAAAGTATCTTGTTCATGAAATAAAAGGTTTATCTTGATTTTTATCTATTTTGGGGGATTTTGTTTTAATTTTTTGAATACTTTTTTAAAATCAACCAAAAATTCCTTTCTATAACTATAATGTTGAGAGGTCTAAAAATATGTTGTATATGCTATTTTGTTCCAACAAGGTTCGGAAAGACATTTTATTTCATTCTCAAGACTTGGTAGAAAGGAGCAAAAACAATTGCACTAAAAAACAAAAAATGTTAACAAAAACAGTTATATAAAATATTTTAAAATAATTTTCGCATTAAATTGTTGTCAACCAGTCAACATTACATAAAATACCGTGTTTTTTACAAAATGTTTTCAATAATTGGTTTAAGAGAAAAACATTGTTGAATTCAGTTCACCATATCGATACCTATCCTTTAAGCCAATTACTGTAATCATTGGGCATTGATTCACGGGTAGTATCTAAAGCCCCGCTGTCGCCCCGCTGGCTGTGTCGCGAGCAAGTTCCCGCTAAAATCGCGAGGAATAAAAAGAAGTGATGGGTTATCTCTTGTTTACTTGAATTGTAAGATGTACAAAGCGTTTTCTTTTAATTTTCCTCAATTATTACATGGTATTGAGACTAAAAAAAGCAAATGCTGGAAAAAAGTATCACTGGCGGTCGTTCTGTGGTTCTTTATTTTACAATTGAAGAGACAATTATAATCTTGAATCTTTATCTATATATTTCTATAAGTTATAGGTGAAGGACGACGTTGTCCTGTGCTTTAGTTTCACTTCCTAAAGCTTTACAAAACATTTTATATTTCAATTTTATCATATCCCTCAAGGCCCCGCTTCATGCAGGAGCAATAAAGCAGAGGCACCGCTGAAAACATGAGGAGGCCCCGCTGAAAACATGAGGAGGTCCCGCTGAAATCAGGAGCAAATGTCTCATGTGCATGTTGAGTGAATCCTGATTATACCCTGAAAATGTCCCACTATCGCCCCCAGCTTGATGCACTATTGTACCCAGTTTCATGAATTCATTATTTGTCGATACAATTCTTAAAAACAGCAAATACAGTCAGAAAAATATTCAGTAATTACACGTCGCACGAAACTGGGGACAATTAGCGTAACATTAAGGCGTCAAAAACCAAGACAAAACAATGAGCAGCATAGGGCGCAAACAGCCTTACATCGTCAAAAACGACAAGTGTCACATTTTTGTAAAGATTGGTCAACCTAAAAATAAAATGCTTTATCCTTATCTAATCATGACAAAATTCACAGGGTAGCAAGATCTTGAGGACAATATTTCTAAAATGTTTTTGAATTTTGAAAAACGGTCAAGAAATCCACTTGGGGCGTTGGTAAAAATTGATATGTATGGGATTTGTGGTAAAAAATCGATGCATCACATATTTTTCAAGTCTCGAAAACCAGCTCATATTTTAATACTATTTGCAAAATAAACAAACTGGTTATTGTTTTGTAAATTTCGCCACATATCAAGAATATCACGTCATTTGCTCATTAACATAAATTCTGACAAATGACGTCACAGATTATTGTCAATGGGAAATTACTATAGGAAAACTTTAAAAGTAGACAAAGTGTGTGATAATTTACGAACTCGAATTTATTCGAAATGGTATATTATGCATGACACTATTATGAGTAAGACGGCGAAAAATTGAATTCCCAACGTTAAAAATAAGCTTAAGAAAAAACGTGTTATAAAATCACTTTGTTTGGGGAGTGGTAGCGTGACGTCATAGTTTTAGCGAAAATATGGTAAAAATGGGCAAATTCAACGTCTTTAACCTCCTGTAAAAAATTTTTTTGTTAATATCAGAATTTACTCGAAATGGTTATTGGAAGAGCTAGATTGAACTTACGTAATCAATACGTTATCAATACCAGGGCTTTAAAAAATAAGCTTCCCCCAGAAAATGAAAATGGGTCATTTATCAAATGGCCAATTATAATTCTATTCATTAACATAGCAGCCTGAAACGTTGAAAATTGCTAATTACGACGTCCGTACGAGTACGTGCATTTTCCCAAAGTCTAATTAAATCAATAGATCGTTACAGGATGTCTTAATTTTACTCAAAACACGAGATAACTTTTGGTTTATATTTTCTTTATTTTTAATTACCAAGATATAGAGGTTCTTATATGAGTACCTGTGCAAGATCGTCCATTCTCGATGAGCTTTGATAATTCTTCTTTATGGAGTCGAAGACGAGATAAAGAAACATTATCAAAGCGAGTCAAGAATGGACGATATTGCACAGATACATGTACGAGTACAAGAAAGTTTTTCTCATATGACTCTGTATTATGCCATATTTTCACCATTTTATAATAAAACTGAGTGAAAAATAGCTTCAAATTAATTGAACTTCATCTTTCAATTGTTATGACGTCATAACAATATTGAAGAAAATACATAGATACACGTGGCAACAAAGCTCCATTGTTATGACGTCACAACTTAGTTTTGTAGAATAAGCATGGATACGCATAGCAACGATATGTCCGTTGCCATGTTGTTGATGTTTATAGACCAGTGATGTCACAAGTGAATCTCATCTTGCACGTGTGACTTTTTAGGATGAAAGATGGCAATATCTTGCATGGGGTAAAGATGGCTGTATCTTTGTTAGTCATGTAAGAAAATATAATTCATTTAAAGATTTCAATTCAAAATCTCAACACAACTTCACCCCTAAGGCATTGGCCTGGCCAATTGAGTTTTTTTTGTTCTAAACTGAAAAGAATTTCCGCTTGTATAAATGGAATTGCAATTTATGAGTCTATATATATCAATCAAATAAAATCTGCCGAAGAGGACCCATAATCGTAGGAAATATGCATTTTGTGTGAGAAAAAGACAGATTTAAAATTAATTGTTATGTAAAATGTACCCTACCGTATATAGTCTAAAACATGATACCTATTTCGGAGAATTCAAGGACGGCTAAGCTGACGAGTCAGTCGAACGGACGTACTCACTTTATTTGACAGTATTTAATCTATTTTTATCTTTGAAATGACTCTTTCCAGATAAAACGTTCCCGAAATGTAACAGCGGCTTGGTAGCTGTCTCTCTCTGGGAGAATCAATTTATTCTTCGTAATTTACGGGCTTTCTAGCACGGAGTTTCATAGCCATATAATTCTAAAATGTTCAAATATTGGTAATCTTGGTACACCAGACGAAAAGCGTATTAAAGTCGAATTCCCGGGGAAATTGACTATTGTACCATTGACGTGATTGGATAATCGAGATGTGGCGTCATGTAATTATTCACATAAACAATCAAAAAGCATGTGGTAAAATGACGTGATATCAATGACAATATTGTGCAGTTAATTTTTCTTTCAAATCAGACTTAAATTAGAAGGTTAAATGAAGGTAAACTTATTGCTCATCCCATTCGCCTTCAAAACCTTACACAATTTTGAAAATTTTAAAAGCGTTCATATAAGATAATTTGAGCTGGAGCCGTTAAGCAATAGTGACATCATAAATGAGCAGTTTCCATTGAATAAATTGTAAAATATTAGTGGGATTTTGATCATTATTTTAAAAGTTATCCCAATTTCAACGAGCCCTGTAAGCGTTAAGTGTTACGTCTTACAGCGTATTTGACGATGTTGGGATATATTTAACTTTCAAAATATGTTGGATCCGATCAAAATTTTGAAGGAAAAATTATTTCACTGAAATGCGAATAAAAAATACTTCAAAATGATATATACAACACATAGTTAGCTTTTTAAATAAGGCAGAGATTAACGCTCAAAGCTTAGATTAGCCCATATTTCCCGAATTGTACCCAGGTCCGTGCACGTCATAAATACTATTTTTGCCTCAAACTCCTATTGCCAGATTGCATACTCAATCACGCACTCACCCATCCACCCAACCACCCACTCACTCACCCGCCCACTAACTCACTCAATTATTACCATCCTTCCTTCCTTCTATGCTTACGTCATTATTTGCTCACTTCCTTCCTACTTCCTTTATTCGTTCATGTCCAACTTCTTTCGCCCCTTACTCCTTCCTTTTCTTCCTTCCTCCCTTCCTACTTTCTTCTTTTCTAACTTCTTTCCTCTCTCCCTCCCTTCCTTCCTACATTCTTTCCTTACTCCCATACTACCTTACTTCCTTACTTCCTTCCGTGCTTCAATTCTTTCTTTCTTAATACTTACATCCTTACCATTCCTTCCTTCTTCCCTCCCTTCCTTTATTACTTCAATTCTTCTTTATTTTCATAAATTCTTCCTCCATTCCTTCCTTACTCCCTCACGTCCTTCCTTTTTCCTTCATACTTACTCTCTTACCTTCTTCCCTTTTCCTTCCCCTCTCACTTCTGTCTAGTAACTCCCTTCCAACGTACTTTCTTTTACCTTCTTCCCTTTCCTTTCTTTCTTACTAATTTCCTTCTTCCTTCCTTCCTACTTATTTCCTCACCTCCTTCCTTTTCCCCGTCATTCCTTCCTTCCGTCCTTCTTGCTTACTACTATTACTTCCAATATCACTTCCTCGATTAGATCCTCTATTCCTTCCCTACTTGCTTCCTTAATTACTTCTTTGCTTGCTTACTCACTTCTCTTGTCTGCTTGCTTTCTTGCTCGCTTGATTACTTACTTACTTTCGTATGGCAAGTGGAAAGACAAATTTTGACAAAAACCTGCAAACGAACAAACGATCAAGGAAAGAATTGACGGATGTCATTTGTTGCTTCTGCATTAGTGTCTTCATTCGTTGTCTTTTTTCTTTGTCTTGATTGTCTTGTCTTTGATTATGATGTAAGAAATACTCTAACGGACGAACGCCCGAATGAACGGTCGCACGCACGCACGAACGGAAGATCGAATGCACGCATGACGAACGGACGGTCAGACGAATGCACAATCATACGAATGGACAGTTGGACGAACGCATGCATGCCCTAACATTCGGACGAACGACCGCCCAAACGAACGGTGGGACGAACAAATGCACGAAAGAACGAATGGACGGTTGGATGAATGCTGCCACGAACGGACGGTTTGACGCACGCACGAACGGAAGATCGGACGAATGCACGCACGAACGAACAAACCGTCAGCCGAACGCACCCATGAACGAACGAATTTCGGACGAACGTACCCATGAACGAATGGATCGGTCGGGCGAACGCACGACGCTGACAGATGGATCAAACTGCCTGAAGTTGCAGAAGAAATGTTGCCATAGGATGATATGTTATGTGATTGGCACATTCGTGTACGTTCATATAAAGAAGGACAATATCTTCATGGAATAACAATGAAACTTTCCTCGCGATCGAAGCGAGTAGTCGTGAAATCTGCTCGTGTTTTCAGAGGAGCCTCATGTTTTCAGCGGTGCCTCCTCATGTTTCCAGCGGGGACACCGAAACACTATTAAAGATGTATTTCGACTCCCATGGCAGGAGTAATTGTACATTAACTTATCAATACAGACCATTTTGATCAAATATTTATTACGGAGTATGTAAATCGTATTTATTGCCTTTATTTGAACGATAAAAGTAATATATATGAACAGTAAATTATGCAAACGTGCATGTTGACGCCATTTTCTTCCATATCAATGAAAAAGAATCATTTTTCATGTCATTGTTTGTCAAATATATTCGTTTTCAAGGTATTGCTTGAGTATCAAAGAAATATGTTCATCCCCATTTGGTACATTTCCAAAATGATACAAATAAACAGGACTATGCTCGCGATTTTAGCGGGAACTTGCTTGCGACCTTTAAATCATAGCGGGTCTTTTGATACTACGTGTTGATTGCTATATCGAAAACATTCGAGCGTGCGCATGCATCGAGAGAGATCAAATACGGGCTAATTTGGTAAGACAGTGATCAATTTGTTGACTTTGTCACAGGAGCAATCATACGCCATAGCATACCCCGGGAAAGATAGGCCCTACTCGAATTCAAGGTTCCGCAAATATGTCACAAATGTAATTTTTTGCAAATTTAATGTGTTTCACAGTATGACCTTTTCATTTCTTATAACTAGGTGACGCGAGCCACTTCTTAATGGAAGCAATTGCTCCGTGGCCACCACGCGACCGTTTAACAATGGTTCTCCAAAATGAATATGATTACGTCATAATGGATCTTAATTCGAATATTAGTTACCATCGACTATTAAATGTTTTTGGAGAAACAATTGACCGTGCTTATGGGAAACTGTTATCTAGTAAAAAGTACAGACCACTAAAAGTCACTTGGTCTGCGACCATGATAAAGTTGGAGTGGAGAACTCTTCGTCGATCATGGCTTAACTGGTTAGGAACAATGGTTCAAAGAACCGGTCAAAGACTTAGACTATATAATGACAAGAGAATTTATACCGAACATTCCAAGGGGGGTCCAAACAACATACCAGGTATGTACGTTTTAAGTTTTTAAGTAAGCATAGGCCTATATAAATAAAGTGTATATTCATATCTAATGCAATGTTCAATGTTCATACAAGAAGAGGAGATTGGTTTTGTAAATTCTCTTTGTATGCTTTACCACAATAACATATATAGAGGATATTCTATGATTTATGAGTGATATGAAATTTATCCACGAATGTATATGATATCTGCACGAGCGAGCGTGGCGAGAGAGTGTAGATATCAATATCCATGAGTTGATTAATTTCATATCACTCATAAATCACAGGGTGTTCTTTTTATTCCATAGTTAAAGTCATCATCAGAATCATCGGAAATTAAGTTATTTAATTCGAATTTTCCAAACGATCCGGCGATGTTGACACTTAGCCTCATTTTGAGTCTGAAGTAGCAAAAATCCATAAACCATCGCATACGACGCCTTATCCTACACTTAGTGTACTAAATGTATAATAACATTAAAAAATAGATTTGATATTTATTGGCAAAATAAATATCCGGAGAATATCGTAACGATATACTCCGGGCGGAGGATATCGTGACGATATACTCCGGAAAACCCAATATGCGGAGGATATTGTGACGATATACTCCGCTTGTTGATTTCCCGCTAAATTGATTCTATTTGGCATGAAATTCATTTTACAATGATATTATACATTTATTACACTTCTTGTAAGTGTAGGACAATAAGAACATCCTATGATTTTTTCAGAATATCATTTTAATCTACTCGGTGATATTGATATATGCACTCGTTCGCTTTGCTCTCTCGTGCAGATATCAATATCACCTCGTAGATAAAAATGATATTCCTCAAAATCATAGGATATCCTATAATTATCCTACACTTAGTGTACTAAATGTATAATAACATTAAAAAATAAATTTGATATTTATGGGCAAAATGAATATCCGGAGGATATCGTCACGATATACTCCGGGTGGAGGATATCGTGACGATATACTCCGGAAAACCCAATATGCGGAGGATATTGTGACGATATACTCCGCTTGTTGATTTCCCGCCAAATTGACTCTATTTGGCATGAAATTCATTTTGCAATGATACTATACATTTAGTACACTCCTTGTTAATGTAGGATAATAAGAACATCCTATGATTTTTTTCAGAATATCATTTTAATCTACTCGGTGATATTGATATATGCACTCGTTCGCTTCGCTCTCTCGTGCAGATATCAATATCACCTCGTAGATAAAAATGATATTCCTCAAAATCATAGGATATCCTATAATTATCCTACACTTAGTGTACTGAATGTATAATAACATGAAAAAATAAATTTGATATTTATTGGCAAAATGAATATCCGGAGGATATCGTAACGATATACTCCGGGCGGAGGATATCGTGACGATATACTCCGGAAAACCCAATATGCGGAGGATATTGTGACGATATACTCCGCTTGTTGATTTCCCGCCAAATTGACTCTGTTTGGCATGAAATTCATTTTACAATGATATTATACATTCAGTACACTCCTTGTAAGTGTAGGATAATAAGAACATCCTATGATTTTTTCAGAATATCATTTTAATCTACTCGGTGATATTGATATATGCACTCGTTCGCTTCGCTCTCTCGTGCAAATATCAATATCACCTCGTAAATAAAAATGATATTCCTCAAAATCATAGGATATCCTATAATTATCCCATAGTTGAGGTCAAATTTGTAGAATAACACGTATATATATTTATGATATTTTGCAAATGCGTGGAAAAAACGATATCTGTGGAATACGGAGAATATTCCACAGATATCACTTTTTCCACGGATTTGAAAACTCCCGCCAATGTGACGTGCATTGTTACATGGTTACACGTTATATGCTTACATGGTGATTTTACGACGTCACAAATATGGAAATGATTAATGTTTTTGCTTTAAGCCCAAGGTTCAACACTCGTTGTAAAATGCTTTGTAAGGTGAACTGTGGGATGATTTGATGTCAACTATGGGATAAATAGAACATCCTATGATTTTTTCGTGATATCATTTTAATCCACTCTTTGATATCAATATCTGCACTCATTCGCTTCGCTCACTCGTCCAGATATTGATATCAACTCGTGGATAAAAATGATATCTCTCAAAATCATAGGATATCCTATACGTATGTCATGGCTAAAAAACCGTATGTTATGGTTAAGTGAAAATTTGTCAAAAATATCATATTTTACCACTGATTACAAAAATACCGTTTTTATTTTCACATGTTATCCTATGAATATCATGCTAACTATGGAATAAACAATAATATTCTAATTTTGGATATATTAACTGATGGGCTTTCAATGGAAGGGTACGCAACTTCCTATATTTCATACATAAGCATTGTCTTGGGTTTTCAAAATTGGAGAAGAATGCATGCTTCCTGTACACATGGAAATGGAATTCATCATAATTATGGCAATAATGAAACTGAACATTTCCCCACAAATTATATTTTAATTAGAATGTGTTCTTGAATAATTACCCACAATGCAACTCAAAGAGAACATTTTGTATGGAATGTTTTCTGCTTCATTATTCGTATTTTATAATATGTATTCGTATATTGAACTCTTAATTTGTTAAAAGCACATTTATGTTCGTAACTTGAGTATTTGTATTCATTGTTTGTATTTTCTCTAATTTATTTCGTTAAAACGTATACAAGTATGTACGTGTTTTAGACTGAAATAAATTCAAAAGTCCTCAAAAGCATTTGTAAGTGACACATTATATATCCGTATTCAGTTTGTACCTTTATCGTTGTTTCTGCAAATATATTAGTTTAATATCTACGAACTGAATGTCAAATTTATCAATGAATAAGTACTTGCCTTGGCATTTCATTTTTTAATTGTCGAATTTATTTTCGTAACAAGGTAATATGTTTCCGTAAAAGCACACATTTACTGTTCGTAAATATTGTTATTTGTATTCGTAAATTGCACTTATTTATTATTTATTTTATTCACCTTTATAACGGTGGCACACCTCAATGGGTGCTATACAAATATAAAACATATTAAAATCAATCTTTCAATTTAATATATACTTTCTTTAAAAATCTCTTGGAAAGAGAATCAAATTTAAAACCAATAACATGCCCATTATTCAAAAACACATCATTACCAAGCAGCCAATGTAGTTTTATGTCTTCTGGTAAGGTTAAAAATTCATTCCATACAGGCAATGGAAGGGATGAATTAAAATCATTGAACAAGGCATGGCGTTCAGTCCTAAAAAATGGCATCTGAGCAATCAATGACATAGGTCATCCCTACATTCATCATTACATAATAAACAAACTCCGGTTCCCTTTCCCCATCTCGCTAAATCAGTCTGTAACATGAAACAGCCCGCCTTGGCTCTAAATTTTACCCTGTTTCTTTGACGAGAGCATATCAATGAAATCAGTTATAACTATGGAGAATAATGTAGGGGACATATTACAGCCCTGCTTGAGACCACATTTACTCTCATAAAAGTCAGTTTCGAAATCACCAAATGAGACTTTATTTTTAGGACATTCATATAGTTAACGCAAAATTGCCCTGAATTCCTTTGTCCCAAAGGTGTGAAAATAAGGTATTATGGTCTAAAACATCAAATACCTTGGAAATGTCAAGGAAAGCAAGAAATGTTTTCTTTCCTGTACTTTTCCTAAGACTACAAAGTCCTTTAAGGATGAATACACTAACTTCATTTCTTTATCAACCATGGAAGCATATACCTTATACACATTAGAGGTGACTTATACCACGATGATTATCTAAAATTTCAGTGTCACCATCCTTATGTAGGGGCTTTAAGATACCCTCTTTCCATTCAGAAGGAAAAGTTTCTGCGTACGTGAAAAACTGAAACATATCTAGCAACGAATCATGTAAAACCTTTCCGCCATACTTTAAAAAGTCATTCATAATACGGTCGGTACCACACATTTTGCCATTTTTTAGACTTTTCAAGCATTCATCAAGTCTCACTTTAGTAATAGATAATGTATCTAGGACTTCAGTCTTACATTCTTCATGTAGTTGTTTCATTTTATCATTTAAATCAATAAAACTTGAATCTTTATTCCTGTGAGTGTTTCCCAAATTACCCCCAATAAGTCTTCAGCGTTTCACACGCGGCTTTTTGATCAGTGATCAACTGAGTTGGATTGGAAGGATTTTTAATTTGGATAGGATATTCTGCTTTTTTATTAAACATTTTTAAAGACTCCCAGTATGATTTGGAACTTTTAGACTTCTTCATGGCATTTCTAGTCATGTTTTTTATGTGGTTATTAACAATTTTATCTTTGATTTTATGCTGAACTTTCTGTTTAAGCTCAATATATATGTTCCATAGCTCTTTCAAATAACTAGGATCTGCCACCCCAGACTTTTTCCAAAACCTAAAAAACCTGTTGGCCTCTTGCCTATTCTCGATCAAATTATTAATTTCCTTGTCCCAGAAAGATCTACTATGTTGTGATACATTTTTTGGCCCAATTTCATTCTCAGCAGTGTTAATTAAAAGGTGTTTCCATTGGGTCCACATAGATTCAGCATCGATAAAATTGTTTGAGTTCCATGATTTAAAAACTTCACTTACCTTAATATTGAAATTTTCCCAGTCTGTTTTATCAGTTATATCCCATTTTACATACGCTTTAGGTTTTGTCTTGGCAGGAGGTGAATACATGTTTTTTGAACACCCTGTAGAAAAAGTAGTTAAAATCATAGAGTGGTCACTTCCAATACTGAAGTGGCCATCCTCATCAACGGTCAAACTTTTACATTTTAAAGAAGCAGTTTCATTAGTTTTAACATAATCAATTGTTGATTGAAGACTATTTCTTTTCCATGTTACCTTTTCTAGGCAAATATTCATAGTGTTCAATATGTTTGTTACCTCACACATATACTCAAGGTCGCCATTAAAACTTGTTTTCCCATTTTCCCTGAATTCAGATATTTTCCCATTACAATCACCCATAAGAACGGTATATTCAGAGTCATTTGACAATTCTGAAATTTTTTCAATCAACTCATTACAAAGTACTTGACTTTTTTCAGTGTCAATGCCATCCTGGGGAAAATATACCACACAGAGATTGAAAATCACATTATTAATTTTCACCCTTACCCAGTATCTCTCTAGATCATCAGACCTAGAATCAAAAAGGTTATCATTCAGTATCTGGACATTATTTTTGATGAAAAAACCTACTCCGCTTCCGAGCTTATTTTTCCGGTCTTTTGGTAAAAATTTGTAATCATTAGGTAGAATTGAAATATCGCGGCTTTCACCGAACCATGTTTCTGTCACACCCATAATTGTAAAACCTTCTGTTTCTAATAGCTGAGCCAATTGCACCTGTTTGGCCTGCCCTAAATTTTGAACATTATTAAAACACATTCTTACATTATCAGAGGGGTGCTTTCTATCATCACGCCGTATCTTTTTATGAGTGCGGCTGCTTGGTTGAGATGAATTTTTGCATTGGGTGCTGCCAATCACTTTGCCAGTGACCTAGTAATTGTTACTGTCTACATCATTGTCCAAAGCACTAAAGGAATTATGGCATATGACGGATTTATGACCAAGGCCGTTACAAGTATAGCATCTAACAGTCTGGGAGTGCCAATGTGTTCGGGTCAAATGACCTGTCATTCCACATTTTTGACACGCCTGCCCCCGCAGATTGTTAGATGGCCTGTTATTGTTATGTTTAATATCATTGCCATTTGATGCTTGACTGGAATTTCTGTTCATATTGGACTTAACTTGCCACCACTGAGTGGGGTGGGGAATGTTAATAGAAACTGTACGTTGGGGTGCTGCTGGTAGTGGTACATTACTGTCAGATTGGGTAATGTGCGTAGGAGTGGGAGTATTAGGAGCTACAACATTGTTAGTGCCATTATGCTTTGGCTTATTCCTCCTCCTATTCCTAGGCTTAGCGACAGATTTCAAGTTGGTGTTAAGCTTAACCCCAAGACGATTTGTCCCTGCATCAGACAAATGAAGTCCATCAGACAGCAGGTATCCTGCATTAACAGTCCCATCACGGAGCTTGAAATCAAGGTCGTTATTTACAAAGGTACAGTTCTCGTCCTCGGCAATTGTTACTAGACCTGCATTCAGTGTCTAGTAATCTGGTCTCATCAACATCTCTAACAATAGACGAACCAATGAGTAGAGATCTCTGATCTGCAGCAAGTAAACGATTACGGAGCTGCATGTTTTCCTTATTGAGTTATTGAGAATACAGTCAGTTGTCTTTGAAGCAAGCTGTTTCACTAAATCTGCGTTCGTTGACTGAAGAGCATCATTTGTACGTTGTATAGCATCCAATGACACTTGCGTAGTCTTTAGAGTAGAGTGCATTGAAGTAAGAATATTTTTCAAATTTGCAACAGAGTCCTCCAATGATCCACTGCCGGCACCAATAGCACTGGTATTTGGAACACGTGACTTTCGTGGCCGTCCTCTTGGCTTGACACGTGGTTTTGCAGGTTTTTTTGGCCATAGTCATAATTACGACATAGTCTCATTTCTTTAGTTTACGACATAATGTCGTAAATCATCACTTGTTTGAGTGCATGTTCCACCACAGGTCAGGAAAATGTCGAGTTCGGAGTTAGAACATAAATTTGAAAGATTGTTTGATCAATTGGACACCATAAACCAAAGATTAAAAGTACAGGGTGTCCAAAAAAACAGGACCGTAAAAAAGTTGAATAACTCGGTCAATTTTGCATATTTTACCTTGAAATTTCAGAATTATTTAGTTCATTCAATGTGAATTTCGTTGTGAAAGTTTGATAATAATCTACCAATTGAGTCAAAAACTACAGCTCCTTACAAAACATACCCCAAATGTGCAAATCTCATCTCTATGCACAATTCAATCCGGCGAACAAAGCTGTTGATGACCCTCCTACACACATGTCTTTCTGAATGGACAAGTTTGTTCCAAGAACAATTGCTACTGGGGCCTACATCCTCCTGATGAAGTGTTACAGCATCCATTGCATTCTGAACAATGCACTCCCTGGGTGGCAATGGGGAAACATGGAATCATCAGTCCCTATTGGTTCGAAGGTGACTGGGGACTTGCTATCACCATGAACAAGGACCAGTAAGTTCTCACCAAGTTTTGGAGGTCACTAAGCACCAGAAGGGACATCTAAGGAGATAACTACATGTAAGCAGTGGTTTCAACAAGCCAATACCACCCCAACACTGCAAATGATATGCTGAAATGGTTTAGGCAATGCTTTGGTGGTCAGCTCATCAATTGCAGAACGCAAACCATAAGGGCAGCTCATTCGTCTGATCTAAATCCCCCAAATTTTTATCTGAGGATTTCTCAAAGCCAATGTGTATGCTGACAGGCCCCTAACAATCTTAAGAGGGCAATAACTACCCCAATATTTACCATCCACATTAATGTGAATAGGTAAGGGTCATTAACAACTTTGTTCGCAGGATTCGTTTGTGCATAGAGAGGAGAAGTGCCCACTTTGAGCATGTTTTGTAAAGGACTGTAGTTTTTGACACAATAAACAGATTATCATCAAACTTTCAGAACAAAATTCACATTGAACGAACTAAATATTCCATAAATTTTAAGGCAAAATATGCAAAATTGACCAAGTTATTCAACTTTCTTACGGTCCTGTTTTTTTTGGACACCCTAGTAGAGGATAAAGAAGAAACTAAGGATAGTAAAGACTCTCAAGAGCAAAGTCAAAATAATCAACAGGCCCGTTTATTCGACACAGTTTCCAATGGCGGGTTGGGTGGTCCAGCCATAGGTTATGACCCACGTGGTTCTTCCAGCCCTTCGTACAGCGTAGAGGTGCAACAAGAATTTGAGACATTAAAGGACGCTTTACAAAAAATTAGACTACAAAATACACACAAACTATTAGAGTCACGAACAGGCATAAAACGTGCAGATCAAGACATTGTCACTATATTAGGTAAATTAGCCAGATACACAGAAGTTGCTTTCAAATGGCTTTACACTCAGGACCCCAGTAATGGGGCCGGTCCATTGGAGTTACAACAATTGTTTACCATCCTTTCTGCTCAAATGAACTGTTTCCAATCAGAATATACAGCGTTGGTTGTGAACAATACATGCGATGACGATACATCCAAGCTTTACAAAGCGTTACAACGAAATCCTCAGATGTTTAATGATGAATCAAGACTGAATTTACACACAGCTGCTAACATTGCGTCAAGAAGACGTTTTTTGGCTTACGACTGTTTTCTTATATATTCGTTATTCATTGGCTCATTGAGATCACGTGATCATTCTCAACGAGACATGGTCAAAGTAATCACCCCCTCCCCCTCACACACATAAAACTCTCGTGTCACGTGACCTATGCCTCGAGACTTGCAGTTTATATTCGCTAACTCACATTTGTATTCGTAAACTCACATTTATATTCGTAAAGTTTCATTTTATTATTCGTTAATGTACGAATATTTCTTTGCTTTCTGCAATAATTCATGGAAAATTTTCAAGATTATTATTCGTAAAAATACATTTCTGCGATAAAATAACAGGCAACTTATTTGAAATTTATTGTAAGCTGTAGTTGGCGAGTAATAAATTGTTAGTTTCAAATATTTCCAGTCCTTACAAACATAAAATGCACCCGGTTTATATGGTCATATATGTATTTGTAACTTAGGCATTTTATTTGTAAATGTTACATAAATATTCGTCTAAGAGAATTTACTACAAATGAATAATGAAGCAGTTATGACGCTATAATTTTGATACCTCTTTTCCTTATTGGTCTTTTTGTTTACTTTAAATTGAGATAATCGTGTTTCGTGTTTTTAATCATATTTACAATTTTAAGAGCATCTGAAAAGGCATTTTATAGACAAAAATTTATGGTCACAAATGGGAACATTAAGGAAACATGGAATGTGATAAATGAAATTTTAAAAAGGAAAGGTCCATTCACTAAGCCACAACTTGAATTTGACATTGATGGTCAGGTAATTAGCAACCCTAAAGATGTTGCTAATATGTTCAATGAATTTATTTCTAATGTTGGAAAAATCTCAATGATAAAATTTTACCTAGTTATAAATTATGGTCTGAATTTATGAACAAGCAAAACAGAATAGTTCATAACTTTATTTTTCAAAAAATTGAAAAAGAAGAACTTTTGACCCTTTTATCACTTTAAAAGATAGTTCAGCATCTCTGGATGAAATCAAACCGGAATGTACTAAAAACCCTTCGACCTACGACCCTTCGACCCTACGACTTACTGGGTGTCAAGAATTTTTGGAATATATTTTAATATTGAAAAACCCTTCGACCTCTGATTTCCCAGTCCAGTTTACTAAATGATTACGTATAGTTCCAACTTGAGCTCCCTGTAGGATTTAATCTACCTACAGCTTGTTAACTGTTAAAAATAGCAAGAACATAACTTCGACATATGAGTGTTACCTGATGAATGGGACCCTCACACGCCTTCCAAATGGTAGTAAACGAACTCTAGTGTAACTACACCAGCTTATCTTTCCGTCTGATCAACAATAAGTACAGTTATACAAGAAATGTAAATGAAGTGAAAATATTCCCAAAAATTTTCCGAAAGGCATGTCATTCCGGAAGTTATGATACGTTAGGGTGTCACTACGGTAAATCATTGAAAAATATTGAAAAAAATCACAAAATTCAAGTTCTGGTATGAGGTTCCATATCCATCCGCCAAAAGGTATATAGTCAATTTAAAAACTTGTGGTTTTGTACTAAATAACGCCATAGTTGACTTCTAGGGTACCTAGTATGCCACTATTTTGTATCAAAATATAGAGGAGGAGTTCAACTTTCATTTAAATTACGAAAATAGCGATGTAGGTCAAAATATAGTTCCGGCGTTAGCATGTTTACTACGCGTTGCCTGTCATCTCAGAATTGAGGAAATGGTAGCAAACGTAAGTTACAATAAATGGACGCTGATATCTCAAAAAAGTAACCGGACTCCCTATAATTTGATGTAGATCAATCGAACCCCTATATGAACAGGTACATTTTGATATCTAACACTATGGGGGGGTAAGCGTTTTATAGTTGATCACGAACGCCATATGTGTAAAGTATTGTTCTGAATTTTCGAATTTGGTGTTGGATTACGGTACTCACACCTTCTGGGGTACATATCGCCATTTTCGAACAAATTAGCCCATACAATGACTATATTTCTGCAATCCCCTATACATAACCTTCATCTCGACACTATATTTAACATAGGGTTTGGGTCTCGATTTTTAAATATCACTACGCCAACATAGGGACTTATTTTTAGGTAAAATCTCTGCTTCACCGATAAAAATTAACGAATAAAGTAGTTCCTGTTTACGGGACCATATTCTTGAGATTTTTTTCTAAAAATGGCACATTTAAAAAGAACTTGGCCCCTGCTTTACATACATACCTCAAATGCCCACAGTACATACACTTAAACCTACTATACACACCATTGAAGTTGGCATAGCTTCGTTTTTAAAGTTTTAAAAAACACCCGGAAGTGGTATTTACCGTAATAACACCTTATATGGTGTCACTCCTGTAAATCATTGAAAAATATTGAAAAAATCACAAAATTCAAGTTCTGGGGTAATTATCGCCATTTTCGAACGAACTAGCCCAACAATGACTATATTTCTGCGTTCCCCTATACATAACCTTCATCTTGACACTATATTTAACATAGGGTTTGCGTTTCGATTTTTATATATCACTACGCCAACACAGGGACTCATTTTCAGGTAAAATCCCTGCTTCACCGATGAAAATTAACGAATAAAGTAGTTCCAGTTTACGGGACTATATTCTTGCGATTTTTTTCTTAAAATGGCACATTTAGAAAGAACTTGGCCTCAGCTTTACATACATACCTCAAATGGCCACATTGCATACACATAAACCTACTATACACACCATTGAAGTTGGCATGGCTTCGTTTTTAAAGTATTAAAAAACACTGTCCTACCCGGAAGTGCTATTTACCGGAGTGACACCATATTACTGAACATGGGTGAATTGGAATGTTTGTTCGATGGCATTATTACACCAAAAGTAGTGCGAAAATGGCCTTTTCACGTGTTGGCATAAAGTTTTGATGACATTTAAAGACACAGTTCCTCCTTCCCGTACATTATCTCATGGAAATTGGCATACCAGCGCAAAGATCTTTGTTTTGTGGTGAAGAAAAGCTATCAAACATTGTCTGAAGAGCAGATTTATCTCCGTAATTCAACTTTTAGCATGGCGACCTTGACCTTGAAAAAATAAAATAGCCATTTGGGCGATAATAGGTGATTCAAAAGTAAAATTAATGCTTTTTCTTAATTTTACTTTGACCAAGCCTAGAAAAAAATCGGTAAACCTACCCCCAAATTTTTTGACAAGTGTTCTAGATGATATCAACGTTTAAGAAAATGTGTATATCTAGAAATATTTTAAAAATTAGTGCCATTATGGTGGGTTTGGGTGCTTTTTGCTCTATTTTTTAGCCCACTTCTATGGTTGCCATGGCAACTATTAGGTTTTGGTAACCATGTCAACTTGATTTTTCAAGGAAATCCGCCTGATAGTAGTTGGGCCAAGTTTGATGGAAAATGGGCCTTGTTTGATATCCTGGCAGTGAGGTTGATTGTGGCAAGTAGTAAAACGCCAAACAATGGTGGAGTCATACCTGATGCTTGGATGTTCGCATTTTATTTAGCTCTCGTAAAATGAACGAACAAACGTTCCATTTTCACGCATGTTCGGTAATATAACGTATCATAACTTCCGGAAATGACATGCCTTTCGGAAAATTTTTGGGAATATTTTCACTTCGTTTACATTTCTTGTATAACTGTACTTATTGTTGATCGGACAGAAAGAAAGATAAAAAATAGAAGGTCGAAGGGTTTTTATAAAAATATATTCCAAAAATTCTTGACACCCTGTAAGTCGTAGGTCGTAGGGTCGAAGGGTCGAAGGGTTTTTAGTACATTCCAATCAAACCAACTATAAAAAGCAATCCAAAACGAAATCATTGATCCCTTCCCAATTGAAAAAAGCCTATGGAAAATCATCTCCAATTATCACCTAACTTACTATTGATAATTAGTTGAAAGTTAGGTGTAAAAATTCACATGCAAATGAGCTAATTATCAACTTAATTAACGCTTAATTTGCAACTTAATTAACGATTAACTACCATCAATATGCAAATGAGCTATTTACGTAAATTAGTTGAAAGTTAGTTGTAAGTTTGATGTAAGTTAATCTCTAATTATCACCTAACTTACTATTGATAATTAGTTGAAAGTTAGGTTTAAGTCAGATTTGTGACATCTCAAAAATGACTCGCTTCTTTTTTGCTTCTCTTCACTCGGAGATTTTTGCTTCATCTTAAACTATTTGTGACGGAATATTCATCTTAATTAGGATCTTTCAGAACAGACAACATTGAACTTGAACTATTGAAATTTCACAGCAACAGGAGGGAAAACTCCATGATTCAATTGATGACATACGATTTCCTCCTTCGCACACCTCCTTTTGTCGAAAACGTGCCCTCCATCTTGGTTTTCAAAGTTTTCAAATTGACCTAGTTTTAAACCAATCAACGATCGACTCGCTAAACCAATCAGCGAAGATGTCATCTCAATACAGATTTACATTATAAGCGTACGTCATCTTTGAACCCTGGGGTTTCTCCCCCTCTTTTTTAAAGCTATTCTATTTTGCAAATTTTTAAGATTCATGAAAAGCATGTGAAAACATCATTATTGCCATCAACAACTAAAAGCAGAACACAAACATTAGACTATAATGTTACATAATAAGGATGTAACAGATAAAATCAAAAATATGTTTTGAAATGTCTTTGATCTAACAATCATTATTTAGAAGAGCACATTTGGATTACTTGTGAAATATAGGTAACCCATGTTAGTACCTAAATTGCATTCTAGGATTAATATTATATGATCTGATTCAATAAGATTTTTAAATTCATAAACATTTCAGACAGAAGTGTGAATAAGATTTAACATACATTGTATTCATGTTCTACATACCCTTATAATAATGTTGACCAAATTTCATGGTAGTATACGCACCATTCACGTTGTAATTCTCAATTTTATGAGAGAAATATCTCTCACATGTTTTCTTTTTCCACCATCTTGAAATTAAATTTAGGGGGTTTGTATTTCTAAATCATGGGCCTAATTTACGACTAATTATCATTATAATCATCCTATATGTTAACTATCAACCAATAATCTACTTCAGAACAAAAACGTTTTAATTTACCACTAACTATCACCCTCAAACATTTCATATCTTAATTATCAACTAAAAATCATAAATCAGCATTATTGTAAGTTAATTTACGTTGAACTTGCTACTGATAATTAGGCCATAATTATCATTGATTTAATTAACGCTTAACTTTAATTCCAATTGCCAGCAGAATTGTTGATAATTAGTTGTAAATTAGTTGATAATAAGTTGGTAATTAGTTTTATTTTTCAATTGGGTTATTGTTTATTTACAATAAATCTATGAGTGAAGGATGTTTTCCTGATCTCCTTAAGTTAGCTAAAACAACTGCATTATCAAATGATTCTCTAAGTGTTTTCATATATGTTTTCGGTATTAATATAGAAGATACATAACTCCTACTACCTTAGATTCAACTCCATGTACATTTATCTTTGAGGCAATTGAAATATCACCTAACATCTTTCAGCTGTCAGATGTCCAATCGGATACTGGTACCATCCTGAATTTAAATCTTGTTATAAATTTGTCTGTGGCATAACATTCTCTCACGAACAAGCTAAGACACAGTGCGCACGATTTGGGGGCTATCTTGCAATTGCGAACTCAGAGAAAGAGAATAACTTTTTTAAATACACACTGAAGGCCGATAATGAGAATGGAGGTTTGTATTATTTTTAAAATTTAATTCACTTCCCTTCGATAATTTTAGTATATAATACACAATGTGATAACAAGCCGCTAGCCACCCAAAGGTCATTATATTGTAATATAATAAATTAATTACAACTATAAACTAAATATATAGTACCCCACACAATGAAATGTAACTATAAACTAAATATAGTACCCCACACAAGTTTTTGATAAGAACTTTGACCCGTGATTTAAACACTCTCCCCTATACTATTTGTTAAGTAATTTAGCACACATAAACTAGAGGAAATTTCCAACATTGGAAATTTTTTATTGAGAAATATGTTTAATAATGGTTAAACGTCGGTAATTTCAAAATGCTGCACAGTGGCCGATGCTTTACCAAATTGCTACAAATTGCTTGATTTATGACGTCAAATTGATTAAAACGCATTAATAACACCCTTGGTTCACTTGCTTGTGTTTTTATTGTTATTGAAGTAAAATAAAAACAATTTTTTTTGGAAATTGCCTCTAGTTTATGTGTGCTAAACTTGATAAAAAGTAGTATAAGGTAAAGTGTTCAAATCGCGGGTCAAAGTTATCACGGTGGTTATTATCAAAACGTGTGTGGGGTACTAAGTATTAGGTAAGTAATGGTATTTCACAAACAATATAAAATTGCTTCACTTTAGATTTCTTTTTGGGTGGACAACGATCGCAACCAAATGGTGGATGGGTGTGGACCGGTCATCCTAGTGGCCTGAATCAACCATTTGCTTATTCAGACTGGAATTCTGGACAACCTGACAATTCAGGAAGTTGTATCGCTGTTAGTGTTGCTGGATGGAATGATGTCGATTGCAATGGTAGTTATGAGTTCATATGTGAAGCTAATCCAAAGGTGTATTAAATGAATAAATAAACCAAGCTTCAATGTAACACAATATAATGTTAAACTTTTGTAATGATTGATTTCTTGTTCGGAGTATTCTCCCATAACGAGAAAAATAGCTGAGCAATACAAATAAAAACAGTAAGGGACGGAATAGTACAATAACGCCATTTCTAAGGGCCAATATTTCACTTTATTATATCATTGCTAGAAATTGTGTGATTTGATTGGTCGAGTCAGTACCATGTGATCAAAAATACCATAACGTATTTCACAGCTCCCTCAATTTTAGGATAATAAAAGACGTATTGCCCGGCGTATTGCCCGCCCGGGAATTCTGACAACTACACTGGACGAAAATAAAGTGTACCATTCAATGATATTTGTACGTAATTATGTTCACTTATGGATTAATTATATATTAATTGATTAAAATAAATGATCATAGGGAATGTCTAGCAATGATATAATAAAACAAATATTTCATTCTATGTTCGGGCAATACCTGTTGCACTTTCAATGATTTTTGCATCATGTATTTCCCTCGCCCTACGGGCTGCGGGCAATACATACCGCAAAAATCATTGAAAGATGAACAGGTATTGCCCTCCATAGAATGAAATATTTGCTTAATATTGCTCGCAGAAATGACGTTATTAGTACACCCTGTGCAGACAGAGCCTGTGGGAAATATTGGGTGCGGAGCAAATGAGCGGAGGGTGCGGAGCTAACGGTTATTTTTGAATTTAAATTTGGGATAATTCTGAAACTAAGCCGTTTTGGGACTTCAAATATACCAAGATATGTGTATTTGACACCAAATATCAATACAATTGGGAAAATAGTAGCGCAATTCATTCTATAGCTACGCAGTGTGCCTTAAACCTTTCCCAGACCTATATATTTTGAAATTATCCTTTTAATACTGAGTCCCCAGCATTCATAAAAAATGGTGTTCAAGGTGCACTATCTATACAAATTATTTTTGCATCTTGGAAGCCAGGCAGTATCTGTGTGATTTTATAAAAATTCGGAAATTTTTTCAGATATGAGCCCCCTCTAAATATTGGGTGCGGAGCAGCTCCATAAACGTAGCTCCGCACCCAATATTTAGAGGGGGCTCATATCTGAAGAACATTTCCGAATTTTTATAAAATCACACAGATACTGCCTGGCTTCCAAGATGCAAAAATAATTTGCATGAGTAGTGTATCTTGAACACCATTTTTTATGAATGCTGGGGACGCAGTATTAAAAAGGATAGTCTCAAAATATATAGGTCTGGGAAATGTTTAAGGCATAGTGCGTCGCTATAAAATGAATGGCACTACTATTTTCACAATTTTATTGATATTTGATGTCAAATACACATATCTTGGTATATTTGAAGTCCCAAAACGGCTTAGTTTCAGAAATATCCCGATTTTAAATTCAAAAATGACCGTTAGCTCCGCACCCTCCGCTCATTTGCGCCGCACCCAATGTTTCCCACAGGCTCTGTCTGCATAGGGTGTAGTAGTATTACCACCGTTCACGACCAGGACAGAAACAGCAAGAAAATCTTACGCATTGAACGATATCTAATTTCCCGGGGAAAGTTGCCGGTCCAGAATATATTCTAGACCGGTCCATATTGACCACCACTATGACGTCACACATTTCTCAGGTCGATATAGTAAAATGAACGCCTTCTAAACTAGCACTAAAACCCAGGGGGGGAGATTTCCCAAAGATGCCCGATCATATTAGCACGTTCGAAAACAAATTTTATAAACAGGCCTCAATTTTCCGTTGAAATGGATCTCCAAATGTTCACTGTAGTTTTATGAGTATTCTCTACAAGTATGGATCGAGTAACTTCAATAGTATTACCGTAGGTTTGAAATGACGATGTTGAACTGATGTAAACGCCATTCTCACGATTTAAAATTTAACTCTGCGCATGCGCAGCACTGAGGGAGCATGTGCCCATGATTGTTCACGTGATCGAATCCTGCAATTTGATCAAGGGAAAGATCAATACCCGGTGATTTCAGCGGGAAGTGGCGTTTCGTTCATTGGATGAGCTGCGCGCGCACGCATAAATGTGATTATCCAATATAATTAGGGGAGGGCTATTTGAAGTAGTTTTTGGTCTCAGGCGCGACCCAGGGCTGTTGTCTTAAGGACATTTCGTTGAAAATGAGCCATTCGGCTGATAATTGGTAAGAGTTTGCGATCTTATAATGTATAACTGTTACTCAGACACATATTTTGACACGATTCTGTTGGAAATAAGCTTTGAACCGAGAGATATTCACGATTGATATGCACATTTTTGATTGTGCCATTGCTTTTCTATTGCACAACCCATGTATTGATAGAAGAAACATTAATAATACAGATTGGTTTACCTTCAATACATGGCAGACACTACATATCGGTATATTAATACCAGTTTGTGCCTTAAATAGTTTTATATTTCCATCCACGGCCTGGAGCCTGGGTGTGTTTGTCTCTTATGTGTATGCTTGTGCATGGACTTCTAATCACTAGCAGAATTTAACATGATGCAAACTCGACATTATAACTCATGCTGTAACATTTTGACTTCGCTGGAAAACAATAGGAATTATTTTTCTTGCCAATCAATCATGAATCACAATCAAAATTTCAGAATGATCAATCAGGCAATGATCCAAATCAAGTTATAACATTATATGATATTCAGCAAGAAGTCCGGTAGAAATACAGAATATTTAAACATCAAAGCTGAAAGTTAAAAGCTAATCTGTCAATTTTCTGTCTGCATTGAAAGAGCGTCCCAAGAGCGTTTACATTTGACACAATAACAGACTGAGGCCTTGAAATCTAGGATTCCCCAGGAAAATATGACGTCATACTAATTAGCATAAGGATTTCCCTATTGGGGTGGGTCGAGCCTTGTTCGAAAACACAATCCATAAATACATGCTAATTTCTAAGGAGATAGGAAGTGTATAACGTGTTTATCGATTTTGTTTAAAGATTTAATCAATTATCAAATTGTTTAAGTGGATAAAGTGCTCACACTTGCTTCAATTCATAGCGAAATCGACGGATAGAAACTGACCGAATTCCCGATATCCTACCCCGTATTACTGTAGGCTATAAGCACAGTGACCTACAGAGGGCGCTATCACAAACAAGTACTGGACGAACCGATAAATTCCCGGGTATTGTAACGCCCTTGATTTGATTGGAGATGATGCAAGAGATGATGTAATGGGGAATCCCCGAATACGATAGAATATGAAAGAATTATGGGAGCTACTCACTCCTCCTGACTAAAACCCCTAGAACTGGCCCGACAAGGTGGTAATAATACATGTTTCTTATGATATATATTTATATCATGAAAATCATGAGACTGTGGAGTGGTACTATTTACGTTAAGCATTTAAAAATGTATAAGTTTCATGCTGAAAAAATTATTTATTTAGAATTTCATAGAAATAATAAAATTTCATAATTATCAATATTTCCATTGTTTAGTTTATAATATCGAAATCCTAGATGATATGAATGCGATTACTAAGATGTATGCAAAGCAAGCACGTGGCCGGGTGGGTTTGCCCCTCCCCCCTTTATAAGTGATTTTGGGCCCAAATTATCAAATTTGAACCCCCTGGATTTTAAAAAGAACTCCTTGGACCTGGCTACTTGCCTGCAAAGTGTTACCACAATATATGAGTATGATCAGAATGAATCCGTCTAGTTTTAATCAAATTGGATATGGATTTTAGATAATTCATTGTTGCGAAGAATGCTTTTTTGTCCAACAAAATCGATTTGCATCTTACTCACCCCTATATCTCATTTAAATATATCATTAATTGCTGAAATGTACTGAAGCTTCGAGCTTTGTTGTTTAAATAGCTCTGTGGGTTCTTCATAAAATAATATGGATTGGTCTTGTAATGTAAAAAAGACAAGATTAACACAGAATTAATATACTCATAAAACTATACTTTATTCCAAGTAAAAGACTAAACATGTACAATTACACTCTTCAGTATAAAATAAAACTGTTCAAAGATAAAGAAAGAATGAAAATGAAATTAATAAGATGAAAAGAAATGATGTGTGATGTTCCCCCCGATCTAACTCTCTACTGAATGAAGCCCAAAATTTCTCTTAAATACCCCCAAGTTATAGGAAATGAAATGCAATCCCTTACCCTACAAAACCTATAAGAAACCCATTGAAAGATGGCAGCACAATACGGTGAATCAACATGAAAAATGCTATACAACCCCCACCCAAATAAAATGACAATTCTCCTGACATTGTACGTACTAAAAAAAACTGAAAATACGCAAAATCTAAATAAATGTATGAATGTTTACTAACACAGTGCCGCATACATAGTTCGTGTATAATCCATATCCATATCCAATATCCATATGAAATATCCACGCAGAGTTCGTGCAAATATCCTTGCTTCATACGTAGTTCCTGTTGATAAACGTTGTTATAATAAACCATAATAAGTTCCGATTTTATAATCCGCGTATCTAGTCCTGGATCCAATGCGATGCTGTAATACGTGCATCTAGTCCACGATGTAATGTTTTCGAATCCAAAATATGCACCGTCTTAGTAGTCGAAATAATATCCATAATCCGTATATCACATGCACGTCCGCATCGTGTCCATTATCGAATATGTCCGTATCCTCGCTGAAGAATCCATAATAAAATTTCCATTTCCTTGTAGCAGTGTTCATAATAAACGTTTTCGTTGGAGAAAAGAATTGTTCATAATAACAGGAGATCGTACATCTTCAGCTCCTTCATCAGTTGTCGAAATCCTCTGTGGCTCCACTCCATCCGAAATCCGCGTCGTCTGCATCTCCATAAGACATAGGCATCGCCTTCACAGGTCATCTTCATCGCTTCTTCACGGTTAAGTAGTCGTCATCTACTTCAGGTCGTCATAGGAAATCGCTTACTGGGATCCCGGGCAATTAATTTTTTAATTCTCAAAAAGTTCTCCAA